GTCATCTTTTACTTATTCAGCTGTTCACCGTGATCAAATTTTAAAAGGATACCTTAGATGTTGGATGTCATTTTATCATACTATTATATGAAAAAGAAGTAGAAACACATATGCTGTCACATAGGACAGTGGTATTAGCTTTAGAACATCATGGTCTAAACAGGCATCATAGTAATGCGGGTTTGCTACTAATTTTAACTTGTTAACATGCCTCTAGTAAACATTACATACTTACATGTCATATTTAAACAGCTTAACATACACCATGCACACCCAACTGGTTGTGTCTGTGCAACACATTTACAACTCAAATGTAAACTGTGCAATTTACCAAAATATTCCAAATAAATATTCAAAAATAAAAGTTGAAGGTCAATGCGTGATCCAAATTTAATGTAAATCCACATTAAATTGAGTTTTTTTTTTTATAAAAAGGAAACCTGGATGTTGCTCAGTGCAGATAACATGGCCACAGTTGAGTCTATTTCCCATGGCTGTTTCTTTCCTCCGTGTGGAGCCCATGCTCTAACACTCCGTTTGGTCTTTCGGCAGCTCATTTTGGTAAAAATGGTTTGAATGTTGCCATAAGCCTCCATGTATGGTGGAGCAGAAAGTGGGAAAAATGGCAGAGAGATGAAAATAATGGAGTGAAGCAGGAGCTAGGCAGACATCACTGCAGGTGTCTTGTTGACCCTTGAGCCTTATTGACAGGTGGCACCTAGTCTGCTTTTAATTTCACACTGGCATTAACCCTGTGACTCGTTTCACAACTAGATGGAGCCTTGAATAGACTGATGCCAGTTGGCATGGTAACCTCATGTGTCTTGATTTTTTCATTGTCTCCTCCCATAGAACTACTGAGTGCTCAGCATGACTCAAAGTTGCAGCCAACAAAGGAATCAAATGCTTGCTGGTTGTGACACCATAAACTGTACGAGCATCCGGTCTGAAAAAGTACTGATGGAAAAGCAGCTGCATCAACAAGATGCTGCAGATATATTGGGATTGTCTGACTCACATCTCCGTGACAGACACTGACATCTCATGCTCTGAAATCATGTCTCATGTCCGTTTCAGAGCTGGACTGAATCAGGAACAGAAGTGAGAGGAAGAGAATGAAGATAATTATAGAAGCAAAAGGTGAAGTCTGTAAGTTTAAGCAGACTGAACAAATGAAAGTCAGTGGTAGTCTTAAACAACCAGCAGTCACATCCGATTCACTGCCGCATGGGTCAAATTAATGTACTGAGAAATAAATTCTGTCTTCAAAGACAGCTGTTTTCTCCCAATTTACCTCCCACAAGGGCAACTATCGTCTTTATTTCTGTTGTAAGATGGCTTTGCACAATTACAGTGACAAAGGCACTGGGCTTTGAGACATTATCCTGTATACATTTGCATATTCACTTAGCTCTTTCATGTGATTAGTTGTTCAATAAATTATTTAAGCTTATTCCCGTGTCATCCTGAGAGCTTTTAAATAAATAGAATCTGTTTAGTGTGAAAACACACAAAATATACATTTCATCAGTGTTCATCTGCAAAGTAAAGCTTTTTACTACCAGAGCTTTTTCAGTTTTACAAAACATGTAAAACAACACCAATTACTGTTAGTCAAAAAAATACTGTCCAACCTGACAGATGCCTTTTTCTCCCACCATTTAACTTTTCTGAAACGCTTCAAAAGAATATCTCTAAATTATCCACCAGGGGGTGCAAGGGTAAAGGCAAAGGCAGACGTCCCACCGAGGTGCTGAATGAGGCTTTCCCTTTAATGAACTGTTCTCGATTAACTAATTAAACATACTGTGACAAAGATAAATACTCACAGACCCAGATAAATCAATGTTTTTATTAAGACTTTTTAAACATGTGATGAATGAGTCTGTGTTGAACTCATGCAACCTTTTTACAGTACACATTGGTCTTGGTTGAAGCAATGCCTCTGCAGCGGTAATTATACATGTCACATTAGAGAAATTTTCTTCCTCCCACTGAAATATACCTTTGAATGTGAAGTATGCGTGGAATGAGACCATGAGTGGTGTTTGATGTATCGATGTGTCATAATCCTGGCTTGGTGCTTTGCGTTACTGTGTTTACCTGGACAGAGTTTGTCAGTAAAAGTCACTGGGTCAGATAATTGAGTAAAAAGAGACAGATGGTGGCAGCATTTATTGCTGATTACATGAAGGCCATAAACAGCTTCCCGGTAGCTTGGGGTGTCGGAACCAAGCCTATTAAACTGCTAGAGCTTAAGTCTTAGAGGGATGCAGCTGGACCAGTAAGAGACTGCAGGATTTAAACAGACTGCAGGTATACACAATATGTAAATCCTTTAAAAAAAAAAAAAGGTGTTTCACACTGTGTTCATGTTCTGCAAACGTATTGTCCTGAAAGATCCCCATCATATCTCAAACAAAATTCTGTCAGATCTTCACAGAAGGAGTTAAGAGTTGGCACAGTTATGGCTTGGATGCAATGGCTGCCACTCACAAAAAAATAAAGCCAGATAGTCTTAGAGGCCTTTGGGTTACAGAAGAAAATGCATATAGTTGCTGTATGTAGAATATGTACAGAGTGCAGTAAGTATAAATAGCATGTGCTGAAGTAGGGCCATGCGCACTGTTGCAAAATGACAGGACACAGGATACACAATGTTCCCCTGCGAAACCTGCTGGACAACGCAAAACACAATATTCTACCCAAGGGTTCATTAAGTTATGAGATTTATGCTCTATCTGTGAGCATTGTAGAGAGAAGTACACATAGATAATCAGACCTCTTTTCACGCAATCTGCTGATAAGTCACCACAAAAACTCAATTTCTAAATATCTTCATATATGCTGTACCAACCGTACTGTGCGACATGAGTGAACTTTGAGATTCGCTCCAACTCAAGATGTGGAACACTGTAGTACATCACAAACAGCATTAATGCTGATTTGATTTGCTGAGTTTTACTACTCCGCAATAACCGGCAGATGTGGAATTTATATCCATGAGTGACGGTTTCATTCCACTTGCAGGTCCTGCCCACCATTCATTTACATTAGCCTGGTGTATTGGCTTTTCTGAGAGTGTGTGCTGTGTTTACTGATCACTCAGATGTATTTTTCTACCAATCCCTCAAGACAGACAATCAATAGTTCAATTACAGGTAGATTTCCATTCTTGCCAGGTAAGAATTGTTAACATCCTTCATATATCTTTGTCAGCGTGATTCTCACCATATGTAGAAAATGCTGAGATGTGACCAAATTATCTAAAGCTGTGCGGTATCATCAATAAAAATAGAGTCAACAATGATGATCATTTATCAACTAAACAGTCGAGAAAACCAGACGCTTTGTGAAACGGAAAACTTTATCGTCTGTTTGGTGAATGCATTTCTTTAATGGCAAAGATTTCAAAATGCAAGATCCAAGATGTAGAAAATAACACATCTTTATTCAAAAGTTATGTTGATTCCTTAAAATAAACTATGAATGTTGTGTTTTATCAAGATTTCAGCTTCGATATATTACAGATTCAACAGATCAGAGAGCTCTTTTAACTGAACTGCTCAAGTGTGGTCTGAAAAATAATAGTTTATTTCCAGTGGTGTCCCTTCATAAGTGAGATCTTCTCTCCAAAGTCTTTCCTTTGAGAGACGATTGACCAGCTTATTCAATTGAAAACTGAGAGTCATCCAGAAAGCTTCCAAAGCTATCACATCAGAAGGCTTTCCCTCTGGTGTCCGTCTGACTCAACATTATTGACAGGACAGTGAAGCTAACACAATCACTTGTCTGGAAGGACAAAGCTGGCCTGAATCAGCATAATCAATTTCCACTGCCAGATGCCGTAAATTCCAAATGAAGGCCGAACACGGATCCTTGTATTTGACCAGCAAGTTCAGGTGTAATGCTTCTGAACTCGTACATACCCGTATTCACAACTGTTACATTGGTCTTGCTTATTAAGCAAGATATTAAAGGAGACAGCTTGCTTTGTGTTATCTCACTCATCTCTTCCAATTACCATGAGTGCTGCTTTCAGAGTCATAACCCATTCCCGATCAGCTGTGCCCAGTGCCATGGTCATATCTCCTCTCCCTTTCCCCTGGTACACACTGGCAAGGTGTGAACAGGAACATGCAAACAGAAGGAGACAGCCTTCTTGAATAAATATTTGTCGTCCTTTTTGAACGATGTTTTCTTGTCACATGCAGATACGGTGAAGTGGCTGTTTAAATGATTCTGTGTTTGCAGATGTTCTGCTAGTTCAGCTGTAATGTAAAGCATACTCTGACAACATAAACATTTGGTGTGTGCACTCCTCATGTATTTGTCATGAAGGGGGCAGAAAGAGTTTAAATAATTGTTTTTGTTCAGCAGATTTGGGTCACCACTGCTCTGCGTGTGCACGGTGGCAGAAAATAATGTGAAAACATCATTTGATCTGTATCTATACAACATTTAAATGTGCTTGAACATGTGCCACTATCTCTGCTTTCCATCATCAAAACATTCAGCTTAGCAAATTCTCTGCTCGGCGATTGGAGAGAAGCTCCACATGTTGGCAGAGCGACTGTGTGAGAGCAGAGCAGAGATTGGTCCACAGCCCTGTCACTCAGGCAGCAACTACTCCCTGACTTCCTCTGTCCTCCTTTCCTGGTGCAGCCTGGGAGGAGGGAGGGGAATGGATCTTTTCTGTGTGAGTCGCCGGCGCTCCCTCAGCCTGCTCCCCACCACCTGTCCTTGACTTACCATGCACAGACAGCACTGAGAGGCAGCTACACAGCTCACTCCTCCTCCACCGCCTCCCTGTCTGTGTTTACATGCTTAGCTGCAGCCATTCTTTTTTCTTTTCCTTTAGAACATTCACCCCGTGGCTGTTGCTCTCTACCTGTGGTGCTTCAGAGGATCGTTGAGGGGGCGGGGGGGGGGGGGGGATGTTTGTCCTCGGATGCTGGAGATCTAATGGGAGGCAGCGCTGACTCTAGCTGGGACTTGGGATGCTGAACAGAGGGAGGGAGGGCCTGTTTGAGCTGGGACAGCAGCTCCAGCAGCAGGGGGAGTACCAGGCCGCCCTCCACTGCTTCCTCAGCTGTCTGCTGGGACTGACCCATGTGCAGAGCTTCACCTCTCTGCCCAACTGCTTACACCAGGTGAGCCAGATGGGGACTGGAAAAATACAACCATGCTTTTTTTTTTCCTTTTCTTTTTTTTTTTTTTCCACATGTGTATCAACATCTTCGCTGCATGCATTCACAAAATGTATTCTGTCGTGTATTTGCACAGCGGGGCAGACACATTTGCATCACTTCCTCTGTGGAGGATAATATATCACACAGCACATTACACAGGACACATTCAACCTTGATACACCAATGTCAGGCCTAACAGCACAGTCCATCATGTGTCTCTCTGTTGACATTAGGAGATGACTTGTGTCCCACCAGGACTGATGGGGCACACACTGCTATATAAGATGTAGAATGCAGCGCTAATGTCCACTGATACAGGCTCCCCCATTGTGAGTTCAGCGATAATTGAGATCAGGCACTGTGCAGCCAGGACGAAATCTTAACACAATCAAAGCTAGCATGGCCCCAATAAAAGCAGAGCTAAATTTAAATTCAGTTTTCCTGTATGAAGGAATGTCCCTGACGTCAAAACGCAGCCTCTGCTCCAGAACTTTGGAACATGACCATGATGTTGACCAGACCTGTGGTGTTGTGTGGAGAGCAGTATTATTTAGTTTGGTTGCTTACTAAATCATGCACATACACACACACACATACACGTGCACACATGGGATTGATGTAGGAGATAAATCATTTAACTATTAATAATTTTGGTTTTCTGTCTGTGCTTTACAGATCGCTGAACTCTTCATCACTGAAAAGAATTGTATCCTTTCCCAGCAAAATCAGAATAAGCCATTTTTATCGGCCTTATTTCCCCTCTGACCCTTTTTTTCACCCTAATTTAATTTCTTAAGAAGCAGCGAATCGTAAATCTAGCTAGTTGGCCCTGTGAGGCAAACGTGTATGGAACCAGGCACACCAAATTCCAGCACATTGGAGGGATGTAAACCATTTATGGAATAACAATGTCAACCGAGGGGGATGAGCTGATGTCTTTGGGCGAGTTCATAATATCACATGTGTCCCAGAATGCCACATGTTTTGTGTGTCACCCAGGCTGTGTGTCTGTCTCTTAAGAGGATTTGTGGGCTCTTATCTCTGCACAACAGAGTGGAAGAGCACTAATTAACCTGTATCTGCACTGAGTGGCCTGTGCATTGCCACTTCACTGCCACTATAAACTATAGCAGTATGGGACGCGGAGATAATAGGAAGGTGTTACGTTTCAGGATATATTACCCCCACATCACCTCTCCTCGTCACTGAGACACTCCGGCACTTAGCTCGCCAGCTCAGGTTATCTACCTCAGCACGGCTCTACCTCTCATAGTCCATTTTCCGAAATAGGTTGATTTGCTGAGCATGGCTTCACCAATGACCATCGCAGTCTTCTTTGCTTAAGATACCATGACAGGGTTAAGTCTCTTGGTGTACACTAAAGAGTTACATAAGATCATTAATAGTAATGTATCCTGTCCTATTGGGATGTTTTATTTGCAGTAGAGTGGCATTCTTTCCCTTTTACAGTATTACATTACAGTCATGAAATTTCCACATTATATATTATTTACTAGAGTGTAAGAATTTTAACTATTTTTTTATAGTCCCAGCAATGATATTGCTGTACTCTGGTCGAAGCTATGCTGTGGGAAGATTGAAAGTATTTGGTCATTTTTCCAGCTTGGAACAACATTTTCAGCCCTACTCCTGTTTTGTCCTGAGCACCACAGCCACTGAGGCAGTAGAGTTGAGATCCTTTTGCCACTATCCTCATGGGAAGAAGGTGAAAGGTCAGTCTGCTTGATCTGGGAGCAGCATGTGGGAACTGTGTCATCTCGTACAAATATTTTACGAGAGCAGAAATAGCAGCGTCAACTCAAATCTTGGTATGAATAGGCAAACAAAATCCAAGCCTGAATTGACTCATTTAACATAATATGATTTTATGTGGCTTTGCTAGCTTTTCCACAGGGGAAGTATCGCATTGAGCTTAGGTGAAGGTGATTGTGTGTACGCAATGGCCACTTGTGATTTGACATATTGTTATCAGAGCTGGCAGTATACACAATAGGCCTTTGCTCAAAGCCAAAAACACTTTTAGCTGCTGAGTGGTCACTGATATGGGTTTCTTGGAAAGAATAAGGGCTTACACATAAAGAAATTAATCTCAAAGAATGAAAAACAACTCATTTGAACAATGAGTTCATGGATAGATAAACTGGCACATACTCTGTTTTTTTTTTATTTTAAAGTGGACTCTCAGCAAAGTAATATTATATTAAACCTTATTAACCAAAGTATCATATGTCATTCATATTTGATCAGATTATCTCAGTATGTGTATTGTGCCACAGGAGATTCCAGATTCCAGCAGGCTTGATCTCACTGTGGACTTTAGGAGGTTATGTTGGAACACGCCTGAGTCTTGTAGCACGTGAGATCAGTTGGGCCTTTGAAGCTGCCAGCGTTAATGCAAGTTCTTGTCGAGTTTTGGATTGCTGTCCAATTACCAGTTCAGCAGAGGTTGTGTATGTGTGATGGCTGGAGTGGAGGTCATTCCCAGGGGGATGTGTGTGAAGTTCCTGTTGTTGCATTGTTGTGGCTCAGGCTTGCTAAAAATAGCACAAAGTAGTGCGTTCTGACCTTTTGGTTTGGCTGTTCCCCTTATCCTCCTCCCAGATGGTCCACCTTATATCTGTTCTATTCCTAGCCGCCCGGTGACTCCCAGGAGTTGGAGCAGAAATAACATATTTCTCATTAACTTAAAATTTGTATTAAACTATAGGATTGTTATCTGCCATTCTATACATTACACTATTCACATAACTTACATTTCTCACCATACTTCACTGTGTTTTGGAATGTTGTGTTTTATTTAGGTATATCAGTAAGACATTTGAAGGATTTCCCTATCTTTTCATTTTTCTGTTTCATATCAGTTGCTTTGTTTTTGTGAAGGATTTCATGTACAGTAGAATTGTATCTGCTCTGTATGTTGGACTTTCTGGTAGAGACAGTGCTTGACTTGTACTGTCAGTTCTTTTATGCTCCTGATATTGTTCTATAGGAACACAATGAGGGAATCTAGCTGTTCTGGTTTTCAAGATACTCCTTATGATTCCTGAAGACCTATTTTGCTCCTTCCAAACTTCAAGGCATGTAATTTAGGTGTCCAAAAAAAATATGTTACTGATGGGAAGTTTTATCACAGAGTTGAAAACTGAAAGGCTAAAGATGGAATTTTCACACAAGAGAAATCTGAAGTTAAGTAGGACATTTAACAGGCATGGATGTGTTTATTTTTAGCCCGCTTCATCCCATTGGTCATTAAATCCACCTGACAAGCATCAATGGTGTCTTTTTACAGTGACATGAACACTAAGTGCACAGAATGCTTTTACAATGAGAGCTATTTTTAGGGATGTTTTAAATAGTCTTTTCTTGAAAGCAAAAATCAATCAAAACAAAGTTTGCATGAAAGATATTGTCCAATCTCTAGTTGTGAATTATAACATGAATGCAGTAGAAGAGTAATCTAAAACATTTATGGTGTGAGATTCAGTGAACATAGCAACAGCAAAACAACAAAAAAAAATCTATGTTTGAAGTCTGTGGTGCAGAGTCCAGACCTCAAGATCCACGTTGTACTCTGGATAACTTCATGTTATGTTTGCCCTGAGGGAGCAAGCGGGGAAGAAAAACAAAACAAAGAGAAAAAAAAGTGAGAGCTGTTTTTAACTTCGACAACTGACTAATCCCACCGACAACTGAGGCAGATCCTTCACCCTTATAAACAGATGGGAAGGCCCTCCAGTTCATCCAGGCTGAAAAGATGTTCTATGAAGTGGCTCTGATCGAGCTCACGGCTCTTCAGGGGAGCGCAGGCGAGTACTTTTTCAATTCGTACTATCAGTGAAAACTTCTGGGAATCCGAGCGCAAACACAGTTCTGCATTTTGGTGTTCACAGCGTTTTTGGCCTGGTATCTTTAAACTTTCCTGGAAGCTTTATTTATTTCTTGGTAAATGATTTGCTTTGATTTGAAAAGAATTGCATAGCCAGGGTAAAGTCTGTCAGCCTGAGGTCAGCCGAGCATGTGACACTACACAAGTATTCAGATACATCAATATGTGTGTTTGTGTGTGTACAATTAAGCACGAGGTATTTCTTGAGTGTTGGTAGAAAAGAGTCATTTAGACCGAATCCATTCAGTAGCTGCTACACAAAGTGACTTACAACCAACAATCCTGCTATGAAGAAATGTAGGATTAAAGTATATGTTTTCTAAAGTCAAATAAAATGTAAGAATCAACTCCTTTAGAGAGGCACTCCATTTTACTGCGCTCCGTCTTTGTTTACCGTGCATTTGGTGGAGCCTTGTGAGAGCGTTCGCAGCAACCCTGCTCATTCATCACCTGCTGCTGCTCCAGACGTCTGCCTCTGCCTCTGTCTGCTGCTGAGGCAGCAGCGCACTGTAGCGTGGGCACACGGGAGGAGATCAGGGACAGAGCACAAGACAAATGGCCACATTTTCTCATTAGGTTCCGTTTGCCACGACGGAGTACTGACGTCCCTGATTCAGCAGCACTGAATGGCGGACTTGTGCGGTGGAAGAGCTGGCACTGCAGTTACAGATGACTGGCTTTCATTTCCTCCTCACTGTGCTTCATAAATGGACCCTTTTCAGTATTTACTCCGTAAATAACTTCGTTTTGTAAGGCAAAACTTTACCCCTCTCTTGTGTCATTGATAACAAGCTAAACTCACATCCTGTGCACTATCTTGTGTTTTCTGTCCCCAGTGTGTACTCTACATTCTGTTTTTGTCTCACTGCCTTGTGGGCGTGGCATATGCGTTGTTTGACTGCCTTATCTGCTCTCCCCTGCCCTTATCTCTCCTGTCTTGTCTCCAGTCCTCAGCTGGCTCCTCTTTACTGTTCGCACAGTAGTGGCAGACAGGCCGATAGCCAGACTCTCAGGCATTTTGGAGTTTGTTTTTTTTGTCGCTGCTAGAGAAGCAGCAAAAGAGTCGCTGTGTGAAAGAAGGACTTGAGTGGAAACAGAAACGACTCGGCCCCATTGGAAAGCTGACTGTGATTCCTATGCCCTGTGTCTGTGTAACAGGGCCTCAGGAGGAGGCTACACTGGGCTCCACGGGATGGACAACCCCCGAAGAACTTTCAGAGCAAGCCTCCCAGGCGCAACAACTGGAACGGCTGGCCCAGCTCTGCATCATGAGCAAACAGTAGGTAAAACTTTATCCTGCTGAGGCTTCCATTGAGAAGCGATTATTGGAGTGTTAAATGACTCAAAAGACTCATCATAGGTGGCGTTATAGATACAGAATATCTGTATATATATATATATGTGTGTATGTGTATATAACCTACCTACTGTAACCTAGCTACTGTATATTTACCTAAACTGACACAAGCGTAACTATGATTCCTAGTTAAGATATAAACCCTTACATTTGCATTTGTTTTTGTGATTAGTTCTATCACAAAAGCATCAGCTCACTGTAAGACACAGGCTGTATTTGGCCCTTTTTGTAATAGTAATTCTGTGAATTCACTGAAATATATTATTTTGATGGCAAATGTTGAGTAGTTGTTTTAAGACCTAACTTTTGAGAATTAAAAACTTAAGTATTAGTATGTATAATTATTGCATAGTATGCTATTTCTGTTGTGAGTGTTTTATTTTTACCTTATAAACCCCAACTATGAGACTTTTTGGAATGACTTCAATCTCTTGGTGCCTCTTGTTGCGAGGGAACTTTGCTAAGGCCATAACGTATGCCCAGTTTTGTACCACTGTTTTCATTGTAGGGAGTAGGTCATCAAACAGGATTGCTAGAGAGATTGGAATGCCTGCTCGACAGAGGGCTGGTCAAGGGGCTTCATTGATACAAGGAGCATACAGTAGTTAAACTTAGATGAGATGGTACTGATTGAGCACGACTGATCCCAGAGGCTTGGGTTTCTAGCTAAAAAAGGACAAAGAGAAATTTGATTCTGCTCCTTGATCTTTTCTTGCAAAACCAACTTGTAATGAATATGGAACTGGCACAAAGTTACTTACAGGTCTGCACTTATAGGCTTTGGTTTGTCAAAGGAAAAATGCTCCCAAGCCCTCTCTGCCTGCACAGTAAGACTGGGACTCCCAGGAACTTCCTCCTCGCTGACTGACACTTGTAAAACTTCCTGAAAGTCACAGAAAGTCCTATGGGTCAGGAAAGGATTTTTCTGTCTTTGCTGATCAGATGTCCAAGAGGAACCTTCTTAAGAAGCGCAAACTGACACCTGGCTATTACTAATTGAAGGGAAGTGTAGGTTTGGAACAACGAAGCGGACATCTGTCACACTAAACTGAGCTTGCTCTACATCTACAGGCACATGCATGGGTGTGAAGCCAACAAATGTCCTTTGCTGGCTTTTCCGAAGTGGATATAACTAGAACAGCTGGCAGCCCCTCAATGAAACACATCACGCTCACCTAGCTTAACACTCAACAGAAGAGCAGTGGAGGGGCATGAGACAGTAAACCAACCTGTAAGCGCCATACCTGTTGTAATTCACCCTGGAAGATAGACAGTGACTTTGCTGGCAGAAATAGAAGGTTTCCACTTCCACCATGAGAAGCCTGTGTGCCCACAGCCCTTTAGTCTGTCTCCACCCACAACAGCTCTGTGTTTAGATTTGTCTATGTTGTGCTCCAAACACTCAGTCTCATATGCCCCCCCCCCCCCCCCGATAATCAAATATGATTAGGACTATTGATTTTAAAAGTATTGACTTTCAGCAGCTATGAACTTTGGTAGCTCAGACAAAACAGTCTTACCGTCTAATGGTGCCATTTTGCTTATTTTCCTCTCAGGCCTCATCTTGCCCTAGAATACAGTGGTAAAGTATGTGTTTTTTATATTTCAATGCTTTTTATCTGTATGCATGTTTTATACAAAGCCAATGCAAATTAACTATAAACATATTTTTTCATCACTTAGGCTACAAAGATTCATCAGAGGGCTTTTGGCAATGACCATCCAATAACAGCCAGAAGTTTGGAACTGATGGCCACTGTCTATGCTGAGATTGGCAAAACTGAATATTCAGGTACGCTTTCATCTTGATGGCTTCAGAGCAGCCAAACATTCTGTAGAAGTGTGACAACACACGGTGGAAAAATACTGTATGCAGATTAATATCCAGTGGAAAAACAAATATGGGTGTGTGATTCCACAAACCACAGAAGGGAAAAAGCCTTATTGAGAAGTCGCTCTGCCTCGGAAAGCACAGAGTGTAGTTTAGATGGGATGCAAAGCACTTAAGTAAGCATGTTAACGCATGAAAATGTTAAATTAATAATCACTTGCATTCGTGTTAGACACAGTAATAGTGTTATGCAGAGCAAAAGCAGAAAAGAAGCTTTGTGACAGTTTGAGGCCACGGTTCTGTTGTGCAGTAAGCGCTGTATGCTTGGCTTGCACTTACAGGGAGCAAAACTCTGCCCACTTCTGAACTCGGCATTTTTGCGAGGACTGCTGCGCTGTAAAAATGCAATACGTAGAAACCTGCCTCCGTGTTGAGTCAGCTCTCAGAGGCAGTGGTGCTGAACACGAGCCGCAGCTATATACATCAGTCAAGACAGCTGTATAGATCTGAGAAAGGAAGGCTTTACAGCATCCCCTCTCACTGTCCTCAGATGGCATTAAACATGTTCATAGAAAAGCTATAAGACATGGATCACGTTGTTGTGTGAGTTTACCTTTGTGTGACCTTTCTTTTTGTTTTGCACGCGGCAGAATTCTCTTTGACCTACAATGCGATCCTTTAATAGGAGCACAGAGAATGTTTATGTCTCTGGTGCCCCAAATGCCTTTCACCCTAAACTGGGTTACTCATACTCCCTCTGCTGATTATCTATGTGCGTGTCGCTGTAAAAATTAATATATGTATGAATATGTACCTCAGACGGATTGGTTTTTACATGTGGATATATTTGGAATGTTTTGAAAAATATCACTTCTTAAGTATGATAAGCTGAATTTTAATTCTATTGACTTTTTACACCATTTGAAGTCAAGTTGCTGATAACGGATCATAAAAGAATTCAGTCCTCCAAGAACTGCTGATATAGATCGAAGGGGAAAGTTAGTTTTTTCTTTCCACTGACGTTAAACTTCCTTCTAAGCATAAGTTTAGCTTCAGACCACAAGATAATAGTAGATATGACAGACACGGCAGCTCTGTGCCAAACAAAGCCATTTTGGTATTTTCAGAACTCAAGTTACATGTTATGACATGCGCAGAAAATGTGTGTTGCAAATTTCCAGAATTTCATAGAAAAGACATTAACATTCCACAAACTAAACTTCAACCATGTAGTATACTGAGTTCTCATTTAGTTTATAGCTGCCAGTCACAATTAACTCTTACATGCAGTGTAAACCAAATTAAAATCCTAGAAAGAAATCCTAAATTCCTCTCTCTTCACTTGGTTCCTGAAGCCATACTAATATTACAAAAATGAATATATTTTAACATTTATGGTCTTGTTTATACATGGTCTTGTTTTATAGGTTGTTTATACAACATAAGGATTTGTAGGAGCATTAGCAGAGTGCAAGGGTTAAAACACAGGTGTCTTTTCTCTGAAACATTTGCATGTTTCATTTTGTTTACCTTCAGCTCACAGTCTGTTTGAGTGCAGACTCCACTGCGAAGAATATCTAGATCTCTGCTCATGTACTTTGTGGTCATGGTTCTCTTAGACTCTCTGGGCCAGTGTGTCTCAGCTCTGTCCAAACGCTTCGCTGCTGCAGAGTCCCTAAGAGACACAGTCAACTGTCTTCCTCATTCCCATCGAGAGAAACACTCAGAGGTACGCCACAGAAAGGATACACACCACCAACAGGAGGATGCACCCAAACCTAAGGTAGGAGAGCAATGCCTCCATGTCTCTACAGCAGTGTTGTAAGATTTGTGCTCTCCCCCACTGTGCTTCTGGTTTTTAAAATGTCCTCTGATGCTTGCATTGAGTATACTTAACATTCTACTAAATCTGACATAGGTTGCTGGTGGCAAAGTCCCTACCTCCATTCTAAAGAGGCCATGTCCTGGCCACAGGTCAGACACAGATCCCAACCACAGAAGGAAAGGCGAGCGGAGGGTTCGATTCAGGGAGCCAGAGACCACAGTACATGGTAAGAAAACACAATTAAAAAAAGCTTAATGAGTCATAAAGGAATTCAGCCAGGTCGGTCACATATCGTCATGTCTTGTTTACAACTAAAAATACATGATACCATCTTTATCAGGCTCGTCCAGTCACTTCATACCACACATATTTTCCGCTGTCTATCTCTGTCATCTCATTAGTGGACTGGTGGCGTAAGCACTCTTATAAAACATGAATTTAGCATTTAGCATTTACGTTTTTACGTTTTTGATTGATTTAGGAAAACTGAAGATTGTATAATCCTCCTCTGGGAATTATGAACAGTGTAAGAAATAATGTAACAGCAATACAGACCATACATACAGTAATTAACGTATGAAACAGGGAACCATGGAGTCTGCTCCGTACATATAGTCTGTGTCGGAACGGCAGCTGTTCCATAGCTGCTTGATATCACAGAAGTTGGCTCCTGTTCACTCACTGGCCTTTTCTCTGTCGGCTTCACAGACATTCCTTACCGTGACTGTTTAGGTGGTAAGTTTACCTGAAAGAATTAATGTGCATGAGGGAGAATCAACACCATTAATCATAGAAAAGTAAAGAGGGTCTAACATAGTGCGGACAAGTACGCGTTGGAGTAATTGAAATGTTGCTTGTAATCAACTTTTGCAGTGTATAGTTTAGCTAAACACTGTCCCTCTGACTTTAATACTTTAGTTTGTGGCAACGCTTCACCTAACAACAGTCATTTTTAAGCGTTTAATCACACAAAATCTACCGAGACTTTGTCAGATAAAAAGAGAGCTCTTTTCATTTGACAATTCAAATTCTTGTGATTTACTAAACAAAGCAGCTCTCAAATGGTCTCGTCTTTCTGTTTTCTTTTTTTTTTTATTTTTTTTTTACAGCCTATGAGACAACGCCGTCCCGCCCCCACCTTGCCCTCTTCACCTGCCTCTTCCTGCTGATGTCATGCCTGGGCATTGCCATGTACTGCACGGACCGCCGGCGCCCGCAGCGAGTGTGCGAGGACCTGGAGGCTGCTTTGGCCGTCTACCTGCTGCACATGAAGCAGCTGCTCTGGGGCTGCTGGATATGGCTGACAATGCAGTGACTGTGACAGACCACAGGTGGAAACATGGAGCCTCAGTTCTCTTGTTTTTCAGATTCTTCTTTTTTGTTTCCTATATTTGAAGGTGCCCAGGCCTACAAACACCTCAGCCGTTCCGGCAAGGCTCTGTACACAGGGCCATGCAAAAATACCACAGTGAAAAAGGGACTGTGTAATCCCAGAAATATGTAGCTTCCATGTGTGTATGTATTTATGTACTACAGTGGAGGATATGCCACTGAATATTTAAGTTCTGATATCATTTTGCACACTTGCAATGTTGATGCTCACATAAGCTCACATAACCACCCTAACTATGTGATTTTTTTAGTTTGCATCACCGTCTAATGCCTGTTGGTGAGTGTTTCCATGGAATGCAAATACTTATTTTGTTACAGTACATGATTTGTGTATATCAAATATTACACAGAAATGAATGTGTATATATGGCTCAATATACTAAGGTCTATCACTATCAGTATTTAGCCTCGTAATTGCACATTAATGAATGTAGAGATGTTGTGAAAAGCCTTGGAATGACACATTGCACATCTGAAAGGAGATGTACAAACTGTTGAATAATTACCTTTGAGAAAGCAAACACAGGGCTGCATCACTTCACAGTACCAGGCTGAATGACTTAAAGATGAAATACATCTTGTTCTTTCCAGACTGTCTGGTCATGTAGATTCTTAGTTCCACTGAGGAAAAATCTGCAGCACAATATTACCTATCATTGAATAGAATATACTTAAACTGAATGAATGCTAATGCTTTTACCAGTTTCCCTCTTTGTAACTGCTTAAATCACCCCAAAAAGCCTGTTATGCTACGTGTTACATATTCTTCTATACTGTATGTCTGCATTTATGCAAAAAATCCTACTTTTTGTTATTTAAAATGTTTGAACTTTTTGTTACCTTAGTGTTTCTATTCAGACAATATTCAGGTTTTAATTGTGATGTCAAATTCCCATCTGGCTTTAGGCCAGTGAGTTTAGGCTAAAATAATATTTATAACACATTTTGAAAAAAAAAAAAAAAACAATAACTGCAACTTCTATATTTGAGACCAAACACAGAGACAGGACACGATACTGTACGTTATCAGATGAGTCCTTTTATCAAATGCAGAAAACAAAATTCAAACAGTCACACCAACACACAGGTGAGTTAAATTAAGTCAAAGGGCACAGTGATGCGCATCCCCTGTACCTCTCATTATGAGCAATAACATACATCATGTAGTTTCCATCAAAACATTGCTCTCTGTATAACAGGTGTCAGGGAACTCAAAATGAGAAGGGTTGAGTTATGGAAATGTCCTATTTGAATATCAAAGCAATATTTGGCTGATAATGCCTGTATAGAGGAAAAAAACACTTGTGACTCTGTATTGTCAAACTAAATTGTCATTAGCAATAAAACACTACCTGGTAAACTCATGTCCTGTATATGCACACTTAGCTGCTTTTCACTGTTCAAACACTTATGGTTACTTTTAAAGAAGTGCCTTTATGGAGGGTTTTCTTAGTTCCTACCGTTTTATTGTTTCAATTGTTTTGAATAAAACTGTCATTGCCTATCAAAGTGTAGCAGCTGAGCAGCTTTCTTCCTGACAATAAGCAAATGTTGGATGTGAAGTCAAAGGAACAGGAATGCATGCGGGTGTATCTGTATTTCAGAGTCGATTATATTTTTGGCAGCCTATAATATGTGTAGAAAGAAGCCTGAGTCACTACATGGCACACAGAGGAGAAACGGTTTTCTTTTATCATACACTGGATGACAAAAGCAGGTTTGGGTCAGCAGCTGAATACACAAATGTTATGCAATGCAATTTGTCACATTCTATAAAACACTTTTTGTTGTGTAGATACACTGCAAAAGCTCATGTTATGTTTCTTTGCTGCACCATGCAAATAATTCTCTTTTCACCAAAATATAGATTGCTCCCAATGGAAGTCTACATTTGGACTACATTTGTTGGTGTAGACAAAGAAAAAAAACATCTGGTTACATCTAAAAATAACACAGTTTTAAACTATCATGCAGTAGGTTCATTAAAAGGTTTTACAAACACAACATTATTTAATGGCCAAACTGTCTTGATTATAAATACTGTGCTGTGAAGTACTAGAACTTCATTAATTTTTATATTATCAGATTTTGAGAGGGGGGGGGGGTTGTGTGTCTTCTAGTGAGCGGCACACAGTGGATGAATTCATTGAATCAAAGAGGTCTCTTCAAAGGTTAATAACCATCAGCAGTTTGTTTTTGTTGAGTGAGTGTCTAAAACATCTGGAGAACAAAGGTGAAATCCTCCATTTGTTTCAATCCAAGGATACTGGAAGCAAAAACCAATTGACTTTGATTGTCTACACAGGCAAACATTGGTGGATCTCATGGTAGGCAAGAGGATCAGAGGTTATGTGTGAGTGTGGTTGTGTTTGTGCAGCCTATAGTTTCTATATAAGGCCGGTTTTGAGGTCAGTGCGGCGGCGTGAGGAAAGGCCCAGCAGCAGTTCCTTCTCATGTATCAGAGTGTCCAGCAGATCCTCTTGTCTGTAGTTGTGATAGACCTTCAAGAACGCCATTACTGTGATCCCAAGCCAGGTGAGCCAAGCAGCCCATAGGCCAAACTGAAAGAAGGACATTATTATAGCATCACCGAGAACATCTGCCAACAGGGTGGGCAGATGGTAAAGGTACCAGAATCCTTACCTGAGCTATGGCAAACTGGTCATAAAAAGCAGAGTTGTCCAGGCCAAGTTCTAGATCTGTGTCCTGCAGGTCTTCACAGCTAGAAAGGAAGGTTGCACTTAGTATGGCTATGATATGTAAAGTCTGAAAAGTAAAGTATCTGTGTTCCTGCCTCACCTGCTGGGCATGGAACCTCCCTCAGTCACGGCGTCACACCACAGGTTGAAGCCAACGCTGACTATGGTGCTTGACAAGAAGACTGTAAACACCATCAAGGAGCTGATGAGCAGGTTGAGGAATGCATTGAAAAGTGAGCTGCAGGGTAAAAAGAGAAAGATGAACAAACTGAAAAGGAAAACCAACTTAAGCCTAAACATCTATGGCATTTACAGTAGGCCTTTAAAACCAATGTGCAGGACAGGATGATTCAGCTTTATGAGGTGAATTGTATCTAAATTACATTAAAGTTTACATTAGTGCCACAAAACCCTCTGTGTAAAAATGAGGTTAGGATGGATTTTGAAACCAGCTGAAGTGTATCTTATCTGCGTATCTCTTTTCTTGGAGGATGACGTGACAAGACGCTTATTGCGTCTTCTGCAGCTCCCAGCATTAACAACAAACCAATCATGCATGCAGGTTAAGATTCTGGCCAATTTTGATGCATGGATTTGGACGTGGAACGAAAATGAAAATATATATGTATATCTACAAATGTTCAAATAAGCCGTTAAAGTTTAGAAACACTGCCCTCCTCCTTTCAGCTTTTTCTGTATTTCAGTTGTACTGTTTTGAAGGTTATGCTCGACTTACTCGTCGTGTCCTTTGCACAGAAAAAACAGCAGCCTCCAGGCCTGCACTGCGGACAAGATGAGGGATGCTATCCCGACAAAAGTGATGAAGCTGCAGGAAGACTCGGGTCCCCACTCCTCCACGATGAAGCGCTGCTTCGACACAGTGATGTTCTCGTTTTGCCACATACCGCGCGTGAACAGCAGGCATTTCCCTCGGAAGTCCTCCGTGTTTTCTGACAGAGGCACAACGGCGATGAAACCGAACACAAAGGCTAAAAAATAAAGGATGCACTGGGCGAAAATCAAATTATCGAGGGCCATTTTTCTGTCTCTTTCTGCTTTTCTCTCTGCGAGCCGGAGCCACTGCGGCTGCGCAGTGGTCCCGGAGATGAGCGGAGGCGCAGCATCCGACGCACTGTGCTGCACATTAATGAGCAGGCGGAGGCCTTCAGGGCTCTCCATCTAATCTACATCCAAGCCGTGGAGACGTCCCCCTTCAGAGCACCTCCATATGCAACAGCTGTTCATATGTTAAAGTTCTTTGTCATATTCTAAGCCTCAACACCCACAGAATGTTCTTTTTCCCGTTTCCAAATTCTAAGGAGAACCAATTTGACTGAAAAAATGTAAATATACGAAATGTATGTTTGTGGGTCCAGCAATATTTGATGGCACATGACTTTGCAATGAGTGTGTGTTCGTTTTAATTTCCTCCTTGGTGTGCATCTGCAGGAATAGTTCTTGGTCACAGTAGAATGCAGTGTACACTCACAAATTAGAGTAATGGTTTGTTGATACATGGTGACAGTCCTTAAGGAAGGGCAGGTAGCTGACTGTCACAACCATCTGACATGCTCTAGTGAGCCCATCTGGCGAACAGGCCAAGGTGTCTCTCCCCGTGCTGCTGCTGCTCACAGCGCCCTCCAGTGGACAACTTCTTTGCCCATGTTGGTGTAAAGGTTCCCTGCCATGATCACTAGCCCTAATGTAAAGCCTCTTAAACAGAATGCAGCTGAGTGAGGAGATGAAAAATGCTTTGTTTGCCCTCCCTGGAATAAATCAAACATTAAATAATGAAAACAATTTTCGAGACTTCATTCAGCGCGTGCATTTTAATCACGCTGCACACCATCTTCATCGGAGGGTCCGACCGAGGCATTTTATCTCAAGAGTTATTTATAATCCCCCTGTTCCCTGGAAAATATTGCATACAGCAAAAAGACAAGTATTTATATGAGAGCTTTCCGGACATCAGGAAGCTATTTGTATCCATCATACAGGCTGCAGTATTTTGCGTCATCTCCCAGCACATGATTTATGTGTCATTTTGCAGCACCACAGCCCTCCATTTCCATGATGGTATCAGCTCCGAGATTAGCTTGAGTTATTATGTGAGTGTGTGTGGTCATCTCCTTAAAGTAGATTTTTCATTCTAATGGTCAGAAACTTTTTTTTCTTGTTACTACTAGTACTATTCGTTTGTTGTATGTCAGTTGAGTACATTTTCTCTGTTTATATGCCTTTTCTGTGGCGCATCACTTTACAGTTTAGACTTATTACAGATACTTTAGAGCCTGTGAATTCCGTTTATTTTAAAGGTAAAAACCAACTAAAATCTGTGAAAACTCTGAAATATTCATAATGAAAAATAAATTAACAGGAAGTCAACTTTAAATGTGCAAACTTGCTAATGATGTCTCCGGCTAGACCTGAGACAGCATCTGCTGACTACAAGGTCATACGCTTAATAAATTCATAAGGCATTCCCCCTTTACAAAAAGAAGAGATTACATGCACAGAACTCCAAAGCCTACTTTTAATTTAAACAGCTTGTGTGGGCTCGTGAACTGGGCACCCAGGGGAAACCCAAAGCAGAAGTGTGTCAAGCTGAAATATGTGTTAAGTTATTCACCCCCCATACAAGCCACAGAGAAAGAAAAGGGAGGCAGAGAGGGAGGGAGGGAGGGCGATGCTAACCCAAATGCATTCCCTGCGTTCTGGGCAAACATGTTAAGGGATGGGCAGAAAAAAGCATTGGGAGGTCATCCATTTTTCATGAGATGCTATGGCAGCAAAGCAAACATCTTTTTTCAAATGGAGGGAAGCCAGCGAAGAATGTAAAGTGCAGAATCATTTTCAAGGACAACACCCGTGCATTTTAACATGCAATGCATTTGTGTTTACATGGGAACAACATGCACGCTTTTAATGTTGACTGTAGGATTTTTTCTGATGTATATTCATTGTAATAAGGGTGTGAAAGGATGATCTTGGTGTGCTACTGTGAGAATTATCAGAAACAAGGTGACTGGGGGGGGGGGGTTAAAAGATTAATATTAGAAGATTCACATTTGTATCATAAGCTGAATTTTAAAGGTTAGAAATTGCTTAAAGAATGCTTTGACATCTAGAAGCAAAGTACATTTTTAATGTAAAAGAATGATTGGTCATCTCAATAAACTGTCCGTCATCTTGATATGTCCTCATGTTCTCCTCAGTCGTTTTCCTTTGCTGGATCGGGTTCTTCCTCTTCTTATTGCTCCTTGTTGTGGAGCCTTCCCACTCAAAGTCTCAAGCTCCTCTTTCTCCGCCTGCAACACAAAACAACAGCAAAAACAGACGCAATTACAACCTCATATCCTGGGCAGTGATGTGAAGGGCCTGATGAAATATCCTGTACCCATTAATCTTTCCCCAGGGGGCGCAGGAGACTGGAAGCACTGGGCCAGCCACTGATTAAATGTTCCTAATAGAGGCCATTCATCTCCCCCTTGAATCTTGAGCGTTTCCACATGCAGCATCCACTAACGCGACTCCTCCCCACACGTCTTGGCACGAACAGTGTTATTTTCATGAAGTCGGTAGTTTTTAATTTCGTGATATCTGTTTAAACGAATATGATCTCTTAGTGCGCTCCGATGAGTTGATGGATGACGATGATCACGACATCATCTCATTCCTAACTGTTCCAATAATCCTCCTAAATACTCATGCATGAGGTCATGAGAGATTAGATCAGATTCAGTATTTGCACGGCTAACTATGTTGAATATCCTTATCATATTATCTATGACCATTCTTGCATGGGATAGATGGTGTTTGCATTAGCCATTAACAGTTTTGTGTGCAGCTAATTTTCACACATTAGTCATTCTGCTCTTTGCAAATCCTCCAAGTTTTATTTCTATTTGTAGCCCAGGGGAACCATTAGATAACACTAACTGCCCTCCTTACAAAACAGCCCTCTGGAAAAACAGTGCCACTGAGACTACTATTTATAACATATAACATATACTACTATATATAACATTACCATACTCAGCAGCCAGGTAGCAGTAATCCATAAAAAATGTAAAATCTGATAATACCAATAGAACAAAATTGTATTGTAAAAAAGCAACCGATAGCTGCATTTTTATTGGATTTCATGAGTATGTCATTGCTTTCTTTTGTAGGATGACATCATTGTAGGCGGAGATCTTAAAAGTGAAGATGGTTATGCTGGAGGACAGGCAAAGTGGGGATGAAGGGAGAGTAAAGAGGGCACCTGCTGAGACGTGTTGAAGTAAAATCCTCAGAGACTAAAAATGAGATCATCCAAAGGTTGTCTTGCATGTTAACTGGAACAATAGTGACCCCTACTGACCAGCTTTGCTTCTGTCTTCAGGTGATGAGTAGTACCACAGTCCTATTGCACAGCCTGCATTTCATTACTTTTTGTTTGCATAGAACAATGTACCTGTTTGGCATCTCTTTGCCAAGCCGTTAAATCCATAAAGCTGACCAGGCTGCAGGTGTATGAGGGACCCTGTAGAGGTGGAGATGTGTCTTTGTCTGTGAAAGAGAACAAAGAACAACATCGATTTGAAAGTGCTGTGATTTTCTGAAAACATTTATGTTAGATAAACAGCATTTTGATAAATGTTGGTGTAGCTTAATCGAGGTCTCAGGAGGAACCATTCTGTTCATTGCATGCAGCATCGCTCAGTGGTTGTCTGTTTAGGTCGCAGAGACCAAGACGGAACAGGCTACAAATCCCTGAGGTACAGCAATGATCAGCACACCCTGGCAGATGGAGGGATGTGTGCCTGCACCCGGCACACACACATTCAGGTGAAGGAAGGAAAAAGGGCCGTTTATGGATGAATGACTGCTGCAGCAAAGTTAGGGGAGCCAGTCTCTGACTCTTACTCTCCAGTCTCTCTCTTCCTTAGCAGCCAAGCCCCCCTGCTCTTTCAATAAGTACCTATATCCTGCCCCCTGCAAAGGACAGCTGCTCCTCTGAAACATAACCATATCAGGCCACAATGCACAATGAGAGTATACCTACACAGGGAAAGGAGCAATTGTTATTCTTTTCATAAGAGGTGATTTTCAACATCCGTATCATTCAGCGTTATGGTGATTGCAGGGGATTCAGTGTATTTTACATTTCAATAAGGCGACTAAAATTATTCACCTTTTCCAATCATTGCTCCTGGATCTTTAGCAGATAACGGGTTGCTGGAGATTCTGTGAGTCTCAGTCTTCTGATTCCACCAGCCCCCCGCTTTCCAATGATCACGCCAAGGTGGGATGTTCGGCGGAATGAGTTCATTTGTTTGTAATTTGGATTTGAGGGTGATCTCACCAGCCATGGCAGAAAGCGCTGTGGGGGTTTTGATATTACGCTCTGGGCAGAGTGTTAGAGAGCCACCAGTTATCTTAAGATGTGTGGGAGAGATGGAGCTATCCTGCTCACACATCCCCGGAGAGCCACCAGGTATAATTTCCTCTGAAACGAAGCTCCAGTTAAGATCAGTGTGCTGATCCAGGGACGTTTTAGATGGAGAACAAGAGTGGTCCTGACTGAGAGGCCCAAGGGAATCCACTTGCTGGTGATGTTCATGTTGGTCCTGAGTACAAAAAAGGCAAAGAGTCACATTGTAATATGTCAGTCAACCAACTGCGCATTATGTACTGTTTGGTTACAAATAACTTTTGATTACGAGGTTGATTTTTGTTTCCAGAAAACAGTCAGGTGTGGCTGAGAAGACGGAGTCTGACTGATCTTCTTTCTCTGGTGACTCTGAGGAAAAAAAAGTTTCTGTTTTAGGTGTTTGTTCATGTTCATGATGTCCAAGATGACCTGACACAGAACTCACCCTCTGCAGAAAACTCCTGCCCCACCACTATTTCATTTCCTGAACTGTCAAGGGAAACTGGCTCTTTGGCGCCATCTGGTGTCCAAATCAGCTTCGAGCAATCTGACATGAAATCAGACGGGGACAGAGTCCCTCTTCCTTCCTCTTCATCCACTTCGTCATTAGCTTCTTCTTCTCCTTCCTCGCTGCTTTGATTTTCTCCATCTGTTAGCAGAGACGAGATCCTCTGCAGAGTCACCGTGCGCTCATATACGTAAGGATGTTTGAGCAGAGGCAGTGATGAAGCTGAGGTGAAGGATGAGGCAGACACAGAGCTCAGACTCTCAGAGGAGGAACTGTGCTTCATTAGCTCAGATTGATCCTGCTGTGAGCACACAAAGAGTAGTGGTTTTTAGTTTCTTGACAAATGTAAACAGAATTTGGTCAGAGATATGAGACACATAGCATGTTTTACCTCCTCTGGGTTCTCTGTAGGTGCCATATTCTCTGTGTTGTCCATCATGTCCGCTGGCGACGGGCTGGGTGTAAGATGTCTCAGAGCCTGGACGGACAGAAACAGTTCTCTGCTCTTTGATTTTTTCTCTGTAGGCTTTGGCCACACAACCTCTCTGCAAAAAAGAACACAGTTCATGGTTACTTATGGATATGGCATTTACGGTAAAGCTATTCTATTTCGTACCTTATTTTCGGATGCGGTTGTCTCATTTCCATCACAGCCTTTTCAAGCAGTTTCACCAGCTGCTCTGAGGACATTGAACTTTCTCTCTGATGATGATAGAGACTGGCAGACAAAGGACGAGGTGCCGTTTCATCCAAGCAGTCTGGTGAAATCAAACCCTTTAGTGCCACAAAATACGCATTGTTCTGTCCTTTTACTGTTAGATGTGCCTGGCTCACCCTTCATCCTCAGTGGCAATATCCCACTGAAGTCCTCTTCCTCCTGATAAGAATTCATTTACAAAAATGAATATTAAGGTGCACATCTTTCATAAATAAGGAATATTGTGATGTTTTATATCTGTTACAAGAGATTTACTCACACAATATCCTTCAGGAATGTAATTTAAAGCTTCTGTTGACAGATTGAACCTTCTACAAGCCTGGAGAAAGTACGTGACCATGTTTTCACTTTCTGTGTGGCTTCTCCTCAACAGAGCCCAGGCATCAGAAACACAGCTGGAGGTTGGATACATATAACAAACCATCAAGATAGCAACACTAATTTGAGATTTTATCAAACATCCATGCGTTATGGAGTATGTGACTATTATATACCACATTTCACCTGCTTTGAAGAAGCACGTCTGCACATAGTTTGGCATCTTCGACAGTCTCTATTGCAGGTCTTGTCCACTGGAGGTACCTCAAAGCCATCTGAGGCTGCTTTCTTGACAGGAGACAGTTGATGATGCAGTGATGCTGCCAGGAGTTCAGGGGAACAGTGGCTCTTGGGCTAAGTAATAACTCCATGGATGCCTGGGAAGATTTTAAAATTACACATTTAACACAGCGTCGTGCTTTGGTCCTTTGGTCGTAAATTTCCTTTTCAACAGAGAGAAGATTGAAGGAAAAAAAGACATTAAAGTTCTTTCCACGACTCAATGGAACAGCGGGCATTACAATTCATTAATCGCATGAATTAACTAAATTGCAGTTTAATGTCAAATGTGAGCCATTAAGGCTGAAAGAGCAAGACCACGTATGTGATCAATAGGATGGTTAACTGACCCGCACAGCTTCTGACACCTCAATCATAATTACAATTACAAACCTCCATTTGCCTGCTCCATAAATTAACCTTTTTCAGATACCTTGATGTGTCCATGGTCAAACAGCCAGAAGGCTCGGACTTGTTGAGAGAAGCTTGAAGGAATTGTGAAGGCATGGCAGAAAGACTGAAGAAGGTTGTCTTTGCACTGGAGGAAATTTGCCACATCCAGGATAAAGTACATGAACTGCAGCAGTTAGGTTAAGATCAACATCATCTGAAAAATGGACACACATCATGCTAATGTGAAAAGAAAGAGTTGCTGTTGCTGTTTTTGGATGGATACAATAGCGTGGATGGACATGTTGTCAATATGAGGCACCAGCACAAGCTTCAGCAGAGCCTGCAAATTAGGAGGAGGATAGCACTCATCCGTGCAGTCCTCAGAAGTCCAAATGCACCCGTGTTGATTGTTTAGCTGCATCACCATGCCCTCTATCAAAAAGTCAAATCGTCCTGTTTCTCCCTTCCTGCACCTGCAGACAAATAATTTTAAAAAACAGCAAAAACTAATCTAAGAATGAATGTTCAAACGCAAGAAAACAACATTTAAATCTGTAAAATAAATGGAGTTACCTAGGTGTTTCAAGACACACTTTTCTGTGCTTAGGATCCATTTCCTTCCACATCTGAGTAATACGCTTGACTTCTTGCACCTCTAACAGTAATAGCAGAGAACAAAAACAAACACAGAGGTGTTCAGAGCAAATCTTACAGGTATTCATAACATTGTGGTATGTTTTATGCTATCAGTACCAGGGAACTTAGGCAGGAGCCCCGTGATGCCCCACCATTGAATCAGCTGTCCTAGCCAGATGTGTTGTTTCAGAGTATTGTGTTCCCTGTTCCAGCAGTCTTGTCTGATGGCTGAAGAGCTGTGTGTGTCCATGCAAATCATGCATGGAACCCCCACACCTGACCAAAGAGAACAAAGAGGGTGACTGGACATAGACGCATTGCAGACTGGGACAATGGGCATGCTGCTCCGGCTCGGCTGAATGCGTACCATGCCAAAAATGGGCAGCACAAAGCTTTTTTCTTGCCCACTGGGCCAAGGTGAGCAGGTTTTTTAATCTTTGGAGCAACATGTTGACTCTACTGAAGGCGCTCCGGTTCAGATACATCCACAGACCCTGACAGCGGCTGAAGCCTGTGACAACATACAGACAATAAGTCCACGCAGTCCACACAAACTCCCATTCAGCTTGTTGATTTAAGTGATGCTGCGATGATTTTAAAGATTAAAAAAAAATGCAATATAAAAACTCCAATCCTACATTAGCACTAATAATGCATGTAATGGTCAGCGTGATACAAAATTTACATTATTGTGATAATTAAGATTTATCATTTTAAATGTGACAGTAAATCTATCAGCTGAAGTTAATCATAATATGTTTCCCAAAAACATCAAATAACTTATAAAGTGGCCAGTACTTACACAAGGTAAGCACCTCCTTTTTAGTAAACTCTGCAGTCCTCTGAACCCAGCAGCTGAAGGTGGGTAGAGTTTCTGCCACATGAGCGTCACCTCAATTCAATGGAAAAAAAACAATTTGGAAAAGTGCTTTCACAGGCATTGTGAAGAGCAAGTTTCATTAAGAGTTTTTTCTCTTTACACACCTTCTGTGGTTAGCGTCTCCAGCCAGCAAATGATGGCTCGGATGTTGTTGTTGGTCAAAGCCTCAGACCACTGACCCTCCAGCATGCTGACCGCACTCCCAGTGTAATGCCACGGAACAAGCAGCAAGAAAAGGGGTTCACTGCTGGATCAAATGGAAGCTTCTCGGGGAAAAAAAAACATGCTCACCTGCAATGTTCTTTTGAGCTATAAGAAATATGTGCTTACATTTAAATGATACTTACAGTTTGTGATTTAGCTGTCCACAGCAGCGGCAGAGTTAAGGTTCATTCTTGTTCTGAGCAGTGGTGAGCGCGGTGAGTTCTGCCTATATTGTGGATTTGCCGACCGGCTCAGTGTCAACCGTAATGTTGCCTCCTTACACAAGCTACTTTCCAAGATGTTAATCCACTAATCTCTCTCTCTCAGTCAACATTTCACTGGCGTATTTGTAGCGTGGTTTTATTCACACATGTGTGTGTTTTTTAAGGTCTTCAGAACAGGAGAGGTGAGTAGCAGTAGGAAAGAGTGCAATGTTACATGGAAAAGGGAAGAAAATATGCTCATCTATGCAGTCAAAATCTTTCAGGCATTTAGCCACACCCCCAGAAAGTGTGTTCCATCTTCCTATATTTTTCTCTTTGACATTCTGAGGTCAGTCACCTGCAGCTGAATGCCATCCATCCATCCATCCATCCATCCATCCATCCATCCATCCATCCATCGATCCATCTTCTGAACCACTTATTCCCAAATGGGGTCGCGGGGGGGACTGGAACCTATCCCTGAATTCAAAGGACGAGGGGCGGGGTACCCCCTGGACAGTGGCCAGTCCATCGCAGGGCTGAAGGCCACCCCTCAAAAATCCAAAAGCATCAAAATGATGAGATAACTGCACTGTATGTCTGATTGCTCTGCACCTTGTTTCTGACATAATTATTTTCATCAGCTTCTGCATCTCAGATTTGTTTTAAGTTTGGAAACTGTATAAAGTAAAAAAGAGAACATTTCAAGAAACCACATTAAACTACGTTTATTTGAAACTAGCCCGAACATTCCCTGTCAAATACAGAAACAGATTGTTTTGTGTGCGTGTGTGTCTATTGTTAAATCAATAAAAAAGCGGTACACCACACAAAACATGTCTCAGGGCCATTTTAACACTGTGCTACATCTTGTCTTTGTTTAACATAAAACCATGAAATTTTGGGCTTGCATTCTCACATGTTCATGGATTTAAACTGCCCAACAGTTAAGGGCCTCCATATCTGGTTATAAATGTTTTATAGCGCATTGAGAGTTTGAAATTCACCAGTCAAGCCACTGTGTTCAACACATGGACTTCTTTTGCTCATCCTGTTGTATTACATACTGAATAAATCCAGTACAGCCCAAAAAATGTCTAAACACCAGAAGTGGTTGCTCTGAAACCTCATGACAATTAAGTACTGATGGTTCTTTTATCTATGGTAAGTTAACAATGCCATGTGGACCATCACACTGTTGAAAAGCTGCCGTCTGTTGGTTCTCTATACTCTATGTATGGATTTTTCCTGTTCAGTCACACACTGATGAGAATTGTGTGAGTTTAGTGCTCAGTATTTGGAGGGACTGGGGTACCACTACTGACTTATGACTGAAATACAACCATCGTACTACTGGAAGATAGTATTTTTTTTTCCCCGTTTTTTTTTAAACATTCTTTTTTTCAGTGACTGATGTACTTTAAATTATACACAAATCACTTAAATCTGCTTTGCCATCACTTTCCTTTCTCGCTAATCAGGTTGAATTTAAGATTACAGGATTACTTGCTGGATTTTGCTTCTCTCGTGTGTGGCTTTGTATATCTTATCATATGTTTGTCAGAACATTTGGATGACCCCCACCCCCTTTAGGATTTCTACCAGTAGAGAGCAGTACAAGATTAGTTTTTCTTCTGTAAGTGTGTCAGTGTGCTTTTACCCCTCATTTGACATTTCTGGTTCTGTGCTTAGTGATCATGTGGGTGAAGTCTTCATAATCCGGGCTCAGACGCAACAGTTACATTTTTCTGTGAATGAATGAAATGTTTTGTTATCACAAGCTGACTTTATTAAGAAATATCTGTTAGTAATCGAATTTAACTGCTGCACTCCAATTTTTTGATAAAATAATTTTTTTTTTTTTTTTTTAACTAAACAAAAGTACAGTTACACAAAGGCCCTCCCCCATAACTTTCACAGTCCTGGGACAGTCAGATTTGCATAGGTGGCAGAAGGTGGGTCTAAATCCCTTGTGGGGCCCAGGGCTGATTAATGATTAAAGGGGATTAGAAGGAGAGTCAGGACTTGCCTACTTGTCTTCCTCTGATGCTACAGTGGCTGCCTCCGTGTTGTCGCCACCACGGCCACTCTCTCTCCCTCCTCTGAAGACGTCAGAAGAAGGCAAAATGAAAACGAGTTCAGAGTGATGTCATGTGTTTAATATGGATCAACAGCACAGGAGGGTGAGTTCAGAGGACTTTGAATTAAACTCTTGATCTACCTGCTATTCCCAGCTATTACCTACTAGTCTACCCTTGTAATTGGTTAACCTAAAAGGGAGCAGCTTATGTAATAGAATATTGGTACTATCATTTCTATTGTTCCTGTATAGATACTGTTTCTTGAAAACATATTTAATATTACCATTTGTATTATGTATTATTCAGTACTGTACTGTATTATGTTTAAAGGACTGTTTCTTTTTTTATTACCTCAACACTACAGTCTCGCAAAGTGCCTACAGTACAACTAGAATGCAGCGCTCACAAGATAGCAATCTTGACTGCCAGGCTAAGCTGCTTATGAGAGGACCTTCAGAGAACTCTACAACCAAGCCCCCGCTACTTGGTCCCCCGCATCGCATGGAGGAAAACTTGCTCCCTTCTCCTGCTCTTCCGGTCTCCACTTTTAATCCTTCCCTGGATTTAATCAAGTAACTAAAGACGACGTATGCAATGGCAGTTTTAAAAGTCAAATTTACCAAGACCAAGAGGGACAAGCTAGCTCAGGTGCTATGGATCCTCAACTGGATCTCAGTGGTCACAGGAGCCATTCTGTTCAGCCTCGGGCTCTTCCTCAAGGTAGAGATCAACAAGCAAGGGGAGCTCATGGCTGAGAGAGACATACAATATGTACCTAATATGCTCATAGCTGTGGGTCTCATTGCATGTGCCATCAACTTCCTGGGAGGAAAGATCTGCTATGACTGCGTCGACACAACCAAGTTCCTGCGCTGGAAGCTGATCATGCTGCCCTACATTATCTGCACTTTCTTCTTCACCTTCTGTGTGCTGGTGGGAGCTCTCATGTGCTACACCATGCGTGGGGAGCTAGATCAGTCTCTTGACTTGGGGCTTACGCAGGCAATAAGGTTTTATAAAGACACAGACACACCGGGACGCTGCTTCCTGAAGCGCACTGTGGACATGCTGCAGATCCAGTTCCAGTGCTGTGGAAACAACGGCTTTAAGGACTGGTTTCAAATCCAGTGGATAAGCAACCGCTACCTGGATATGTCCCAGAAGGATGTGGTGGAGTAAGTACCAAATGCTGCCAGAGGACACTGTTCTACTTTTAACTAGAGGAACTACACGTAATGTTACAGATTATCAAAACCTGAATTATCATTGAGACTATTGGTGTCTCATTGAAATGATAAAAATCAAGGCAATGTGTTTAGTCATGTTTTTAGTTAAATTTCAGTTACTTTACTAGTTTGTTTGTTCTTGATTGATTATTTTGTCTGTTTTTAACACATGAACTGGGGAGGCATTTTCACCCCATAGGTTAAAAAAGAATACAAAAGGAACAACAAATGGGAACCACATGAGATCTGGATCATCTGGACCATTACTAAAATCTGGGGGGGAAAACAGTGAATTAAAGACAGTTAAAACTGATTTTAGTTGTATTATGTTTAAAAATGCATACCTATGACAATACAAGTATATTTTGTTTTTCTTCTTGGCAGGAATTGACCAAAGGGAAGTACTCCTTGACCTGCTATATATAGTTGTTGTCCTCGGTCACACCAGTATGACCATCTTTAGCTGATAAGTTGGTCATTCCTCACCTTGCTGCGTCCTCGGACACTAGCAGGGCAAAGTTGAAATATGAATCTGTTCTTTTTTAAGTTAAGATACATTAAGCTTAACAAAGAGAGGTACCAAATCCTTCATTTTCCGCCTTTCTTGTTTTGCAGTCGTTTAAGGAGTAATGTGGAAGGGAAGTACCTGATGGATGGAGTCCCCTTCAGCTGCTGCAACATCAACTCCCCCCGGCCCTGTATCCAGCGGCAGATCACCAACAACTCTGCCCACTTCAACTATGAGCACCAGACAGAGGAGCTGAACCTTTGGATGAAGGGGTGTCGCCAGGTGCTGCTGGAGTACTACACCCACATTATGCAGTCCATTGGCCTCACGGTCCTCATCACCTGGCTGTTTGAGGTGAGGAAGCATGAGCTCAATACTGTCAAATTTCAGCTGCTTTGAAGGGTAATGATACTGTTACGACACTTCCTATTGTCCTTCACTGACAAATTGATCATTTGTGATTTGGTTTTCTCTATTTTATGTTCCTACTCATTTTTCTCAGTTATTAACATCCCTGTTTTGTTTCAGCTGTCAGTGCTGACCGGTGTTCGTTACCTCCAAACCTCCCTGGAAAATGTGCTGAGACAGGGAGACCCCAACTCTGAATCTGATGGCTGGCTGTTGGAAAACAGCTTCATGGAAACTGCTCGTACCAACATCAATATTATCAAGAGCCTCGGCAAGAGCAACCAAATAGACACAGCCAACAATGGGGACCCCAACATTGATGTCCCGTCCACCTCCAAGGCGCACTACGGGCCAGACAACGTTCCTCCAAAGCCAATCACTGAAACCAGTTGATCTTTTTCAGAAAGAGAGATCTCGATCAGTAGTACATTTGGGTATTGTTTTTTTTTAATACATCAAAGACTATGGATTGACATCCATCATATCCTAATCCATTGATCTGTGGACTTCATTCTGAAGGCTCAGGATTGAAGTTTGGCCATCACCTAAATGAACTTTGCAGCCAAACACCCTTTTTGTACATCGCAAACATGTTTATTCCACCCAAAACATACAGATTTACAACATGTACATCTTTCCTGTAAGTGCAGAGACTGGGGGGGAGTTTAGTTGGCTCTGATTGGTCAGTTCAGCTCTCCTGAGCTCTACTGACATTTACATATGAGAAGCCGTGTCATTGGCTGCAAGTATTTGCTTGCCGCAAGTCATATTCAGGGACAAAAACCAACTCAAAAGTGTGTCAACAAATCCCACAACAGTTTTTCTCTCCCTTTTTTGGGCCACAAACTGACATAGTGCAAAGTGTGTTTACGTATTTCACACTAGTTTTAATTTCCTGCCCCTCAGGTGGACACTTGGTTTTTATTTGTATCAGGTCAGTGAAACGCTTTTTATAGATAAAGGCTATGTATTGGTTAAAGCATGCATAGGAAATTGTGTGAGTGTGTAAGGCTTAACATATTGAGGGGATTGTCACACAGAACGTATTCTGTTTTAGGGATACCTCTCCAGAATATGCCAACTCGACTAAACTAGCAAAACTTTCCATAATATCACTCCTTTTCTTCAAACATTATAACAAACCTCGAGTTTTTCTGAACAGCTGTTCCAATCTGTACTGTGATGTGTTGTTTACAAATGTTTTGTTGCCTCTGTGTCATGCAGTTTTGCAAGAAATTGCCAAAACAAGTCCTCACACCTGACCGCTGTAACACTTGAATAATAGTGGTCTGTTGTTGAACAGGTTAGGGGTGGGCCAGAGGTCAAAACACACTTTTTTTTAACACATTGTAAGAAGAAAAAAATATTTTAGAAAAAAATTCAATTTTACCCAGTTATTATTTTGGGTGTTAACGTGCAATAGTAGCTACACTTCTGGACCCAAAGTTTGCTTATCTGTTTAACAAAGTAGTAATAATAGTTAAACAATTTTAATCATCACTACGTTTTAATGCTTTCACGTAGACATTTTCAGATAGGTAAACATGAATAAATACATGATACCGTAAATCTTATGTGCCTCAGCAATGCCACCTTTTTTCACAATGAAACACCGTCGGCTGGGATGTGCTATGAAAGGTTTGAGAATAAAGGTTTGTCTGTTAAAGCTCTGTGTGACTTAATTAAAAGGGAAAATGCATCTGTATACATGTTTGACAGACGACTTTCCCTGCTGCTAGACACTCTGTAATGTAAACATATAGCGCTTTTTCTAGTCAAGCTGACTACTCAAAGCGCTTTACACTACGTGTCATTCACACACACATCCACACACTGACTGCACCAGATGCAACCAGTAGGCAACTTGGGGTTCCGAGCCTTTCCTAAGGACTCCTTGACATGTGGTCTAGAGGAACATGGAGTTGATTTTTTAAAACACAGCCAAAGAGGTGAAACAGATGTCTCAACATTTCAGACGCTTATATATGTCAAATCTAAGTGGACTAAATGTAATAACTAACCAAAAGCAAAGAGCCTTCTGGTTCCACTGAGTAGATCTGTAACACTGATATACATACTGACCCAAGGAACAATGCAGATAGTCAGTAGATTGGCTTGTGTCTTTATTTCCAAAGCCTAGTCATTGAGAACTGTCAAACATCACAAAAAAGAAGGAAATGTTTATTGACACAATGTTTCCAGAAATGGCAACAAATACTGGAGGAGTAACTGAATAGGCATACTGGTTCTTTTTTCTTTTTTCCTGTAGACAATAAAAATGTACATTTCTTACATTTCATGAATTACCTTAATGTTATGGGAGTTAACTAAACATGATAAATAAACATTCTGCCTCAGTTCCTTCCATTAGTTTTAATTATTACAAGCATGCATCCTTTTTGGCTCAATTTACTTCCTTGAAGGGATCTCACAATTTCATATCGTGTTGGATATATTTTAAGACTACTCTTTAAGTGTTTAAGGTCACTGAGGATTTTAACAATAAATATGAGTGGATATCTAACAAAACAGTGGTAAAATGGCTGATGTTAAGTACATGCTGATCAGGAGTCATGGTGAACAATTATGCCGCTAAAAAACAGGTGGCAAAACTAATAGAAAGTATATTCTATAGAAGTTTCACCCATCATACATATGTCTAGACATGACTAAGGTTGCAGCAGGTTTTAATTTGGGACGTCTTTACAATGGATAGGCAAATCAAAATGTATAGATCTATTTTCAAACCTTTCTGCATGTATGTGCCCTCCCAAAAAAAGCATAAATGAACAATTAGAACTTATAATAAATCATCAATTTTAAACACAAAAACAGAATGCAAGCAATTTCTATCACTAATGAAAAGTGTCACCCATAAACTAAAACCAGGAAAATGTAAGAGTAGTTATTGTTTGTTCTTATTTGAATGAACTTCTTTGAAATAGCGTCACTCCAGGAGAAACTCATCCTCACTGCAGACAATCAAACTGAAACAAGGCGACTTCGGTTATATAATCGTCCACCACCTTCCGTTATTTGTTCCCTCTGGAAGGGATTGAGCCTGCTTTGATTGTAGAGAGCTTAAATGCTGAGGTTGCTATTTTTTAACAATCATCACAACATCTGCCACTCAAAGGCAAACATAACGTTGACCACCTCCAGGCTGCGTGCGATTTCTTCCAGGATGCAGTGCTGCTGCCACAGTTGGTTCAGCTTCCTGTAGCGCTCCGGGCAAAGGTGCAGAGGATTGCCCCTTCTGGAAAAACAAACCGCTTGATTGATTCAAGGGCTGTCAGGGGACACATCTCCCTGATGGCAATGGCTATATAATAATTCGTACATTACATATCTGGAGAGAGTACAGTGCAGTTAAAACTGCATATATGATATTAAAAAAAAACTCCATTACATCCACCAATATAGCATGAAGATGGGAAGTAAAATCCTTAATTAAAAACCAAAAGCAAGAGAATAAATAAATCCAGCAAAGATTCAGTTCTCACCCTAGATGAGGATCGGTCTCCCCGTAATCATCCAAATAAGGAGCTGGGTATGTGCTTCCCCGGGTCTTACTGGCCATCAGTACTATTTCACACTCTCTTATCCTGTGGTGAAAAAAAAAAGAAACACAACCTTGAAATCATTTTTATTTTTATTTTTTAAAAACACCTCGGCTGGTCAAATTCCACTTATTTCCAATAAGCAGTGCAGCTGACCAACCTCAGGAACATTCCCACTCCGGCCCCACAGGTAGCAGCGTGTGCGGTGCAGGCTCCCACGTCCTCCCCGTCCAGCTGGCTGAGACAGCAGGAGCTCTGCGAGCACAGCATTGCCCCACAAAACAGGCACAGAGTCGGATGCTTCCGCTCATCGTCTGTAGATTTTGGACATCTAAAGGCAGAGTGCGGACAGGTCAGAAAGCCTGCCTCTCCACGGCACACTGAGAGACGGTGAAAGAAAGGACTTACTGAAAATGGCTGGCTTGGTTGAGGAGAACACTGTAATCCTCAGGAAGATTAATCAGACGATTCCTTCTCCTGGGATATCTGTGGAAAGAGTGGGTTTATTCACCAAAAAACAGGCTAGATCTATCACAAAAAAAAATTAATCTGTTTTTAAAAGAAATACAAGAGCTGGAGTCAACCTGATGGTCTGGATTTTGCCTGTAAGGGCTTTGGTTATAGCTGGGCTCCCGCACCACCTGAAAAAAAAAGGTTACAGTTATAAAACTGCTCCCTTTGTCCATTGAAGACCAACGGACACAGCGAGCTTCTGAACTTACATCTGAAGAAGTGGAGAAACAGTTTCTCTGTTGTCCTGGAAGAGCTGGAACACGTTGGAAGGCAGTGCCAAATAACTGCATAGTGCCTCAATTTGTCCTTGAGATGCAACTAGGACATAAAACATCGACTTCAATAGACAGAATTTCATTTGTTGTATATTCTCAGTGATGTTCTATTTACAGCGCGACATACCAGAAGTACTGAAAAGCTCCTCTGGTGGATGAACTCCTGTTAGGCAATTAAAAAACAGAGCAGCACATCGCAGGAACGGCTCGATTCCTGTCTTCACTCTTTGTGCTACAGAGTTGCAGGACAAGTCTGGAGTCAACCTGAGGAGTGGGCCATAACACAGGAGGAAAGAGTAGTGTTTTTCAAATCGGAAAGGGATCTGGTAGTGAGTCATGACACACATGAAATGTCTGTCACAGTATGCTGACGTCTTTGTCTGCATGAGGGTGCTGAGGGAGGTCGGGGGGGTAAGTCCAGGAGGGATCCTTCCACAGAACTTCCTCTGGTGTGTTCTTTCTTACTTTTCATACTTTTAACATCCAAAACACTGAAGACTGAATGAAGCACTTGTCTCCTTTCAATTGAAAACAAACCAGCTTCTGTATTTTTTGCAAACAGGAGGATGAAAGCAAGCCGCACCTTCCAGTGTGTTGTGACACTGTGGTGTAAAACTCTGCTGCTGCTCTCGCCTCTTCCGTCTCCTCTCCGTCGTCTACGGCTGGGAAATCTGCACAGAAATCAAATGGTAACAATCCTTATGTGCTGGCAAACTTTTTGCCTTTTCCGCTACTTTAGTGAACAGCAGATTCAGTTGTGTTCTCAGATGAGACTCGGGGATCTTCTGATACCTGTAGAAGTCAAGAGGACCTGCAGCATGTGCGCCATGGTGACCAGCTGCAGGATGTAAAGGTGGTTGTAGGCAGAGCTCACAGCAGATGGCTGCAAGTCTACAGCCTCCTCCTGATACAGCGAGGGCATAGACAGCACCAATCCCACCTGAAAAACAATCCGTACATCAATCCAAGTTTTCCCATGAAAGATTTCTTTAAGAGACGCTCTGTTCAGGGGTCACCTACCAGAAGATGGAAGAAGTCCACCTCCAGAAGAGAAGGTGTGCTCTTTCTGCTCATGACAGGAAGCAAGACTAAGGAGAGACAAGGAAAACCGTCAACCGGACCAATAAAAAAGGACGAATTGATATTTTTTTAAATACTTAAGGTACCAACATGCATTACTAATCATACAAACTCCTAAAAGACAAAGTTCCTAATAAGTTATAAAATTATTCATGACATACAGACTAATAAAATGCAGAAATTCCAATATTCCAAAGAAGTGCCTTTTACCAATCAATGCTTTGTTTAAATTTAAAGGTTCTTATTCCCAGTGATGGTTTCAAGCAGTGTTCCAAGGCACAAAGCATGCTTAAACGGACAACATACCCCCCATCATGTCGGTGAAGTGCCTTTGGATGACTGTCTGGGAGCTTTTAAGTCTCTGTGATGCTGAGAACTGAACAATTGCTCTCAGACCCGCGAGCTAAAAAGAAGGAAAGAAATTTACAAAAGTAAATGCATTAGTTACTTTTTCTTCCTTTTCTTTTTTTGGCTCGCCCATATGTATTGTCCTACCTGTCTGTTTTGTAGGGATCCAAACAGTGGTTTGTCCTCTTCCTGCAATATGTTCTCTGTGAGCACAGCAAAAAAAACAACACTTGAACCAATGCACTGATTATTAAAGAAACAGAGAAACACAGGTCAAGTTTTACTATACCTATTGCCTGAATGGTGAAGGCACATGTGTTCCAGGCCATGAGGGGCACACGGGGACACAGCTCATTGGGTGCAGTCTTCAGTCCAACCCTGTGGACAGTTGTAGCACAGACTACCAGCATCTCTGCAATGCTGTCTGAAAACCTTCTCCTAAGAGAGTCAGGGAGAATGAACAGGTTTATTTTTTATCATTCCAATGAAAATGAACATTAGTAATACAGAAAAATCCTGAAGTTTCACTCACGGTTCTTGTACTCCATAACTCAGAATGGATCTAAAGTCTGGCTGGCCTTCGCCACAGAGCCCAGAGGTCCCGCTAATACCACTACCACTGTCAGCACCACCACCCTCTGCACTGAAGTCTGCAAGAAGAAAGAAGAATGTTTATAGGGGCAAATGGGAAATGACTTTTTCTCTTTCTTGAGGACATGACGTCATATTGGGGTTTCTCAAGAAACGTTTTGGTATTAACCTTTCCATAAGAAAAAATGTTATTGCGATAGTTCTTCTAATTTCATTTTACAAGATGATCCAACAACTGTTCTTGTTATATCCACTTAGCTTCCATTTCAGATGCTGCTGCTTCAGCTTAACTTGCAAGTGAGAGAAAAAAAAATATTTTGCTCTTTTTTTTCCTGTTATAAGCATCAGATCACATCATTAGCTAATACAGTTCATACCTAACATAAGGAAGAAATAACCAAATAATGAAAAAGAAATTTGACTTCTAATTTGTGCCTCAGATCTTTTTTTTGTGACACTCTTTTTATAACACTGTGTTTAAATGCAGGTATAAATTTGCTGAAAGGAAAAGTAGCTTATGTAATATTGTTATTTTTACCGAAGCGTGTCAGACAATTTAATACCTCTGGAAATTGTGTAAGCTTGTGAAAGAGTGCAAGGTGATTAATTTAAAAAAGAAATCAGGTGTAAATAAAGTGTTTAGGTTAATGGCTTGACTGCAGACTTCTGTTATCATTGTTCAACCATCCGAAGGGACGTCATAACTGCATGCTCTGTGTCTCCTTCCTTCTTACCATTATCCTGAGTGATAGACTTGAGTCCTTTAATCCTGGCAGAGAAGATCTGGATCCAGCGAGGCAGTGTCAAATGCTGTCCTATTATCTCTGCATTTTCACTAGACACCAGACATAAACATTCAAATACCCGAAGAAATGAATAATGCCACCTTTATGCGGTACCTGGACGGGGCTTACTAGTTAAATGTTAGTGGCTCCAATGGGATGAGGGGGATAACTGTATTGCAGAGAGACTTGCACAAAGGACACAAATATTCTCCGTTCTCCAGATCAATTATCAGCTCGGCATGGAGTCTGTTTCTGGTCGTATTCTGAACTGCCTCAAAATATCTATTAAAAAAACAAAGCAAGAGATTGATATAACGATGGCTTCATAGCAACAAAAAAAAAGTATTATACCACCAACATTTATAAAAGCCCTTTTATTCCTTTAAAGTTACCCACTTCTGCCAACATGTTGCATGCATGACATGTCCACAGCTGCCTGTGTGGGTTCCCACGGCCAGTTCAGGAGGCATAAAGAGGGGATATGTGCCTGGTCCTTTAAAATAAATTAATTATAAAGATTTTAGTCTTAATTTACCCACAGAGCCGCTTTTTAGACATTTTTAAGGGTATGATCAATGAGTACAGCCTCACCATCTGCTCTGTTGGCCGGTATCTTCCCCCGGCACTGTGTCAGCACGGTGGATCTTTGGACACATGCGGTCAGTACCATGGCAGGAGCCTGAGGTAACACCTCCTGTTCCTCCTGACACAGAATGCAGGTTAGCATCTCCCTTTCAGCTGGAGTGGACCCTCTGTGAGGTCCGATCGCTATGCAAAGCTCTCTCTCCTCCATGGCACAACTGGAGAAACAGACACAGACAAAATAAAGAATTATTCAAGATCATTTGTTGAAGCTTTTGCAACAAAAAATCGGATGCTTGGAGTGGCTGCTCACATTTCTGTAGAGGTAACAGGTTCTTGTGTCCCACTCTCAGGCATGTTGTCATACAGCATCTTGTTTGATTCTATGAAGTTCTTTTGCATTGCTGACATTTGGGCCATGATCTTCTGTCGGTGGAGTTTGGCTGCCTCTGCCTTCCTTTTCCGCTCAGCTTTCTCTTTGTCCTGAGCGCTCTGGATCAACCAAAGGTAAAAGATTCATATAGGAGCCACTATACCCTGTCCAACGAATACTACACCTGTTATCTCAACATAATCATACTCCCTTCAATAATCTTTATGCAGTTATTTTTGTTTTGTTTTATACCTCTTCTGGCTTGGACATTTCCATGTTCATGGACACTGTTGGGCTGGACTTCTCTCTAAGGCACTTAACAATCTCAAACATCTAAAAAAAAAAACATTATTAATAAACATAAAAACACTATAAACATCAAAATTTAAAGATGAGCACAAGCACTTGAGATTCTGAACCTAATGTATGATGAAAGCTCAGTTCCTTGTAGACCTACCTGTAGAAGCCATGTGATCATGTCTTTTTGAGCTTCAAGGGAAGGCAAAGCTTTAATCTTGGACATCAAGAGGAACACAGACTTGCCTTGTTCTGAGCCAATAACTGCAAAAACAGAGCGTGCATTTCCGTCACTAAAATAGAAACCTTTACACCTAACAGCTTTGGGAAGTTCTATTAAGAAAAGTCAGTTGTGCTGGTGATAGCATCCATTTCCACTCACCACGGGCCTTTATGCTAAAATCAAAGAACACTTCCTCAACAGTGCTATCTTCGAGCTGTGTTTTCTCTTCCAGCAATGCCTGGCCAATCAGGTGCAGGGTCTGCGTGATGGAATTACCACCCATGTTGTCATATTTTTAAAAATTGCGAAACAAGTATTCAATCATTACAGAAAAAGTCTTTAACAGGGAGGGAAAAAATGTTGCATGTACCCTCTGGATCATGGCCTCTGACCAGTGACTGGGTCGGTCCTCTGCAGCTCTCTGCAAGATGTGCCTCAGGATGTGGATGAAAATATCGCAACAGAGTAGGCGCACAATACTGGAGAAAGCTGTGCAAAAGGCTGGAGGCATCGGGGGACGCAGAGCTAAGACCAGACATAATGTTACAACAGCTGAGTCACAAGCAACTAAAATGCCAAAACAGCTGAATATTTATGACATACTCTGGAGTGTTAATTACCTTTGTCATTGCTCTCCAGGACTCTCCTCTTTTTTTGAGATTCTTCAGCCTGCAACAAGTTGACAATCTGAACGTGTGTCTCTCTGTTTTAACTGATATTGTTTTATGTGATTTTGTGTTGTTTTGTATTCCTGCCTCAGGACGACAGATGCGAATTAGCAACTAAGGTAGAATCTGGCTGATTTACAATCTGTATAAGATTCTGTCCTGATTAAATAAATAAATAAATAAATAAATAAATAAATAAATAAATAAATAAATAAATAAATAAATAAATAAATATTAGCTAAATAACCAAATACCATTGAACAGAAAAGGTACAATTAATTAAAAACTTTTCATTACCTTGCTATGCTGGGATCTTGAGTAATGGTAGAAGAAAGGGTTGAACTCTTGTAGTAGGTCCTTCTTCACCTCATATAAACCGTGTCCCGACACACCCGGCCTTCTGCAAACAGAAACAGAAGTCACAGATTAAATCCTCTTAAAAAAAAAAATCATTTTCAAATGGGAAAATGTCTGTCCCGTTTTCTTTTTTTTCTTTGTCTTTATATACCTGAATGTAGCAACCTTAGCAATTACTGCTTCCAGGCCAGTTTCATGGCTTTCCTACAAAGGAGAAATGTAATGCTCATGTAAGTTCATATCTTTTTAATAGTTTCTTTTATCATTCAGAAGTGCTGTGTTGTGAGCTTACGTTCTCTGGTAGGCTTTTGACCAGGCTGCTATGAGCCATGGGCTCGATACAGAGCAGGTGAATGACCTCCCTCATTGTCACATCCTCTTTGGTCACATTACTGATTCCAGGCACATAGCGCTCACCTAAACACATGACAAATGTGAGAGACAACTCCTTAATTAATGTTACAAAAAGTCCTATTTAAAATGACGAGAGGAATTTCAGACTGTACCAGTGATGGCGATGAGCAGATATAGCATCTCCTCCGTCAATCGGTTCCACTGCATCAACTCATCCTGGAAAAGTTAGTTACATATCATTAGTATTGGCATCTCATGGTGGTAAAGAAACCTGTTCCTATCTTAATTAGACACTGAGGCGTTGGCCTTGCCTGGTCTTTGCTTGAACAACTTCCATTGAATTGTTCAAAGAGCTCAAATCTCAGCAGGATCAACATGAGGAAGTGATTGGGGTCCATTTTGGAAGCGGCAATCTATGAACAACATAAAGGGTTTGACATATTATTGCCAACTAATGGATAAAAACAATGTAGCATCAAATAGGCAATCAAAGAATCCTGATGACTGACGCTCACCCACCTGAAGCATGACAATGTCCTTATCGTACATCTCGTACCTGCATTTTACATCCTGATAGTAGTAGACCTGTTTATGTGATACAATTATTATTACGCATTATTCTGTGAAACTCAGAAAAGGAAGGCGGCTTTGTAAGGACATAGCCTACCTGGCTGACCAGCGAAAGCCCATTTCTCCTCCACATTTCAGCAGTGACCTGTGCAGCCAGCACCACACAGCGCAGGGGGTGCTCTGTCAGCTGAGTGAAGTCATAGCTTTCCTGCAAATGCACAAAAGAATCCACAACTTTTTTTTAAGGCCAACTTAACTTACACTTTATAAACTCTTAATACAGAATTTGTAATACCCCATTTGCTTGTTAAATAATAGCACTGGTTCATATATAATTAAGCAATAATAAAATGTGAAAAGAAAGTCCTCCATCACTTACAGCATTATTCAGACGTTCGATTGCTCCAGTTGCACACAGAAGCACATACAGCCCTGAAAATAACATTGTACAGATTAGTAACTTCATAGTTTCATTTTTTTTTAAAGGCCAATAGAAGGCACAGCTTGTTTAAAGTAACAGTTCTGCTACCAGCCAGAAGCCTGGAGATGGGCAAGTGGATGCTGACTGGCTCCTGAGAGACTTTGTATGGACGAACATGTAGAATGTGTTTGCACATGTAGAAGTCGGTGGCCTCTCTGTGAAAGGACTGGTTGTTGCACTGCATCAGGACCGTATGGCATTCCTTGAATGCTAGCAGCAAAATCTCAACCTGGTGGGGAAGAAATAAGAAATGAGTAAAGCCATTTCTATCTTTCTATTTTGATCAAATCAACGGTGTGGGGACTGAACAGGTTTGAATTGCCAGAACAGGCTGCAGATCTGTTGATATTAATATGTCAACTGTCATTTGACTACAAATCAAGGCTCACATCAGATGAACACCAGTCCTGAAACATGGCCAGAATGTGTCGGAGCTGGATCTGGAGAGTAAACCCAGCTTCCCATTCTGGCTCCACAGCAATGTGTTGACCAAGCTGCCGCTTCACTTCCTCCATACCCTGATGAGGAAAGCCACAGAAGCACAGGTTTTCCAAGCTATCAAAAACTAGTTCACTTACATAATAAATATTCACCTATACTAACATTATTCACAGAATGGAAGAGGGTTGGAATACCTGCATGCATTTAAGAAGCCCAAGAAATACTCTGAATCCTTCTAAAAACTGCCCCCGCAGCTCGTTGGTCCACACTGAGGGTTTACTGATCAGAATATATCTGAGACAGAGAGAAAGTGTGTCATTGATCAAAACCAAACAAGAATGACTAAATAATAAGAAAAAATGTTACAAATACCAATTACCTGAGGTCGTGGAAGATAACCTGGATTCGTGAGAACTTGTCTGAGTTGTAGCCCAGGAACAAGAAACGATTGTTGTCGTCAAGATGCTCGCACAGCAGTTCCATGACTGTATCAACTATGACTTTAATGACATTGCCCTCTTCTATCAGCTGTCTGGCCTAGAATAGGAAACGTTAAGTAAGAACAGGGATGAAAAAGGACACAAAAAATATTTCAATTACTTAATGATATGCGGTATCTGCCATCCATCATCACAATCAGACCATAATCCCATGTGGTTTTTGATTAAGAATTTCCTCTGTGCACATTTAAAAAACCATTAAGCCATCATCTAATTCCAAAAGGACCAAATTTATACAAATACAGATAGTTGAGCTACTTCTAGAGTTCTGCCAACAAAGACAACTCCAGGTACAAGTACATGCTGTAAAGGTTCATTTTTTTATCAAAGGACACAAGACTCACAAGTGTTGGAACAGTGAAGATCTGAACAGATAGAGCTGTAATAGATATGCTTCTTTCATGGTCATCATTGATAAAGTCCTTCTGAAGCTGCTTGTAGTACTGAAATAAAATACATACACATTTAAACCTACAAAAGAAGACTAACATTAGATAATTTTTTCATGTTTGTTAAACTGTTTGTGTTTGCTTACCTTTGTAAACTCAATGGCAAATAACCTCTTGAATTCAGTGTCCATCAGCATGCTACAGAAAATCAGTTCGTGCACGATCTTGCGAGCTCCTTGGAGAGTTCAAGAAAAAGAAATGTACTTTATATTAGTGTCAAATGGAAGAAAACTGCAGCTGAACAACTGTAGGCTGCAGACAGCCCAGTCCTGCACCAGCTCTCTTCCGCTATGAGGTTTAGCACCACCTTACTGAATCATGCAAACCGTCCTTGAGTGAAATGCCACTTGGATGGGAGCGTTTGTTGTTTTAAAGCCTGTATATAACTTTCAGGGTCTCTCCGGATGAGCACAAATGCAGTTCCATTGGCACTAATGCACCCCCATAACTCCAGATATGCAGGTTTTTGAATAGTGCTGACAACAAGGTGGATGATTCCTCTTCTCTATTGGCGGTGGACACGGCATAAAGATATTTCTGTTGCCCTGACAACTGCATCCTCATTGAAACAGAGCATCCACCTGGGTGCTGTGTTCCCATTGAAGCCGACAAAGACAAACACCTACCACAGTCATTTAAAAGGAGACTAAATACAGGGGTGCGAGCAGGTTTTATGACCATTTTTATAGAGAATAGTGTTGCTGACCTGTACAAATCTATGTAATTTTTTTCCTGACAATTTTTTGCGCAAAATCCAACTTTTATATGAGTAAAAAGTCTCAATTTAAATAAGGGGATCTAATCCTTACATGTGAAGCAACATTTATTTTTTCATTACTGAGCTTGCACGATAATAATAATGCTCAGGTTGGCTTACCTTTGTACATCCTGGCATCGTGCAGCATGAGTCTGCTAATGAGACATGGCCGATCTCTGTCCATGTGTGGCTCCAGGGCCACCTGACAAAACACCTGCCTGAAGCCCGCTGCACAACACACAAACACACAAGCACAATTCAACAAAAAGGTGAAGATATGTTGATCGAAAAGGCCCTTGTAAAAAAAAAAAAAATAATACACAGAGTTGGGTTGCAACTTCAGTACCGGAGTAGCCGATGATCTTTTGGAACCAAGAACCGAGGCGGAGTGCAAAAGTTTGATGAGCCATTACTGTCGCGTGAAGGATCTCCACACGGAGTGGCTGTAGGGAAATGTGCTCGGAGTTGGACTGCAAAACAACACAAAAAGGATTGGAGCTCACTTTCCACCAAAGACGTGTTCAATAAAGACTGAAATTCTGATATTTCAGAATGGCATTTACCCTGATGAGATCTTTTGCTTGCTGACAAGAACGAAGTGTGCCTCTTTTTACTGCCCGGCGACCCTGAGCAAGAGTGGGCAATAATGTAATAAGGGACAATACCTTATGTGCATAATAAGAATAACACATTCAAATGTTTTTCATATACAGAAGTTACATAAAAAGTAACAAAATATAAACCTAAAAAATACCTCTTTATCAATAAGAGTTGTGTGTGTTTGTGCCTCGGCCTGATCACAGCTAACAGAGCGCTGCAGGGTGTAGATCACATGCTCGTACGAGTGATGCTCATCATTGTAGAGTACACAGTAGTACGCGTTTTCTTTTGTCCTGTCGGGATAAAGAAACATGCTGTCGAACCACGTGCTTTTCTGATGAAAATGCAATTTGCATGTAGACAAACAGGCCGTACCGAGGCTGGAGCTCAGCTGGCAGCTCAAAGCTTTCTTCCCACACCAGAAAGTCTGTGACGTAGCGCAGCAGTATTCGGAACAGCTTCTCCACGCGATGGGATAGCTCAGGCTCCAGCACGCAGTCGTCCTGCACAAAAACACAGAAGAGTGCATCTTACTTTCGACACTAGTGTGAAGCGGCAAAATAGTTCTCACACACTAGAAACCTCTTCAGCAAAAACATGCAAATTTATAGAAAATGAGTCCAATTTGATGCGATCCAAACTTTTTGTGATGACCTTAACTAATTCCCTGTTTCCTGCATCATGAGAACTATGTTGACAGAGAAATTATTTGTTTTAATAAGCCCAGGAAAAAAAATGGATTAGTGTCATGAGTCTCAACTCCCTTCAGAGCAACAATTCCAAATACTACCACAAACAAATATCTAACATTAAACAGCCCCAGCAAAGAAAACACACTATGTGTGTGTTCCTTCAACAACCTCTGTCACCCTGTTGTCAGACAACAGGCCACTCAAATCTACCAGGAAAAAAGAGTTCTGACAGCAAAAGATGGGGTTTTATGTCTGCAGCAGACAGGCTGCTGTTAAGCACAGGTGTGGCAAACACAAAGCAGGCTTTCAGACCGCGGCCCGTGATGCCGACGGGACCACCTGCTGTTTATGGAAAAAGGCAAGGAGCTGTCAAGTTGTGTGTTTGCCTAAAGCCGATTTTATCAGAGGTAACCCAAAACACTCTGACCAGCAAAGAAAGACTTCAAAAAACATCTGCTCAGAGCACAAACAGGTTAAGCTGCTGCCAGCTGCTCAGCAAGTGTCAAACTACAGCTGGGAGTTTGCCCTTTGCATCATTACAATGAAAGCTGTTTTTCAAAATCTCATTTTCACTCAGTCAGCCCCAACATTTCTAAATCACAGTTTCGCCCATCCATAATCCTTATTTTGGAGTCACCGAGTAATACAAAGGGCCTCCCCAGTAGAAGGGGTGGAAGAGCACAGCTCCCCAATCCATTACAGAAAAAGGGCACCTTGGCCCAAAAAGCGGAAATGAGATTGGTGCGTTTCTTTAGTTGGTGCAAGCCATCAGAGAGTTCTTATTTCCGGAGCCTCAGCCACAGCCAAGGGAACAGGATCCAAGGCTAAGATGGGAAAATAAGCATTCTGGGGTTCACTGACACATAATGGGACGAGAACGTCCCTCCCACATCCCTCTTTCTGCTCTGTTATGTAACTGACAGTTACCATGGCAGTGGCTGCCCCTGGGTCGTGTTTGGAGCAACAAGGACCGATCTTCCAGGCCTCTACATCTCCACAATCACAGAACCCCCCGCCTGATGATGCATGCATCTGGAAAACAAAACAAACACTGTGAGTCACTGAGGGCGATGTAATGAATACACACAACAGTAATTAATTAATCACACATATTTAACTGTGGGAGAATAACACTGAGCAACACTGAGTTTATGACATGGTAAATATAAAGTTATTAAATCCAAAAATTATATTCTGATGTTTAAAACCAAAATTAAGTTGATGTCATTGTTTAAAACAATCAGGTCAATTGTGTCATTAAAAGTAATTAAAACTGTTTGCACCTCATTTCATTTATTCATTGTTGTCCCCAAAATGATTCTAATAATTCAGAAAATCCTTAACAGCTCATCAAAGTCAGACACAAATCACTGAGATGAAAAGGACCATCTGGGACAACACGAGGATGCTTTTCCATGTTTGGCTGCCATGCACAACGTTTATTTTTAACACTGAAATCCATTTTCTATAATATGTCTGTAATTCAATGTTGGAGGGTTTTAAAACTAAAACATATTGGGTTTCATGAATGTATCACAAACCTTGTAACGGTGGCTTTTATGCACACTATCCTGGAAGCAGTCCATGCACAGGACACAAGTTGGATCTATTGCACAATCCCTGAAAAAAATGCAGAGCGGACAATGTATCACCAAAAATAATTTCTATTGTTCTTAAAGGCTCGATTTCCAATATTGTCAAATGAAAATGATAAATATAGTGATTTCTTTAGTATGAGACACTTCAACATAAAATATCTGCAACTGTTTTCGGTAAAACAGAGAGACAAGACATCATAAAAACCCATGCAAAAGCTGCATGTAAACATCTTAAAGCATGATACAATATTTCACATCGTTGCACAGGGACTGCCCAATACTGAAACCAAAGAGAGCTTACTCATTAACTATTCATTTTTAACACTTAGCCTAAATACAGTGGTGCTGTAGTGTAATTAGACCCCTGTCAAACTAAAACCTAGTGAGGCCATACTATCCTCATTTCAAACACCTAATGATGACAAATAAATAGCCTTCAGTCTGACCTCTGCCGCCCACAATACCACAGGTCTGTGCATATTTGTTGAACCTGCATATTTTCTGTTTACGATAAAAGCAACAGTTTGTAAAGATTGTAAATAAAGTAAAATATATGCTGATGTTCAATCCTCCTGGAAATGAAATAACCACAGCAAAATGGTAGTATTTATTCAAACTACAAAAACATAAGCTGGATTTATTAGTAGTAGTTATGAATATCAGAGTATTTATCCAGACCTGCAGGAGTAGACGGTTTCTCCCTCTTTGAACACACGTCCACAGAGCTGGGAGGAGGTGCTGCCCTGCTTGAGCTTCGCCAGGCCCTCCTGAGGAGCCTCTCCAAACAGGAAGCACTCCAGAGGGTGGAGGAGGCGACTCTGCATGGCCTCCTCTTCTTCCTGAGGGCTCGCCTCCTTCTTCAGGCAGAAAATCTGCGGTACTTGCTCCCTCAGGTAGCGGAGCATCTCCGCTCTGCTGTCTGCAGCCTCCTGCCATGCCTGCAGGACAGCAGAGGGGTGAATCCCCTTTTTAGCCTGTCTCATCTTCAACTGCTGACACAAAACTGCATGACCCCACCATAATTCCCGTGATGACATGTGGACAGGTCTGCTTTCAGCAATGCATCCTGATCAGCTTTTAACTCGACATGTTTTTAATTTTTTTGATTGAGCCTATATTTCTTTGACGGTTAAATTTCAGGGTTGCATGGTGCTGTGGTTGTTAGCAAGAAGGTCCCTGGTTTGAATCCCATGCAGGTTGCATGGGTTCACTCTGGGTACTCCAGCTTTCTCCCAAAGTTTAAAAACAAGAATTTTTTTGTAAATTGGTGATTCTAAGTGAGGGTGAATGACTGTTTGTCTCGTTTGTATGTGTTGGCTGTGATGAACAGCCAACCTGTCCAGGGTGTACCCCACCTCTCGCTCAACGCCAGCTGGGTTTAGCTACAGGAATAAACAGATCATTCCAGATCATTCCATTCTTCCCTCAGAAGGTGGAGGGGGCTTGGAGCCTATGCTGAGTGACATTGGGTGAGGGAGGGGGGTCTCACCTTGGAGAGGTTGCAAGTTGCCGCAGGACAAACACATGGAGAAGAGCAACCACACAAACACATACACATCTGTGGGCAATTTGAAATTCACAAAAATCACCTACCATCCATGTTTTTGGACTGTGTGAGAACATTGACCAGTGAAACCTAAGACTAACCTGCTGGTTTGAGCCTGGAGGTATATGCTCACACAAATAAGTCAAATTATTGAAGCAATTTACAGCTCAGAGACTGTATTTGGATAAGTGTAATAAAGATTCAGTTAAACAGGACTCATGGTTACAGAGGTGTGTTTAGGTGTTTTAGTTTAACATCTCAACATTTTACTGTGCACTTTTCCCCACATTGCGCCACTTTGCCATGCTACTCTTAACAGCAGATGGTTTTTAATGGTGTCTGTTAAAAAAAGAAGAAAACTACAAAGAAGCAACCCCAGTTTCACTTTCTGAACGTAAACAATTTCAACGGCGTCACAATGGTTACTGAGAGGAGTCGGGATCTTCTGCTTGAAATTAAGAAACTCATGCAGAGGCGCTCAAGACAAAAGCAAGAAAACCTCACAGACTTGAGCACACTCCAGAGACCAAATCCTTGTTTTCTACAAGACAAAGGTCTACTCCAGCCTCCCCTGTCTCCATACCCATAAAGATACAGTCACTGTTAGTGAGAGACAGATGTATTTTAGCGTATTTAAAGCTAGTCGGGTAGCCCTCTGCAGCTATGACTGCTAGCTCGGTAAGTAATATATCATGTAGATACACTTTAAATCCACACTGGACCTATGAATAACCAAATTATACGTAACTGAATTACACCCGACTCCCAGTAGCTAATGTCAGTTTAATTTGTCATCTTAACATTATACCTTACTGAGCTCCAGACCGTCTACGGATTTCTCACGATCCGCCATATTCCATTTGCCGTAAAGGAGGGGGTGTCACTAGGAGACTGTTTCCTGTGTGACCAAAAGCTATTCGAGGTTTGTCACGGATCCAAACCGCTAGAGGGCGCTGGTACATAATACCCACTGCCCGTGTCTTGTGGTGATGAATGCGGCGGGGGTAGAGGTCAGAGTTGAATGTTTGACAGAAAGCTGAATATGGATTCCATATTTCATGAGAAAGTAAGTAAAAACGTTGAACCTGGGGCCTTTGCCTGAATGTATTTACTCCTGCTTATCCGGAGAGCGCTAACACTGGTGTGGGAATTTGTTTACTACCAGTAAGTGGCCGTTGCTTAGTGATAGCGTTGGTGTTGGCCAGTATTGTTGTTTCAATGGCTAAATGCTAATACGTTTGCTAATCATTTAATTGTGTAAAGTTTATTTTCGTCTTGTTGTAACTGTTCGAAATGGCATTTCCCCGCTGTGGTCTGGTGTGTTTTCTGTACATTACTAAACGGACTGGCTTTATATAATAATCTGTTGCTACAAAGAAAGGATAACAGAAGTTTGACTTGTTTACGCCGTCCAGTTCGGCTAGCTGTAAAAAAAAAGTACTAACCTACTAACATCTTTCTCCCTTTTTAGGCTGACTAATTTTGACTAACTTTAACTCTTGCGTTGGAGGGCGAAATGTAACACTTCTCATCCTTTATTTGCAGCAAGAGGGTTCCCTTTGTGCTCAGCACTGCCTCAACAACCTTCTGCAGGGTGAATATTTTACTCCTGTAGATCTGTCCTCTATTGCCCATCAGCTGGACGAAGAGGAGAGGATGAGGATGGCAGAGGGGGGTATGGGCAGTGAGGAGTACAGAACCTTCTTACAAGTGAGTAGAGACTAAAGGCATTTGTTGGCGGACAACATCCTGTTTCTTGATCGTATTGACCAAGTATGTATAATAATTTATTCACGACTGTGTTTATAGCAACCATCTGGCAACATGGATGACAGTGGTTTCTTTTCAATACAAGTAAGTTTTAATGGAAATTCCATCATTCAATTTATTTACCAGAATGACTCAACAGCCATACCGACTACAAGTCTAGATTATCACTTCATTTCTTTCCTTTGAATTTTTTAGGTGATAAGTAATGCTCTGCGAGTGTGGGGCTTGGAGCTAATCCTCTTCAATAGCCGGGAATACCAGAGCCTGATGATAAATCCAATGTAAAGTTCCAGTTTCTAAACTTGATTGTGTAAAGGATTAACCTGCGTTCGCATTTGTATGTTAGCTGTAAAGATGACGCTCACTCCCATGTTTCAGAAATGAGAAAGCCTTCATTTGTAACTACAAGGAGCACTGGTTCACAATTCGCAAACTCGGACAACAGGTTTGAGCCACTTTTCTAGTTTTTCATAAACATCATAAACGTATTTGATTCAGCAAAAGCACACAATGTTTCGATTGCAGTGGTTTAACCTCAATTCACTGTTGACTGGACCAGAGCTGATATCAGACACATATTTAGCGCTCTTCCTCGCACAGCTACAACAGGAAGGTATGGTAATATTTATGTTTGTTCAGATTATGTTTTGGAGCTAAATGTCGGGGAAAGAGTTACAGACAGTGTTGTCTTTTGCAGGATACTCCATATTCGTGATCCGAGGAAATCTCCCTGAGTGTGAGGCAGAGCAGATTCTTGGAATCATGAGGGTCCAGCAGCAGCACCGGCCCAGGCTCATTGGAGAGGATGAGGCCCAGACAAGTGCAGGGTATCTATGCACAGGGCATGCAGTATACTTGATGTTTGGAGTTGCTTAGAATGAACTATTTGCAGAATCCTTGCAACTGAAGAGATTTTTTCTACTACCAGCAGTAGGTCAGTCGCTGCAGGTCAGCCGGGAGTCATGAATTTGGGTGAGGAGGCTACTGATGAAGATGAGGAACTGAAGAAAGCTCTGGCTCTCAGTAGACAGGACATAGATGTGGAAGATGAAGAAGCTGACCTACGCAGGGCTATACAGCTCAGCATGCAAGGTAAAGGCTGAAAGACTGGGAGGCTTTAAACATTTGGGCTCTTGAAGATTATCAAAGTGGGCTCACAAATTCAACAAATTAGTATATTTCTTCAAACACACTTTTCTTTGTCCATTTGTAGTCAAAATTTGTATGTGGTAATTACTGAATTATAGGTGATTGTTTTTTCAATATTGTAGGTGCCGTGATGAGCAACAGGCCCTCGGAGACTGGAATGGGAAATGTAAAATCAGGGAGCCAGGTTCCTGGGAGTGTTCCAGGGGCACAAAAAGAAACCCAGAATGAGGCACTTACAGCTGAGGAGCTGAGGAAGAGGAGACAAGCCTACTTTGATCGGTAGAATCATTCCCAAAGTATTCCTATAATAAAGTCTCAATCCTCTCCTTTTTTTAAACAAACTAAACAGAGAAATTCTAACACTGATCCTCTCTGTTGACTGTTAAGGCAACAGCAACAAGCACAACAAAACATTCCCCAACAATTAGACACACATTCAAAAGGTGGCTCAGGTGAGAAAATCTAATATCCTTCATAAAAGCTGCACAGCTTATAAAATCAATTTAATTTATCTTGAAATGTCATAAAATATTGACGAACGTCAATTTCTTTTTCCTAGGATCAGCTAACACTGGGGCTGGGGAGGACCAACAGCAAAAGCCAAGCCAGTGAAGTTGTGAAAGGTTTGCCTGTGTTGTTTACCAGCGGCCTGGATTGGAAACCCCTCACAGGGGTAGCTTTGCGCCCTGCTCTACCCTTTTGCACATGCAAACATAAGGACGGTCAGAAGGCTGACACATGGTTTCCCCCGTTCAGTTCTCTGGCAGGCCGTAAAGAAGAGAACAGCGACAAAGAAAAGCCAGCACTTTGTCTGATCTGACTCAGTGAAGCACTGAGACTGGGAAAAGGGTGACCACTGGACTTAAGAGGACTCATGATGCAGTTACTTCAAGTTTGCAATTGCCTTTTTTACCATGGCGCCTTCAATTTCTATTGTATTCTGTTTTTTATTCTATTTTTTTCTCCTTTTTTCCAAAACTTGGAATAGTAAAAGGTGCGTTTTATTTGTTTGGAAGTGAAAACATGCTGAGATGGGTGTCCCTTGAAATCCACATGTGACCAATATTTAAACCACAGCTAATATCCATATAGATTATGACTGATGCTCCTGACATTGTATTAGATATGGGTTTGTGGAACACTTAGTGGGGTTAAAAAGCCCCATCCACCATGACAGCCTTATGTTTTACTTTTGCTCTGTACTGAAACATCTTTCAGTAAGCAGAACTAAAATGGGTGTGCTATTTATTCCTGGCATCATTATTTTACTTGAACATCTGTTAGTGTGTTGTTATTTTCATTAAGTGTCCCAGTGTCCACTTTGGACGGAGCTATCTGCTGATGCTTACTCTTCATATTTTGTCTATAACTTGACATGTAATGGGGAACAGAAAAGCAGTTGGCACCACACAAATCCACAATTAATGGATGAATGACCATTCATATTTTGTCACACACAGCATGATCACTTCACATAGACAGTAGTTGTCAACTCCTATCATCCCTCTCAGTTTTCAACTGTAACTTTTGTTTACTAGAATTAGTCACAAAACATTTGGTAATACTATGGAGAAGAGATTATGGATTCAGTTTTCACCAAAAGATGCCCAATGAGAAAAGAGAATATCTGATCATTTAACTCTTGTTTTTCACAACCCCTGAAATACAAACTTTTTTGCACTGACTGATCTATTTTAATATTCGAATAACGTGAATAGAATTGGTTTGCATTGAGGTTGCCATGGGGTCAAAGACAATGTGAGTCATGCAAACTGGTGATTTCCAGTACTGATGAGAGAAATCATTTGAACTTTTAAAAAGTTAAAAGAGATTGATAAAGCATAAAAATGCTCAAACACTTTGAATGTTATTTTTTTGTGTGTGTATTTAAAAAAAAAAAAAAATTCTCTGCAAGAATCTGTTTATTTTACATCCGGTTTTGTTATGGTGACCACAATGCAGCACTAATACACTTAACATGCTTATAAATATCAAAATGCCTCCACAGAAAAATGATTAAAAGTTGTGTTTGCTGTGCTGGATGATCTTCAGGAAAACTCTTATCCACTGTAGTTTTGTTTGTTTTGATTAGCTTGACTTTTTCTAATTGAAATGCATTCACATGAGAGTAGGACATGTTGGTAGTTTGATTTTTAATCATTACGTAGTTTTTCATTCACTGCTTTCACACCCTAAAAACTAATTCATTCACTTTTGTTTAATGTATTCATCACTGTTTCAGGATTAAAATGAAACTCACTCCTCATCTTGTTTGTCGCAGCCTATTTATTTATTGATTGATGTTTGTTCTTTCTATCACTTCAGGAGAAGTTTAAATGAGCTCTTCACACCACAGAACAGCTCATCAGTTAGTGAAACCCTGTTCTATGCTGTAGACCTGACCTAAACAATTAAGAAATCTCAATTGAAAAACATTTTTACCGGGGTAAATCGCTATTAAAAGAATTATTAAGGCATCTTTTAACGGTTTAGTCTAAATCTATAAAACAGAAAATCCTGCTCTTTGATGATGTCAAATATGACATCACCAATACACAGAAAAAGCAGGAAATGCCAGGCCGCTACCACTGAAACAAAAGACAAGCACAGCGGGTCTGAATGCAGGAACAAACCAAACAAAAACCTTAAATAAGGAACTAAATTCAATAAATTGTAGCAAGCAGAAGTTGGTTTGATTTGTTTTCATCTAAACTTTAAAAGACTGCGAACAGAAAGAAACCAGAAGGTGAGTGCAGCAGGTGTAGATGATAGCTAATTTAAACATGTGGGGGATGGTATTGTGCAACAAGTGAGATGAGCATATAAGGGAACAGTATTGAGTAAAGGAGGGGGTTCTGGTCAACCCTGTTCCATTTGGTTAATATATAACCAACAGAGCATACTTGCACTTTGTTTCCCCAAATAATAGATGATAGTTTTCAGAAACTATCTGGCCCAAGCTGTACGGTAAGAATGGGTGTTAGTTATACTTTGACAGAGAATTTCATTTAAATCTAAATTCAGCCATTCTTTTGGTAATTTTGTATCTGGGAAACGCATCTATTTAAGATTTTGAACCTGTCTGTTCGTTTGCTCTGTTGAGCCTTGTATTAACATCAAACCATCTTCATTTTTCAGGTTGTTTTCTGGACTCAAATAATGGGGGTTCACCAAATGAAAATGGCCCTTATTTTCAGTGTGACTTACTTATGTTTTCTTGTTCCTGTTCTTCAAGCAACACTTCCAAATGCCACCATCTCAGATCTGTCCTTCAAAAACATGGACTTTGCCATGGACCTTTACAGGAAAATATCAAGTTACCACGACAAGAACATCTTTTTCTCACCCCTGAGCATCTCTACGAGTTTCGCTGCCCTCTCCTTAGCTTCTGGCGGCATCACACAAAGGGAAATCCTGAACGTGCTCAACCTGGAGCAGCTGGACACGGCTGACCAGCCAGAACTTCTCCCGAGACTCTTTCAACTCCTACATGAGAACATCTCCCAAAACGGCTCTCTGAAAGTAGAACAAAGCATGGCCCTCTTTCTCCAACAGCATTTTGAAGTAGAGAGGGAATATGAAAACCAAATGTCGAAATTTTTTGATGCCGACATCAAACGTGTAGATTTTTCTAATGTAGAAGGAAGTATCACGTTCATCAATGAGTACATCAAGCAGAAGACAAGAAACAAAGTTACAGATGTGATTTCTTCCTTAGACGAAGGGACTCAGCTACTGCTAGTCAACACTATTTTCTTCCAGGGTGAGTTGAATGATTCTTGCTCACTGACCTCTGTTTGTGAGCATACCTCTGTCCTGTAATGTTCACAACTAAACTAACAGTGTGATCCCCACAACAGGAGACTGGCAGATGCCTTTTGACCCTGATTTCACTAGAGATGCGCCATTTCATCTCAACAACTACCATATTGTTGAAGTGCCCATGATGTCCAAAGAGGACAAGTTTTACACAATGGAAGATCTTCGTCTTGGTGCAAAAGTGCTTAAACTGCCATACAAGGAAGGTGTGTCCATGCTAATCCTGCTCCCCAACAAAGGCATGGACTACACGACTATTGATGACCAAATCAGTGCTGAGAGATTCCAGATCTGGATTAAAGGGCTGAGAAAAATGTAGGTATAGTTAAATATATGTGGAAGATATGCTTTTCCACAATGTTTTTCATATTTCCATGATTCCAAAATGTAAAAGCTGTTTTCACCCATGTGTTTTTTTCTCTTGAAATGTGCTTTAAAATGCAGAATGTCCAGTGATCATTATAAGAACATCAGTTGGACGTGGAATCGGTGTATTTACAATGTGTCATTATGTGTTGACAGCAAACTGGAAGTCAACATGCCAAAATTCAAGCTGGAGAGGGCCTATTCTCTGCACAACCTTCTGCCAGATATGGGCATGACTAGTCTATTTACTACTTCAGCCATCCTATCGAGGCTCAGTAGCGGTAGCGGCCTTAAAGTGTCGGAGGTTAGTTTTCGATTTCACCACACTGTTTATATTCCAAGCTGCCCAGCTGAAGGTTTACCCCCACTGTGAACCGGTAGGTGCTGCACAAGGCTGTGATCGAGGTGGATGAGACTGGGACAACCGCGGCAGCCGCAACCACGATCGGCATCATGCCATACTCCCTGCCACGGATGTTCATCATCAACAGACCCTTCTTCTTCTTCATATACCACGAGGACACAAACTCTCTGCTGTTCATGGGCAGGGTGATCGACCCCACCAAACAGTAGTTGTCACCACTCTTGCGGCTTGCATGGTGATATTGTGTTTATTCAGGAGAGGCTAGTGTAGTATATCATCTTGCTGTCCTGTAAAAGTAATATAGGCCTTGCATTTTTTTTCTTTTGGATTGAATTAGTATTTGTTGTAACTTTAAACGGAAGACAACTTGAACTTCATCAGAAAAGTGTTAGATGTATAGTTACGAGAAACATGTAATCTACTCACTTTCTCAAGGATGAATGTCTTGTCAAATAGGTCTAGTAAGATGTTTCAGTAAGCCACTGGTTTCAAGTGTTAAAGCTGTAGCTGCTGACTAATAAAAGTTTTAAACAATATCACTACCACCCAAATGAAAAACAAACAAAAGTCTCAGCTTTCAGGCTGGAAAAACTCTCCAGATTATTTATTAAAAATTCTTTAAAATATACCATACAACTTAACATCAATATATTTCTTAAACATATTTTTTAAAAACTAAAAAAACATAACAGATGACCAAAGCGCTGTGCATAATATGGATGAGAAAAACTTAAGAATAGCACATATTAAAAAGATGTATGCAAACACCAAATCGCTTCCATTCCCAAAAATCAAATTCCCAGTGAAAAAAAACTATTCTTGATAAGTAACATAAACTTACTAAAAAGGTGGAGCCAGAATTGAGTATATCTCAATTGATTTTTTTTCTTGCATATTGTTTGAACATGTGTTATTGTGAGATCTGGCCATTTTACCTAATTATGTCCCCAAAACACTCAAAGTATTAGAAAATGTAAAACTCTCATTACTTTGATCACCTTACACACAACATAACTATTAAAGAGACGGTTCACTTTTTTTTTGTCCACGTTGGACTAAATAAAGTTTTTCAAACCACGTGATCAATACTGTCATGGCTGCCCCCTCGTGCAGTGCGTGGCCGTCTTCAAAAAAGTAGCTGCATTTGGATATTGCGGACCTTGAATCAAGTTAAGGTAAACTCGGGGTGTTTTTCATTGTTCGTGTTCGTTTTCAGACTAAAAACCTTTTATAGTGGGACACGCTTTCGTGCCTCAGTCGCCACGTTGGCCATTATTTCTAAGTTCTGCCGGGTCCAGCTGTAGGGAAATGAAGACGCAGAAGATGAAGCCCAAGAACAAGCGCTTCTCCTCCGGGGTGAAGCGGCCGGTCAAAAGGACCATCAACATGAGAGGAACGTGGAAAGCGATAGAGGTCGACCCCAGCCTGTTCTCGGAGGAGGGCTTGGAGGGGCTGGTGTGTTTCGAGGAGCTGACGAACTACCGCCTGGTAGACACCGAGAAGGCTGCCGCCAAGGCGGCTAAACAGCTACAGAAGGAGGAGAAAAAACACAAGAAGAGAAAGATTAGCGAGCCACCGGAGGCCGGGGAGAATGGAGAAGAGCCAACCGAACCGGCCGGGAAAAAGGCCAAAAAGAAGAGAAAGAAGACGAAAGCCACTGCAGAGGAGTCGGTTAAATCACACGACGCCGGTGAAGAAGAGCTGAAACAGGAGGAGAAGAATGCCTGTCAGGAGGGGGGAGAGGCTAAAGTGTCAGATGAAGCTGCGGAGGACTCTGAAGGTGGCACACAGGCAGGTAAAGCCAAGAAGAGAAGCAAAGAGAGGAAGAAGAAGAAACCCAGACAGCGGACAGAAGAAGATGAAGGCACCGCGGGACAGGCCAACCTTGAAGCTCCATCAGAAAAAGAAAAGCCCAGTCAGGATCGGTCACCGAAGCCCCCCAAAAAGCAAGCCAAAAACTGGACCAACGCAGCGCGCTCTGGTTGTGAAGAGATGAGTTCAGACGTGAGTGCGTGGAAGGACCTGTTTGCCCCGGCCCCTGTGCTGAGGGCTCTGAGCAGTCTTGGGTTCGGTTCACCCACACCCATTCAAGCCCTGGCGCTGCCTCCGGCCATCAGAGATCGTTTGGACATACTGGGAGCTGCCGAGACCGGTAAGATAACGCACTAACAACGGTTTAAAAGTTGGCTATTCCCCGGAAACTGCTTTTTGAGGGCCTTGTGTTTGTTCTTTTTTCAGGAAGCGGGAAAACACTGGCCTTTGGTATTCCCATGATTCACGCCATCCTGGAGTGGAAGAGCGGCTCCGAAGAAAATGCCGACGACGGCGGCCAACCAGTTGAGAGTTTGTATTTGCCACCTGTGGAGGAGCCCGCGGAGTCGGGAAGCCCAACGGAAGCGGACGGGGATGCAAACTCGGACGCATCAGAGGAAGGAGGTCTCTCTGATCCGGAGGAGAAGGATCCGAATGAGCTGCCGGGATGTGTTCAGGTGATTGAAAAGGCAGAGTTTGACCTGGACGCAGACGCAGCCGCCGGCCGCCGCCAGCCGCTCCTGGGTCTGGTTCTCACTCCCACCAGGGAGCTGGCAGTTCAGGTCAAGCACCACATCGACGCCGTCGCAAAATTCACAGGTACGTCGTTGTCCTCGTAACTACTATTACTATCTACGGGGAATAAATAGAAGTACTGGTCAGCTTTTCCGAACTTAACGTGAGAGGTAACGGCCATACACAACGCGCCTCTGTGTCACAGATATCAAAACGGCCATAGTGGTGGGCGGAATGGCACAGCAGAAGCAGAGGAGGATGCTGAAGCGCAGGCCCGAGATCATTATCGCCACTCCAGGGCGTTTGTGGGACTTAATAAAGGAACGACACCCTCACCTGCTCAACCTCAGGCTGCTCAAGTAAGTTAAAAAAAAAAAAAAACGTCTCTTTGTAATGCATTCATAAAATGCTGCTTAGCCGTCCATCAGACAACTTAATTTCCTTTTCAGTAATATATTTACATATATATGGTCATAAACAGATTATTTAGGGATTTTATTTTTTTATTTCTTTTTTTATTTCTGGGGTTTTGTCTAACATTCGGTTATGTTGTGCTGCAGGTGTTTGGTCATCGATGAGGCCGATCGCATGGTGGAACGAGGTCACTTTGCAGAGCTGGAGAGTCTCCTGGAGATGCTGAACACCACACACTTTAACCCCACCAGGCAGACCTTTGTGTTCTCCGCCACCCTGACGATGGCTCACGTTCTCCCCACCCGTCTGCTTCAGAAGAAGAAGAAGAATCTGGACAAGAGGAGCAAACTGGAAATCCTGATGGAGAAGGTGGGAATCAGGTTGAAACCCAAAGTCATAGACCTCACCAGGAAGGAGGCGACGGTGGAGACGCTGACCGAGACCCAGATCCACTGCCAGAAGGAAGAGAAGGACTTCTACCTCTATTACTTCTTGCTTCAGTATCCGGGGCGCACCATGGTGTTCGCCAACAGCATCGACTGCATCAAGAGGCTCAACTCTCTGCTGGTCATCTTGGACTGCACTCCGCTGCCTCTGCATGCCAACATGCACCAGAAGCAGCGTCTGAAAAACCTGGAGAGGTTTGCTGAGAGGGAGAGGTGAGCCACTGCTCTGGTTTGGGCTGGAGGAGCGGACCTCATCTAGTTTGCATTCAGACATGGATTATAGTTGAGGGCTCCAGTCAAATATTTGTTAAACGTTGTTACGTGCAGATGTCTGATATTGTGTAATCCAATATTCTTTGGAAGGAGATGCTTCACTTGTCATTTTGACCTGTTTGGAGCTCTGGCTGTTAGAAGCCACCTCCCTGTGGTCTTACAAACTCACTGGGTCAATAGATCAAATATTAATCATGGAATTTGATCACTTTCATGAACAGCTGTGTTCTTCTGACTACCGACGTGGCGGCGAGAGGCCTGGACATCCCTGATGTCCAGCATGTCATTCACTACCAGGTAGGCTCTACTTTTCTTTGGCCGTGAGGCTGAAAACGCACCGGCTGTTTCAGGAGCCTCGCTGCAGCCGATACATGTGAGAGCATTCTTATGTGCGCACATCAGGTGCCCAGAACATCGGAGACGTACGTCCACCGCAGTGGCAGGACGGCAAGAGCCACTAAAGAGGGCCTCAGCCTGCTGCTGACCGGTCCAGACGACATGGTGAACTTCAAAAAGATCTACAAGGCTCTGGGAAAGGACGAGGAGCTTCCCACCTTCCCCGTAGAGTCTAAATGCATGGAGGCCATCAAGGTGAGTCGATGAGCCTCAGGTTCCATCCGCACAGGGAAAAGGAGTCAAACTCTCCAGCAGAATTAGATGTGTTTGCAGTTGTTGATCTGTACCATAAAGTTTACAGTGAGACACCCCCCCTCCCTTTGACGGCACCATTAGCTCAGAACATTGGTCAACCCAAAGCTTCAAAATGATGAGGCTGATGAGAATGGTTCTTTGTCCTAACAGTTTCTGTAATCTGACTCGACAGGAGCGCGTGAATCTGGCCCGGAAGATAGAAAAGATTGAGTTCTACAACAGCAGAGAAAAGCAGCATGACTCCTGGTTCAGACAGGCAGCAGAAGCCCTGGAGTTGGACCTAGATGAGGATATTTTACTGGGTAAGAACAGCACATACAAAGCAAACACAAGAACAAAATCGTTACCTCAAACACGTTTAAAAAATGGGCCCGCTGAGAGCACAGCTCACGTTCATCTGCGTCAACAGGTGGCGGAAAAGATGACGATGATGACAGAGAGCAGCGCAAGATGGTGAAGGGAATGAAAAAGCATTTGAAGCTGTTGACCTCTCAGCCAATCTTCAGGGATGTGATAAAGACCAAATACCCGACACAGCTGGGGAAACTGCCCCCGATGTTTCATTCAGGGATTGAAAGTGCCCTGACCACGGTTTCCACACAACAAAACAAACAGAAGTTAAAGAAAGCTGTTCAGCCCCAGCAGAAAAAGCAGAAGCAGAGGAAAGGAAGGCGGCAGGAGGAGCAGTGACATTTCAACAAGGGAGAGTTGGATTTTATAGACTGAAGTAGGTGTTAAAAATTGTTCATCAAAATGCTTCATGCACATTGTGCATGTCCGGATGCTCCGGGATTGCTGTAAACTGCAAGATTTTATAAAAATCATAAGTATCTAAAAACCCAGTCGGGCTTTATTCAGCCAAAAGAGTGTCGGTGTCCCTGAGTGGAGCAGAGCCGTGGCGGTCACTGGCGAGGCCGCGGGTAGAGAATGTTGTAGTGTGAGGTCTGGTAGAGGAGGTGCACGGCCGGCTCGGCGCCCTCCGGAATGACGTGGTGGGCCAGGCGCTGGCCGTCGCCCTCCATGGAGACGATGTGGATGCCAATGTCCAGGGCCTGAGTCAGAGCCAGGATGTCCACGTGGTCGCACTCCATGGCCATGGCCTCCACCTCCTGAGGAGAGCCCACACGCGCTTTAGCTCGGCCGCACACGGCGGGCGGTCAGGGGGCGAGGGCGGCGGGCGGCCACGCACCTGGTGACAGTAGTCGCGCAGGTCGGCGGCCTCCACGAAGTGGCAGAAGAAGTCGGCGTGCTTCTGCAGGTGCGCGGAGGTGAGCAGCCGGAGGTACTGCACCACGCCGTCCGACACCTTCTGCTCGTTGAGGAGCCGGAGGAGGCTGTGCTCCTGCTCAGCCGCCAGGCACTGCTCCACCACGTTCACCACCTTCAGCAGACGGCGGGGGAGGGGGGAACACTCGTTTTTAATAACCTGACTGAGTTAACTTGGACACATGCCTGAATAGAGCTCACGTTACGATAATTATACGTTTCAGTGCCAGAGAATTTCCAAAGAGACGCGAAAGGTCAAACTGGTTTTAACCCAGTGTGCCAGCTCATAGGCACCTCCTATTTCCAGTTTCCTCTCTATTTGATTGTTTTTTGCCAACTTGGGCAGTAATTATACCACTGCTTTTTAAATATCAGTGACTGGAAGTCCACTTGGATACTTTCAGTTCCAGGTAAAAAATATTTACACAATGCAGTTGTTCCCATTCATGACTAAGTGTAGGTTAGATTTGAGAATTGGACCCTGTTAAATAAATCAACACAGAAAACTGAACCCATTCTACGCATCACACAACGTTGTGAGAAGAAATTCATGTGACACTCAAAATAGTTATGTTTTTGTTTAGTTTGGCTTCAAATGTGCCTCTTCTGAGTCAGGAGATGTGACATTTGTTCTAATAAAAGGGGCTGAGTCAATGAAATGCTTAGATTACTGTCTTCTGGTGGTGGCAAAATGAACTCTCATCAATTCCGGCAGAGACCAAAACTTTGCCGCTCTGGATGATTTTCTCCTTGAAGCTGACATAAAACCAAAAAGACAAAACGTTCAATCTCATATTATGATGCACCAAGTCAACAGCGTTTCATGCTGAGAGGGGCCATCACGATGGGAACTGACCTCTGCAAAGCCCTGGGATCGTGGAAGACTGACTCCAGGTATGCGAAACAGAAAGCCCTGTAGAAACAGTTCCCATCGCCGCGAACATTTCTCACGGCAGAAAACTGGCAGTTCAGATCCTAAAACAAAACAAAAAAACAAGGGGGGGGGGGGGGGGGAGGCTCGGTTATTACTCAGAGCAATATGTGTTAAACAGGGTGACCACTGCCTACTTTGTGTTTGGAACTGGGTCTTTCCGTAGGAAACAACGAGGAGATGTCCTCTCTCCACGAAACGAGGTAACCAGCCTCCATCTGCGGAGAAACGGGAGCAGAATGTCCGGGAGTCCAGGGGCCACCTACAGGCGCACGGGCCGCACGCCGGACATGTCCGTTACAACACCACTGACCCAACCAGAAAACACAACACAACCGAAATTAGAATGTGGTCAAATTTGCGTCAGGTATTTCATAAAATGCCATTTTAATTCCACTTCGCTCCAAACCGGATGTTTGCAGTACACCACGTGTTTGGGGTTTTCTTAAAGGGACAGTACGAGTTTGGACACGTGTACGCACTACACTACACTACATTTAAAAACAATTTCAGGCGATTGTCCATTAATTGATGCCTTTTGAGATGATCGAAAGGAATTAATTCAATATTTGAATAGCCTCTCTCTTTTATGCATAAAGATAACGCATCTCTGGATGTAGTGGCGCTACCCAAGCAACACAATAACAACATGACCTAACATTTGGGGTCCACATGAAATGGCAAGCTTTACCAGTTTTCATGAAGCCCCCAAACATATTTTCATCAATGTGTTTGTGGAGTGCCATTGACAGCACCTACATTTTTAATCACATTTTGGTTGGTTTAAGTTGTATCAAAAATAGAAGCTTTAAACAAAGGGAGCCAAACCACTATTCATTATTTTGATACTGTCAAGAATTTCAAGCTGATATTGCTGTAATCTTAAGGGTTTTTTTATTTTTAGAAAATTGCTTTTGTATTGCATGTTTTTTATTTTTTATTTTAGATCAAGCCACAGGTCCTGTTGTGACAAAACAAGCTCTGGTTTCTTTGGTTTACATCGTGATAATGTTAAGCTTGACACTGAGTTGTTTCATTTTTAGCTATCTATTTTTTTATCAGTCACAGTCATGGCAGTTGAGGAGGATCTCTGAAAGCCAGCAGTTGTGATTCTGTGTTCAGTGAATGTGTGCTGTTGAGGAGTGACTGTGGCATCTGTGAGCATAGATAATAGTTTGAGCATCTCTGCTGTCCTTCAGCCACTAGCTACCATCAGTGAAATGTCTGTTTATTGTGACGGGAATACAGGTTTTTCGAAGATGAACAGACATCATACGGTACATTAACCTGAGGGAAGAAAGCAAACCTTGCTCCAGGTAATTATATACTGAACCTGTTATCAAAGCAAACAGTTTGGGAGAACTCCCTCACATTGAACTGATAGTAATAAGCTGTAAAGTAAAGCTATACACTGTTTAAATAACTGCATTATATTCAAAACTATAAGAAGTTGCTATCTTTTTGTTTTAGTTTTTCAGGCACAATACGTCAAGCCTCAATTGAACTTCCACAATTGGGCCACAGACTCAAAGAAAACAGGTCAACAGTTCATCTTGGTAGGAAATGTCCCACACTTACTTATGTTGTAAGATGCACTTCAACATGGTGTGAATCATCTACTGTGCAAAACTGTGGGAAAAACACTGTCAACATGGGAAGTTACACAGGGTCATGTCTGAGTCTTGCTGCTGTCGGTCTGTTGCGTCTTATGCAATGCCAAAATTGTGAAAGATTCTTATGAGAAGATGGAAATGGAAAGTTTAGTAAAATTTTCCTGTGTTGACTTTTCAGTAAAAAAATCCCATTCCCTCCTCCAGATGTTATTTACTGTACCAATTTAATTCAAATTCACCTGTCTCAGGATGACATTAATTTCCATGTAAATGCACATATTAGGTGTTACTTCCATTTCAAGAGGTAAGATGTAAGTTTTTCTTTGTTAAATATGGAAGAAAAAAGCATGTACACCAATTCATACTTTCTGAAAGCATATTTGAGTATCAACACTTTATTTTGAATGGAAACAATCAGTTCAATCCAAGGATATTTGCAAGGTTAGGGCAGAAAATCATGGTAACATTGATTTAAAATATATTTATATATAAACAAACTAGTTCAAAGCAGGAAAAAAGTGTATGCTGAGTCAACACCATCAGTTAAATGTTTCACTCTTTTTACTGACTTTACTTGAACTTTTAATATGAGTTTTACTTCCAATGCTTTTCATCGATCCCCTCCATCTTTTGTCTGTCAGGGCTGCTGTGCTCGCCACTGCTGAGCTGGACTCCATCAGCCTCCTCGCTCTCCTCTCTGTGTCCGCCTTGTCCAGAATGTACTCCTGAAATAATTGGATTGCAATGAAATTGTTCAGTGAAGCAGTGCCTATTATATGAAATCCAATAATCAGCTGGCCCCTGAGGATACCTTCACCATGTCCATCATTGTCAGTGTGTCCATGCTTTCTAGTGGCCCATAGGCTGGAAGGTAACATTGCTGTCCAAGGTTGTTGATGGCGATAAGCAATCTTCCCACCTCTTCAACCTGTGAGACGAGGATACGCATGACAGAATTTCTGCCAAAAAGCAAAACAAAAAAAAACTGTTTACAGCCTACCTTTTCTCTGGATACACCTTGCTCCGTCAGCAAGTTCACTTCGGCCTGCTTATTGCTCTCTCTGAGGGTTTCTAACTCACTCTGCAGTTCTGATAGTTGTTTGTGGGCCATCTGTGTATGAAAACCATCAATCAGGTACAGAATAAATTGCAAGAGACCCAGCAGCTCTTACCAGTTCCTTAATGCTGTGCTCTCGCTTCATGCACTGCAGGTGTCTGTGGCCCTGCTCCACCTCTGCCTCCATGCGCCGCAGACGCTCCAGCAGCTCCTGATGGGTGATGGACAGGGTCTCATGGCGGCGAATGACGGGCATGACCAACGATTCATATCCATTATCATGGAAGACTGGAAAAAGATGGAGGAGTCCCACCTCAGTGTAGGTGCATTTTTATCTTCACAGAATGAACAAGCTCATCTGACTTACTTCCGGGGAGATAATCAAGTGTTTTCATCAAGAAGTCCTCATAGATATTGTGTTTTGCTATCCTCTTCATTAAAACCTGCTTTCTGCAAGATTGCAGTATTGGTCAAACTAAGGTTAAACGAGGCACTAGGTCAGAAACAGATTCACATTAAAGTGTTTCTTTCCAATTCTCACCTGGCTCTTAGTTTATTTAGCTGTTCTGTCAAATCCTCTATCTGTCTCTGTTTTGAAAGGTTTTCCTCCCGTGTAGCTTCACACTTCTTCAGAGCTGTACGTCGCCTCCCTTCATTTTCAGCAACAAATTTCTCAAACTTCATCACTTTCTCTTTATTCTGGATAGAAAGGGGCAAACGTGTTAGGCCAGCACAAAATGGATGCTATGTCAGAGAAAGTCAGAGAAAGACAACCACTCACCTCCTTGTGTGCAAGTAAAGTGAAATAAACAGGAGCAGGAAATATATTACCTGTTGTTGTTTTTTCTCCAGCTCCGACCTTCGTTGAGCCAAAGCCTCCATACAGCTCTTAAACTCCTGCCGCTTGAGTGCAAGTTGTGCCTCCGCCTCATTCAGTTCTGCCTGTTTCTTAACAATCAGGGACTTTTGCAAAGTATTCACTCCAGCTTCTAGCATTCTGCATGAAGTCTTCAAATGAAAAACATATATATATTAAACTCAGAAGTATGCACCTTTTTTAGAGTACAAAAAGAAGTAGAAAAGTTTGATCAATAGAAAAGTCAAATTCTTTAAGAATTTACAAAAGAAACCTTTCTGTCATTATTATCCCTGTTTTTGGTAAAATGTTAAACAGTGCTTTTTACTCTTACCTCTTTTAGAGAAGGGATGTGGAGATCAGTTTCTCCTGTTCTCTGTCTGAATAGAAAAATTACAGCCGAAGACAATCTTATTCCCTCAAAAACATTTTCATTTACTTTTATTTAATTTACATGTATGTTTCTACATGTGCCTCTCAGCTACAGGTAATGCTTACCTTGTGTCCTGTGACTGTGTAACAAAAATATTTTGTGATCCTTTTTCCATTTTAAGTTTTTGGTTGCTGTTCAAAATGGGGAGAGAAGACGTCGCCATGTTTCTTGGGGGTAAATATCGTCGGGTAGTTGAGGTGATTGAACACGTCCTTCACTTGTTCTACACTCGAACTTTCAGGAAGACGATCGAGGGTTCTTTTCCGGACTTTTCCTGGATTTTGTGTAACTGTTGCTAGGTAACCGCAAGGGGCACAACTCAGAATGCGCCGAGGTCGTTTACACGTTGCCATGGTAACTGCTGGGGAAGCGGTTCTGTCAGACGTCTGCCATACCACTAGTGTCCACTCCACTTACAATTTATAGCCTATTTCTGCTTATTAATCACCTTAAGCGATATTTAGGCTACCCTGTTTCGTTGGGCGATGTGTGGAGTCCATGCATGGGAGGAAATACCAATTCCACACGGAAAGGGAATTGAATTGGGGAACCTCCTGCTGTGATGTTAAAAACATCCACACACAAGTAACTTCCTAATTGTTTCTTCTTCTTTTCTCCAAATGAGTCTCTTGCCTATTTCATTGCTGACATAGTTCTTTGCGTTCCATTTGCATGTTCTCATTTTACCTTTGTAGGTTTCCTCACAGAGTTGTAAGACATGTCAGCAAAGGTTCCGCCAAGTACAGACAAAAAGACTTTTTAAAAGTTGCCATGTCAAGCCACAACATTTGTCCAAAAAACACGTGTACCCTTTTCCAGACCATCTCTACAGCTTGATTTTCTTTTTTTATGTGTACATTGAACTAAACTATCCTTCTCTGAAGCTCTTAAACTAATGATACAGGACATTCCATTCACCACATCAAATTTACATAGTCGACATGAGAGCAGAAGAGCCACATATTGTAATCAGTTGTATAATTAGCTGTGATTCATTCAGCCAGCAGGCTTCTGCTACGAACCCATTGCTGTTATGTTAATGTCTTCACAGGAAGAGCCATTGCTGATTGTACAAAAAAAAAAAAAAAAACCTGTTCTGCTCTTGCCATGCAAAAGACCAATTCCAGAAATTCCTGACATGTTACGTTGTACTTCACTGGAAAAGCTTCTTGTGAGGGCATGAATTCCACCTGGATGTAAAGCTTTTTTTTCTGAGATAAGTTATCAGGTGTACCCGTGTTTAAAGGAACATTTCATTTTAGATTACCAATAATGCTGAAATAGCAGGAAAATAAATGAACCCTGTTCAATTTCAAGCGTTGTCAGTTCAATGTTGAATTCTCCTCTGCTTAAATGTGTCTCTTCATTGGTCCTTTTTTGTTTGTTTGTTTTTCATTTGTTTGTATCGTCTACAGTGGTGGGGTGTGCATTATGTGTTTTATAGTTTTATGATATATAACAATGACTGACTGTTACAAACTAAACAACACACATCAGTGTGCATGTATCAGAGCACATATTCAATTTGATGGTTGGTTAGAGATTAATTAAATGCTACAGACTTTTTCTTCATCTGTAATTAATCATAGTTTAATTTGTAGGTTCTTGCTGACCAAATAGTATAATGTGCAATTTCATTGTTGAATGAACATAAATTGTAGGTATTCCAAAAAACCTCTCACTGTGCCAGTCGGTGCAATCTGGTTCCTCCATCTGTAAATAAATATGCCGAGGCTTTGTTTGTTCTAGACAAAAGCAGGAGCCCATGCTTTCAGATTACAAGGAAGTGCTTCCGAAGAAGTGATTATGAAAGAAAAATCATTTGTGGTTGTTTTTACGCACATGCTTCCCCATAAGTGCGAACACAAGGGTAAGATCAGACAGAGTTCGAAGGAACAACACTTCTGGTGTGTAGCTTCTGTAAAACTGACTGTCACCCAACTGCAATAGCACGTATCAACTTTGCCTCTGGAGCAGCAGAAACAAGTGGAACCACATTAAGTTGAACATGCCCTTAAAAGGCACCCTGCGTTGAGCTGCCTCTCTCCCATTTCTTCGAGTGCAGATTTCAGTTTCCCCCAAATGAGTTTGCTCTCTGATTCCTACGGTTGGTGCGTTTTACCTTGTGATTATTTTTACTTCTGTTTAAAACTGGAGCTCAGTTTTTATTTGTTTACTTGCATCAATGCTCCGACTTGTGATTCCAGATTTTTTTCTGGGTCGTCGTCCCTTGCCTCTGGAGAAGACAGCAGCACAACACGGGGCATCCCAACAGATCTCTCCCAATTATGATTGTCGTCAGCAGATATGTGTCTGTGTCTCTTCACCAGAGGTTAAACGGTGATATAGAAGACATGTCTATCAGCTCCTCGCCTCCAAAAATGTCATCTAACGGCGCAAGAAAACCCCTCAGGTGAGAGAATGTGCAAATAAAACGCTTGGCCATCATTTCTAAAAATACTTGCACAGGGCGTAGATCTGAAATGAATGAGCAATTCATTAGTAACACACATCAAATTGGTAACATGCATAAAACATGGGTGCTACTCATTGTGGAGAGCTCAATTATCCTGTGCCTGAAAAGTCTGAAGTTTTACTTCAGTTGTAAATACTGTTTCACTATAGGTGATGTGAATGGTTGACTAAAAACACTAGAAGCAATCTTCCAGAAAATGTTCTTTGCAGTTCGGGCATCTTATTCAGCAGATTCTTGCCAACACTGTGGCTTAAATGTGCTCCTTATGCAGCCCCAAAGAATGCAAATCATGTGCGGTACACCTGCAGGTCTAAATCCCTGCAGTTGCTTTTACTTCCTGTACAAAAAGACAAAAGATTTGCGTCTTATCTGTCGCTCACTGAACCATCCCTTTTGTTTGAAAAACCCACAAGCTGTTGAACATAAAAGGAAAAGGGAAAAAAATTAAGCTACTAAGCCCTTCCCAGAGGTCATGAACATTAGTATTTGTTAAGTGCCCCTATGTGAATCTATAGCATAAAACATGGGACATGTTCAATTTTAAATGATTCATCAAAAAAAGGGGGGGGGGATATATATCTTGATTGGCAATGGGGACATGAAGTGAATTTGAATATATTTACAGAGAGGCTCATGTTTAATGGTATTCATGTAGGTACCACCTCATATGTAAATGACTTCACTCCTGTGTCTCTGTGGACAACAATAGCTTCGAGCCACAATTGCTGTGGCTTTTAAAAAGGAAGAAGACTAACTGATGCCTTTGAGCAGATCTTTCTCTGTGGTGCAGCAGCAGAGTGGTTGAAACCAGGCCATAAAGGAGCCCCGAGAGCTCAGAGCGCGTTATCTTCCGCGCCGTTCGCCTTATCTCCGGACGCGAGTCTTTTTACATATATGGCCTGACAATTCAGTCCCAAAATAATCTGAGAGGACACAGCTGAGGGTCCGCGGCCGCCGCGCTATGAAGGGAGACCCCGAGCTCCGCCGACAGGATGACCAAGTTTAGCTACTCCGATTATTTATCCCAGTTCCGCAATGCCGGACGGAAAGGTAACGCTTTCCAGCGAACGCGGGGAGAAAACCGGACAGGAGTCCACCGGAGCGACGCAGCCCAGGAGCCGGAGTGAGTCTTTGTTGTTGCCTGACGCGGAAACGGCGTGTGTGCTCACACTCCGTGTGTGTCGTTGTGTGTCGCTGTGTGTCTGCTGGTGCCCTCTGCGCTGCCGGTCACCTCATTTTTACTAGTTCATTTAAACTAGAAGGACTAATAGTAAAGATTTAGAACCAATGGTTGGTTTGACATTTTCTTTATTAGTTTCAAATAGAAATGACTGCACTGGATGTTTTTTTTTCTCTGTCTTTTTTACAGGGATCTCAACCCCGTGGTCTCTGCCATCAAGAGAGGAGACGTGGGGGCCCTTCATGATCTGGCATCATCTTCCCCTCAGTGCCTGCTGATGGAGAACAAAGATGGGTGGATCCCCCTACATGATGCTGCCTACCTGGGGTGGACCCAGTGCCTGGATGTCATACTGAAAGGTAGTTATATGACGTTATAAACAGAAATGATGGTCTTTGAAAGGAGAAAGGGGGGTGTTTTTTGGGGCACTATACTGGCACATTTTCTAAATGCTACTGAGTCCTCCAGCCGGCCTGTTTGAGTTTTGTTCTCCCTGCTCCAGTTTATCCAGGTTCGGTTGACAAACGGACGCTGCAGGAGCAGACCGCGCTGCTGCTCGCCGTGTCATGTGAGCAGCTGCCTTGTGTGCGGTGCCTTCTGGAATCTGGGGCTGACCCCGACATTTGCAGCAATAACAAAGAAACCCCTTTGTATAAAGGTGCAGCTGTGAACTCAGAAGTGCTTCCAATGACATCATACGTGGGGGATGAAATGACATTATCCTCTCTGTGTCTGTAGCTTGTGAACTGGGGAATGCTGACATGGTGAGCCTTCTCCTTTCCTACGGCGCCTCTGTCAACCAGCGGTGTGGTCGGGGCTGGACAGCCCTCCATGAAGCTGTGTCCAGAGACAACACGGCCATCTGTGAGATACTAATCAGAGCTGGGGCCACAATCAACCCCTCTAATTCCTACAGCATCACACCACTTATTGTAGCGGCTCAGCACGGACAGATGAGGGCACTGTGTTACCTTATTGAAAAAGGTACTTCTCCTGGAGAAAAACAAAACAAAACATACTCTTCATGCCTCTGATTTCAGTAGCAATGCCATAAAACAGTCCTGCTTTTTCAGGTGCAGACGTGAACATGCAGTCATGTGATGGGGCCACGGCTCTGCACGAGGCCAGTAAAAGTGGCCACAAGGAAGTAGTGACCTTACTGTTGACTAAGAAAGCAGACGCCAACAAACCCACCAACTCGGGACTGCTGCCTCTGCATATTGCTGCTCAGTACGGACACCATGAGTGAGTTCTGTTCCTTCAATTTGCTATCAGTTCGTGTTATTGTGTAAAAAAAGCTGTCTGTAGCTCAGGGGAAAGAGCGTTCGCTTCTTTCTACATCTTTTTAGCTTTGCCCTGCTTTACCTCCTGTTTTCAGGGTCGTGTCTCTGCTTGTCCCCGTGACGAGTCGAGCCCGGCTGCGCCACAGTTGGATCAGCCCCCTGCACCTGGCAGCCGAGCACAACAGACACGCGGCGGCAGCTGTGCTGCTGAGGACAGGTGCGGACGTAAACGCCGTCCTGGCTCACAGTCACGCCATCCGCTATGCGGACCGGCGGGCCACGCCGCTCTACTTTGCCGTCGCCAACGGCAGCACGGAGACGGCCGAGGTGCTCCTGGAAGCCGGGGCGAGCCTGGGCCTGGACCCGGTCAGCCCCCTGCTGATGGCCGTGCGCCGGGGCTGCGTCAGCTCCGTGTCCTTGCTGCTGCAGCGGGGGGCAGACGTCAATGCCGGAATTCCATCCCAAGCAACGACATTCCCGGCTCTGGTCGCCCTCTGTATGAATAACCTGCCTCTTCTCAAGTTGCTTTTGAACAATGGCTGTGATGCCCCCTCCTGCTTTGCTTGTACGTATGGCAGCGCGCCTCACCCACCTCAAGGAGGGCCCAATATCAGAGCCGCTGATAGCAGCGGACATGTTTTGCCCAGTGACGGTGCACTCCCTTTAACTTGCGGCGGGTCAACGGAAAGGCCAGTTCAGGTGAGCCAGCGTGGCCAAAACAGACGTTCAGTTCACAAGCAAAATGATTTGTGCTCTAGAAGTAATTCAGATGCTGATTTCTTTCTCATATCCAGTTTTGTGAGTGGATTTCAGGCCCGGCAATGTCTAAGTGGGCTGGGCCAATTATAGACGTGCTGCTGGAGCATGTGGGTCAAGTTCAGCTGTGTAGCAAGCTGACCGAACTACTGGACAGCAGAGAAGAATGGCAGGCCGTAAAGCAGAAGTCATGTAAGTATCGTGTAAAAATATTGCCACTCGCTAACATCTGTAGGCAGAAACATGCCTCTGTCTGCCCTTCTTTCATTTCCTAATACAAATCTGCTCAACAAATATGTACCTTTTGTCTCATGTTACAGTGTCGCCACGACCACTGCTGCACCTCTGTAGATTCAGGATTCGGACCCAGATTGGACGAGACAGACTGAGAATTATTACGAGCTTACCTCTGCCAAACAGACTGATCAGATACCTGAACATGGCCGACCGACTTCAAGATGAACCTCACACAATATAGTCCCCGGAGACGTGACTAAGTTTATCTTTCTTTTTCTGTTTCTTTTTTTAGTCACTTCTGTTTTTTAAACTGTACATGGTATGACAAGAAGGCTCTGTAAACTGTCACGATTCACTTTTAAATAGATCCCGACAGAGAAGATGAAAGACAGAGAGAGTGAGAGAAAAATGAGCTGGGGCCCAAAGGAGTTCTTTTGAGAAGTTGAATCATTTATTTAAAAATAAAAGTCATTGTCTCGAGTGTACCTATCAAACATTACTGTGACAAAGAGAGGTCATTCTCATAGCTGAAAGAGGAAACTAAGACGGGATGTTTGGGCTGACGTGCATGACTGAGTGTACCTATAAAAAGAAGTGTCATCCTCTGTAGACATTGCTTCCACTTACTCAGAACGTAGCTGGTTTGAGACTGGTGTGAACAGTGAATTGTGAGAGAAAGTGCAATTAAGTCCTTCAGGCATAATCGACCAAAAAAAAAAAAAGAGATAAGTGCTCGAGAAAGTGTTCCGTTTTCAACTGCCCAAAAAAAGTGAGATGCCGGTAAAGACATTGAAAAAGATTAGTCCTATATCAACAGGTATTTGCGTGGCTCGTTAAATGAATCCGAACACGCTGAAGATGGGTGACTGAGCCGTGGGCTTGGTGGGTATGGGTTTCACCACGACGTGCGTGTGGATCTGCTGTCCGTAAGGATGCTCGAACCTTTCCGACTCAGTCCCTGCCGCCTTACTCCACAGTCCCAGGGGCGGGTGGGGGACGACGATGTGGCTGTGGAGGACGTGGTGTCCGTTGTAGTGGAAGGGGCAGCAGCCGCAGACGCTCACGGAGTGTTGAGAGGTCACGTCCAGCTTCAGCATCTCTTTATCCGAGGAGGCGCGCCGGATGGAGGCAGACACCGCGGCCCTCTCCTCGCCATCATAACTCCTTTTTCTCTTTTCACCCTCACTGCCCCCAGACGCATCCACGGGGCTCCTTTTCAATCCCAAATACGCGCTCTCCCTCTTGTTCTTTGTCAACTTGGGTTCCTCCCAAAACGAAGCGGGGAGCTGGCGCTTCCTCATGGGCACCTGTTCCACCGCGCTCCCCGCGCTCTCAGCGGCCATCCCATCAGGGACAACGGCCCTGTCTGACACCTCCGCGCTCGGATGAGCGCTTCCCACCGCTTTGGAACACTTGTAGTCCACAGATCTGTGCGCGTGGTACCTCGGGACTCTGTACTTCTGGGAGAAGCGCTTGAGTTGCTTCTGCAGATATTTCCGGTGATCCACGGAGCGTCTGCAGGGAGCGGACTTGTCCAGGGCCGCCTTGATGTCACTGGATGCCAGATTTACGAAATTGAGCAGCGTTTTGACTTCACTGTCAGAATTAGCCATTTTTCCCCCCAAAGCCTGCGCGTCACCAGTCCATGTTAAGATGTGAGTCCCAACCCCTAAATCTGAGAAATGGGGAAAACAGTCTGTTTAGATTTGGCACCTTTGCAAACCAGATGAATTCTGCAATGCAAGGTAAAACTGGTGGGTTATTGCACTAAATGTGAACATATGCCACTCACCACTGCTGTTTGAGCCAGATTTAGTCAAAGAAGCAGTCCAAGAACTGACCTCCCTCCAGACTGCAGGAGCATTTCAACAAGATGAATGAATATAAACTCCTGGTAGTTATGGTGTTTTTCTTGAACCAATCAGCGACCCCAAGCCCCGCACAATGCTCCCCAATCAGGCTCCAAGCGCCCTGGTATCGAATTCTTAACCAGTGCAAATTGTTGTCATGGAGACCTGGAAAAAGCCGCCAAAGGGATGCGATATATTTCCTAATCTGTGGCTTGAACAAACGTGTGCAACAATGCAGAAGGTGTTGGGATGCTAAATAAATTAAAATAAAAAAAAACAACAACATCCTTTTGAAATACGTGTGAATTATTCCCTAATATCGGAGCAGTTAAAGTTGAGGTTTTAATCCTGATAGCCGCCGTGCCCTCCCCAAGAGTGATGTCAGCTGTAAGATTTGGGGAGGGTGGGGGAATCTAAAGAGTGCATAACCATGGTTAGGGGCTTGAACGCTCAAGAATCTTGTCTTTCTGTTTGCCCCCTCAATCGAGCGACACAAAAGCTGAATTACTCATTCAAACCTCGCGGGACAAAGGTAAAGGAGCTGGATAGCACTCTTGCATTTGTAGTCAAACATTTAGAGACTTAAATCGAGTCGTCATGAAGGAGAAAGAGTCGGACAAAGCCCATAGAATTGCCATCAGCAAACATTTTCCTGTGTCATATTATGGGGTCTCCATGGCTCCCTCTGGCCCACGGACAATAGCACAAGTTTGCACACTCGAATACTGTCACCCTGCCAACGGCAACAAGGGCCCAAAACAGGACAATCCCCAGAGAAAGCATGGGCTCCGCGGGGAAGGTTGCAATAGAGGAGCAAAATGGGACTTGTGAAATGCTAATTGAGCTTCATCCCCTTATTGAAGTGGGGAAGGAGTACCTATGGTCCTACCGGAGCACAACAGCAGTGAAATGAGATGTGAGGGAGCCGTTTCTCTGGTAAGCAACACCCCATCCGTCTTGCACCAGGAGAGGGATTTGTTTTAAATATCTGTGGCCTCCATCAAGACTAAAGGCCATTTGTCCAGAACAAACACCAGGCCACATGATTGATTGACTCATTCAGAGCCCCGCAGGTCAATATGTGCTCCGGCTGGTCTATCTTTTTAGGGGTGCATCCTTCTTGGTGCAGAGAGGCAATGGGACCTTATTGTCCCCATCTCCTCTTCTATCCCTCACCTCTCTGTTCCACTGAAAAGACCAATTAACAATGGGACTCCCCTCCCGGGCCTGTCAGCCCACTCCTGTGCTTTTGAAGTGAAGAAGAATGAGAAAAAGAAGGAGGAAGCACATGTGACATCCAGAAACTGTTTAAGGTGGAGGAGATGCTTGTAAATCTTTCAGATATTTGGTGGAATGAGATCACTTGTTTAATTTATTGTCATTCTTACATATTTTCACTCAGTGGGGTAAAAAAAAAAAAGTCTGTTAAATTGCTGCTTGTAAATTATTTTTGTCTTCTTTTTTCCAGTGCTGGAAAATTACCCTCAGAAAACATTTCATCATGTTCATGGTCTCTCCTGATATATTTAGTGGAAGTTCAGAGCTCTGCGTTAAAAACAATGTCCACACCTTGGCAGCTCCTGTCCATTGCACATTCATCAAATACCCTTTCAGCCAGCAGCACTTGCCTCAGAAAATGCTGCACCAAAGCAACAACCGCACAGTCTTCATTTGTAGAAAAGACAGCTAGCCCTTAGCTGTCCAATATGCATCAGTATAGAGGGTTTTTTTAGGCATACTCCAAAAAATAAGTAGTGGATCATTTAAACAAAGTTTGTGCAAAAGAGCAGGTCTGACTCCATGAGTTACCAGACATGAAAAGTTAACATCCAAACTAAGAGGGGGTGCTGAGTCAAGCAGTGGCTTCAAAATGCAAAGTTAAAGCTCGATGGAAACTAAATTCCTAACTACATTCAGTAGTATGAAGATCAGACTGTGTTGCATCTGTTTCCCCACAAAGAAAGACTGTCTTTTTACTGTGCTCTTCAGAGTCCTGGTTTAGTTTTTCCCTAGATATAAAAATGTTACATCTATCTATTATGGCTCAGCAAGCATGATGTGAAGTGTGTTTTTTTCAAATTAACATGCGATTCCAAAGGTTTCCACTAGATGGCAATTTACTTCCACTGTGCTACAGCTCAGCATACATCCACACAGATCCATTATATGCACTGATAGAGGAGGAACAAAGATACTAAAGATAAAGGAAGCCCAGCTAATTTTAGCTGAACAGTGTTCTGTAAATGACAGAGAGAATTAAAAGGTCTGGGTTGTTGTTTTTTTACTGCAAAAGGTATTTTCAGACTCTGTTTGCTAAAAGATGCAGATTAAGTATCCTGGCAAGAACGATAGCACTGAAAGATCACAGTAATTACATTAAAAGGTTTTCTTATCAGACTTTAAAAGGGATTTGATGTATACTGTGGCCGACTGCTGCTTGTTGGAATGAAGTGAGGTAGCAGGAAGGAAACAGGAGGATGTAGTGCTTTCCTCTTGTCAGATAATCAATATTGGGACAGACTGTGGGAGAGGATGGACGAGCTGAAGCTGCTGGGCAGACTGTATGCCAAAATGCAGGCTTGTTGTATCAGAAACTCTGCAAAAAATATCTGCACTGGACTGCGCAAATGCAGTTTCACAACGGCTATGGATTTTCCACTCTAAAAGTCATCCACAGCTCTTTGTATGAGCTCATCCCATTACTGTCTGTGAAGTGCTTTTTGATAGGCAAGACGTGATAAACGCTCAGCCGCAACAAAAGGCTCTAGGGCTGGTTGCTGAATCCACTGATCTTAATCCAAAGTTGTCTGAATAGTTGGCTTAGATGTTATTTATTCTTTTTGGAATACGCAGCCTGTGACACAGTTGGCTCTCGTTTCGGCTATTTTAACCGTGAGCATCTCCTCTTTAGATAGGGGAGCAAGTCACGTGGCTGCAACAAATTATTGCGGTTTTGTGAAACGTGAATATGCACTGAGACTGACCGCGAGGCCAGCAGGTTTGCACATGGATCAACTAAGCTCTCCTGTACACTTCTGCCCTGTTTTAGCTCTGAATTTAGACAGACAATGAGACATGTTCAGCTTCAGAGAGGATTTGGTGCTCTGTCATCTCTCTGAGTTGCAGCAATCAATGACAAAACAATAAAGGAGAGGGACACATATGATAACCATAAGGATATCGTCTTATGAGAGCTTTCTACTAGGTAAAATTGTGATGCTATGTCCAATATTCACTTTTTCTTTACTCACAGAATGATCATTTAGGTCAACCAAATAGCTTGCAAATTCATAATCCAATACAGACAGAAAAGATGAGGCTCTCTAAGCGCCACTGTTGTAATAAGGGACACCAGGATGTGCACTATGGTTTGGCTCTCATTGTCAATCAGCCACTCTGGTGTCACGTTGGCTCTCTGGTAACATGTAAGACTGAGGGGTAATTTCATAACTGTGCCCAGTGCAACCCACCAACAACATTATGCAACGCTGCTCCTAAAAACTAGCCACTGTTGTCTCATTCTGTGCACCGTGCCCTACAGCATCACCTCTTACAAACTACTCCAAGTACTGTGGCAGTGGTCGTGATTTCAAAGACCCCAGTAAAACGCCAGAAATCTCCCTGTTACGGCACGTAGACTGTAAAATACCAGCTCACATCTGAGTTGTTTATCACTGCCTACTTTGGGACACTGGAGCAAAGACAGTTCTTTAGGCACATCAAACATGAGCATGACAGTGTATTCAGTCGGTAGGCGTCTTGCACTCTCTCCACTTGACTTTAATTCGGTCCAGTACGCGTCATCCTCTGACGGACTCGCCTCCACGCAATGTGGGCTACACTTTCTGCCCGAGACCAAAAAACAAAAAGAAAAAGAAAAAAAGAACACACGGAAGATAATCCAACACAAACAAGCAAACAATGAAAAAAAACAACAAACAAACAAAAACGCCGAGCTGACATTACCAACGCCTTCACAACCACATGAGCTCGTCTCTGGGTTTTGGAGGAGGGGGAGGACTCCGAGAGGAGCGGAGGAGGAGGGGGGGGGGGATTTGTTTTGAGCACACGCTGTCAGGACGAGCTGATGTGAGCGCTGCATCAAGTGCGCGGCGGTGATGCTCCAGTATAAAACAGCCCGCTGTATTTTGGCACAGAGGGGGGATGCATCACTTTAACCCACGGCTCTGCCCTCCGGACTCGCCCATCCAGCGCTCAGCCTAGATAAGTTGAGGGCATGTGTGATGCCATTGCGAGGAGTCCGACCGCACGACATCCCTGAGGAGCTCTCTCCGCTCGCTTTATTTCTTCTTTTATCGTTTGCTCCAACTTCGATGGCTTGAGTGACCCGTTTGCACTCATGCTTACAGCCGAGGAGGGATGTAAGGTACGGGCCATCCACCGCCCTCACGTTGCACGGTCGCTGTCTGAGTGCCAGAGAGAGAAAAAACTACTTTCGAGATGTGAATTATCGAGGTTTGCTACTCATCACACCGGTTCGCCTGTCCTATGCTACCGAGAAGGGGATTTCAAGAGGAAAATGATTGTGGCTTAAACTATTTCTGGAGACACTTGGCACTGAAATCACCGCTGAGCTGGATAGGGTGGATGGTTATTTCCCAAACAGTTCAAGCCTATGTATACTGCATCCATTTGTTGGAAACGCTGCCTAGTATCTTCGAGAACAGCGCAAGAGGAATGCTGGTCCAAGATCTAATGCCATTTACTTTAAGTTTTTGGCCTTTTTTCTTCGGTCATTGTCTTCTCTCACTGTTTTTACTCTCGTGCCAGGTAAGCATCACCTCGTGATTTTACGCACGACATCAGGCTGCACAATTGTAACTGGAGTCTGATTTACGAGCAGCAGAACTTATATCATACGCGAGAAAATACTGTTTTTAGACTTGATGCTGGGGTCACCACTTGTGTGGAAATACAGCCAGCGAGGCATGCGTTGTGGGTCCCCAGTAAAGCATGACGAATAGAGAGCTAAGCACCAGTGCACACACAGACACTCAGCGGTCTTGTAGTGGGAACATGGAGTAGCCAATTGTGTGTGTGTGTGTTTTTTTTTAATCATAACAACGTTCCCACCAGGATCCCTGCAGCAGGCATATGTTAGTGATGAGTATTATAACCTTTGGCCCATGCTGCTGCCTACAGATAGTGGTGAGCCGCTGTTCATACGCACACAGTGTTGCCAGGGTTCATGTGTAATGTGATCTGCTCGAGGTTCCAAGTCCACCCACACACACACACTCTCCTCGGGGCAGCCTGCTGCCCACTCTGCTGGTGGGTGGTTTTCTTACAGGGAGCATTCGGCAGCCGTCGACGTGATACTATTCTGCACGTATTACACACAGCAACAGCCCCAAACGACAACAATGCTGGAGCTGTGGTGGGAAGAGAATGCTCAGAGGATATCCACAGTGCTGCTGAGAGGCCGCCCAGTGCTCGGGCAACGCCGTTTTTTGCTCCGCCGTTGTGCGTGCGCGACTTCTAAGTAATGCAATCTCCTCTCCCTCCCACCATAAGGGAGAGCTCCAGAGGTCATGCTCGCAGACTGCGGTGGAGAAAGTTAGCGAACAGTGCCAGTTGGCATGCCACTGTAGGAGATACCCTCCCCTCCCACCGCCGCCGCCTCCGCCCCCTCCCCCACGGCTACTGGGCACCACAGGTAAGGCTTCCGGCTCACACTCCCAGTTTTCACACCCGTCTGCACTCCCGAGTCTGCCCGTCTCACTCTGTCTGCTCTCGCCCCGCAGTTGGATCTCACAGCAAACCATGTGTCAGGCAGCTAGTCTGGAGAAAGTGTTTTGACATGAGGCCTTTTTTTCATCTGTGCATATAGGGAGAATGTACCATCCATCCCCAGAGATTAGGGCCTGTGCACGGGCGCAGTCGTGCGCCCGGGCAACTGTGCGTTTAATGGAGCCAGCAGGATGTTGACAGCCGAACACAGGACTAATTCATGCTGAGGCTGAACTCGGGGAGTACCCAGCTGCCTGTGAAATCCATGCCTGCTGGGCTGCCATGCTCAGCGGTTTAGTGGCAGGGTTTCCCTCAGAGGACCCCCTGATTAGAGCACAGATGAGTTAATTAAATTAGCTTATGAAAGAGATAGCGGGCTAATGAAACAGCCCACTAGTTCCAGCTTCATTTTGAAGTTGAGCCGGCAGCATAAAGCGCGTGTTTGTGTGTTAGTGCTTGTCTCCGGCAAGTGTGTGTAGTATATCTCTGTGTTGATCCATTGCCTGTTGTGGCTCTACCTCCTACTCGGGCTCCTCTTTCGTTTCATTCTGAGGTAGTAAATCTACTGCTAGATAGGTAAACATATTTCACCAGCCTGCTTGCTGAAAGTTGATATGATTTGTATGTCATCTCAAGCACTTTAATGAACAGAGAACTGAAATATGAGACAGGCGTTGTTGATGATGCATCCATTCTGAGCTATTACTATGACTCTTTAGAATCTTTCACCCTGAGCCCTTAATATTATGAGGGAAGAACAGTACTTAATCATGGAGCAGTGGTGGGGCTTTAATCAATAAGTTTAATTGATTTTTCATTTTCTGTCTGGTCAATGTGGATGGATCTCCTTTTTCCCCCTGACTCACCATGTGAGTTCCCTAAAAATAAAGAGTTATAGACTCCTCTCTGATTGTTGCCAAGGTCACTACACGAGTGCTGCCATGGCCACCTGACTACAAACAAAGGTGGGGACGTGAATGTCTGTACCTCTGAACGATGCACCTACAAGGCATAAATCTGTAGTAAGGAACATGACAAAACTGCCTTTTCTGTCTTGAAAGCTTTACACAGAACTGTTTTTAAGACGATTGAGACACAATGAATAATTCACCCAAAGATCTTTTCCTATATCTCCATTTAATCAGTAGAGAGTCATAATTATCTTGATATTCCCTCAGCAGCCTGACTTGCAGAGTTCTTAGAGCAGAAATATTGCTTTAAACATTAGTCTTTAAAAATGCGTCTAATATGCATGAATAACACGAGTAACTGGAATGAAGACTGAGACTTTATCTATCTGCTAGTCCTCAGCAATTATAAGGGAAATTGTCCGTTTAGTGCGCCTGCTAAAATGGTATGAGGTTCCATCAAAGGAGTGTGCTTTGTCACGATGAAGTAGATTGTTACCACTGACTGAATTAAACCTGAAAGCAGTTGACAAAACGCAGGATTAAAGTGGAAGTTTGGCTGAGAAGAGCTACTAAATTTACAGTGACTTACGACATGGCATGCTTTACCAGGGAGGGCCACGCCGTCTTATTTGCTCTGTAGAAATGTGCTGGGAGAAAACACAAGGTCACTTAGAAATATTTGTTGCTGCGCTGTCGATCCATATCACGATTTCTTTGTCACAGTATAGAAAGTAGAGGCTGCCTTAAACTGGATCAAACCTCCATGCGTACAGTTGTTCACAGGACCGAGCCGATTCAGAGCTGTCAGGAGAGCAGTGAATCCTTGAGAAGGATAGGGACGTTTTTGCATTGCAAACACAGAGTTGCTGATGCACATACATATATATGCTGCCGAGGGGTCGTACTCCACAGACCTAATGTGGGAAGAACAGCAGGTTCTCGCTAAAGTAATTGGTGTGGACAAGAGTGCTGGTGTAAGGAAGGCTGACAGGACCTTAAATGATTCATCGTGTCAGGATGGATATCTTTGAACATTGAACCTAAAACCTGCAGAACAGAGGAGGAGACAGCTGCTGTCCAGCTCAGGGAGCTGGGGAAAACTCACCCCTGTGCTCCTCTTTAGTTGTGTTGTATAAGAGCCGAGCCAAATATCCAGTATATTATACCCGGACTCACTGCACTGTGATTTAAGTGTGATCATACTGTGGTGTAGAGATTTTGAGCTAACGTTTTGTGTATTCGCTCCTAAATAGTGTTTGTTCTCTTGTGTTTGTCCACTTGTCTCGTCCTGCCTCCTCTTCTCCCTCTTTATAAAGTGGCGGAGCCCATGGTGCCCTTTCTGAGGCCCTGGTGGATGGAGATGGACATTATAGTTCTTGGGACAGTGGGCTGTGCGTCTGTTGTCTTCCTCCTCTCAGCCATCATCATCTGCTACAAGGCTATCAAAAGGTTAGATGTCAATCTTCTCCTTTGCTTCAGCTTGTTATTTATCTTCAAAATAATCTTTTACATTCAGATCTCAGAATACAACTACTTGCTTTCCTGCCATTTTCTTAGAATAATGCTGGAACCCCCATAGCCAATTCTCAAATAGCATTTGTTAGGATGAATGTTGCTGAACAAATTCAGCGCTCGTGGTAAGTCTAAATCCAGAATGTACAGTATGCTAGAAGAAAACTGTGTTTAGTCCCTCAATAGAATGTATATTTTACACCACTTATTTCTCCATAGTTTCCAATGTAGCACATACTTAACAAAACAATTTAACTTTTCATCTTGACATTTGCTGAAGCTTTCATCCACAAATTTCCCTTGATCAGTATGTGATTTCTTCAAAACTTTCATTGGACCAGCAACCAAGTGTCACATTTCTGTTAAAAGGTGCAGCATCCTCCCTTGTTGTAAATCCCACCTTTGAGAGGGACTCACAAGTTTTCATAGAGTTTAAGTTAAGTAACAACAGAGTTCAGGGGAGGTCTTGCTATCTTCGAGGCATGAGCTTGTTGCCCGAACAGAGTAGCTGTTGAAGTCTTTTCCTGCATGAAGGTCATGAGCTCTACAAACAGCTTCATGTGAAGCTACACAGTAATTTTTTTTATTTTTAGAGTTAGCTTTCATCACCCTGAAGGCTCATCCTGATTGATAGCATCAGATATCTGCACTGCTCCTTCAGCCTACTGTGGCCAGCCTTCAAATAGTGCACCTTGTTCATCAGTGATCCAACATAGGTTCATCCATCTGTTCCACTGAGGGATTCCTTCATTTTTTCTTGTGCTATACAACTTTAAAGACCTTTTTCTCACATATCCCACAACAAATATTATTGATTCAGCTGTTCATTCTCATTCACTGGTGGTAAGGCTTTCTCTGCTCTGGGTATGCCTCAGCACACTCGAATGCCTGTTCTCCTGGACACTTCAGGTAGGTCACAGCATCTTCAAATGATATCACTCCTTTTTTTTAATCCTTTTTTTGCAACTCTGCCAAAACTCTCTAAATTTTAATCTGCTGTAATTGATTCAATTTACATGTCTCTACATTGATTTTAAGCTAACTGATGGCAAAACACAAAGTGATATAAGATATTAATCACATTAGATCAATTCAATTGTATTATTAGAAATACTGGACCTGCTGAAAGTTGATCGATTCAGCACGCACGGACGATTGCAGGGTTTAAATTTGGAACAACCAAATTATAACTCTTTTGCCTAATAACTGTGCATGCAGAGTCTGACAACTCTGTCTTCACCCATTGCAGTCAGGGGTTACATAATGAAATTGGTTGTAAAGGTCATTGAGGAAGATCCACAGCACTGAGTCATGCAGAAGCATCGTCTGCTTGAAACTGATTAACTGAAGTGCATGATGACCAAACAAAACGGCATTGTTTTTAATTTACATAAGTGTCGAAAGCCTCTGAGATCTGAGCTGGCTATGCGGATATGACTGCAAGAGGCAAGCAGAGGAATCCCAAGACACAGCTGTTGAAGCATTTCCTCCCATTTGGCCTATTAGAGAAAAAAAAAAAAGGCAATGTGAGGTTTTAGCCTGCGGCACAACCAGACCCAATTCTCTTTGTGCCATTCACACTGCATGGTGTCACACATGCACTCGCACATCCACATATGTTCACAGACATATAACAAATGTTCGTTTGTATTGCGTAAATCCGGGGCTACTGGTGTGCACCCATCCACAAACATGCAACATCTTTACATATATACATACATCATCTTGGCATATTTACACTTTGTATAAAATATGGAGTAAGCACTGACTCTCACACAACCATTAGAGAACAGCCGTGTGTGCTAAGGAAGTAGCTATTCTATGTTTTATTTATGCATCTTTAAAAAGATCTAGTATCATACCTTGTTATATTTATGGAACTATATTAAGCCCGCACGCCAGATATGGCCTCCCTCAGCAGAACTCTGCTTCTCCTTTCTTTAAACAACAAATAGGCAAAGTCAGGCAGCGGAAGTAATGGGTGGTTGGCTCAGGAATTCATTATGGCAATTCTCCAGCCCCCTGTGTAGCCAAGGGGCACCTTTTTAATGCAACAGGGGTTAGAAAGAGTTGCAATACAGGCTCTAGCCCCAAAGTCAAGTTATTATTTATGAATTAATTTGCGCAGTCATTCAGTCGCAGACCGTATCTTTTATACATGCAAGCAGGTCGTGTCCTGAAGCTCAGTGGGCTCTTGACTGCAGACTTTGTGCCACGCCAAGCGGCCCTCCAATCTGAATAAGGAGGGGAACATACAGAGGTCCAGACTGCCCCCATTACACATTCATTAGTCACCAGACAGGGAGAGCGAGCAGAGAAAATGTAATTCCTTTAACATTTTGCCGTGAATGCTTAAATCATCCATCATTCCTGAGAGGAAGGGAGAGGAAAAAACACAGTGAAAAGGACAGACAAAATGTTGTTCACAAGTAAAGCAAAGGAAGTAATTGAGCATCCTAGTCAATAACAATGTGAGAAAGGGTTTGTCAGTCAGAAGAACACAGCCAGTTATATATAGCCCTCACAGCCGCTCAGTGCTTCGGGCTTTCCCAATGAAAATCAGCTGGCCCAGGGCCAAAGCCTGAACACCACAGACAGTAGAGGAGTCAGCTCTGTGAGTCCCAGCCCTCCTGGCCTTTTGTTATTTTTTATAATCTTTGTCTGCCAGTCATCTGTCTGAAGCAAAGGGACTGGAAAAAAAAAAACACTTCCATACAATTCTATTCAGAGTCCAGAGCACCGGGGAGCATAGTGTGAGCAACAATAAAGAAGAGGATTCAGACACATGCTGCGTTTCAGTGTTGCTGTGTAGTCCAAAGGGAAAGACATGATGCTGCAGTCCAGGCAGCCAGCCATCCCAGAAGCCAAAACAAATAAAACTCAAACCAACCGACTGATGAATGCTTTTCCCAATCACTTATCGTTCTGGGAGGCTTGACCAAAAGCGGATCATGATTTCCTTTTCAGACTGAAATGACATAGAATTCTGTATTTAGCGACATTTAATAAATGTGCTTTGTTTTAATTCCTGAATTGCCAAACGCTGCATCACCAAAGGGGGTGACAGATATAACAGCCTGTTCGTGATATGTTTTCTTCGAACCAAACAATGTCATTCTAATATCCAGATGGCCGGCGTAATTGTAAACAGCCAAAGACATGTCCCAATTTCACCATCATCCATTCCCAAACTTCAAACAGGAAAGTGTGCGCTGTGATTGCACAGCTTTGATATGAAATATTCATCTAACCTGTGAAGTGTTGTGTTGCCACCTGCCATGTGTCAACAGCATGCCATCTATTATTGAAGGCCCGGGTAGAGGTCGGTTTGAGGCCCCAGTGCTCTGCCCTGTGTGGCGGCCGAAAGTGACATGGTCAGCCTGAGTGGAGATCACATCCTGAGAAAAATAAACAAGGACGAAGCCCCATCCAGCAGGCTGTGTCACCAGAATTTTCTACCGTGACAGATAAACAATCACCTGAGGAGCTTTGCTCTGACCTGCTGCTCCTATCTGTTTTATTATTAAATACTTTTGAAAGTAAGCTAGATGGAGAATCTGCTGCGAACAGAAGAAACTGTAGTCCCTTTACTGTCTGAGTAGAGGATCGATAGAGGTTGGTTCTTCACTGAATTTTATTTTCAGTCATAAATATAAAGGGCTCCACGTTTTAACTAGTGTTCCCTACAGGGAGAGGTTATTTCTTTTCAGCTTAATTCCACACACAGTCCTGCCAACTTTGCACAACCTTTCTCAAAAAGTTCCTATTCTTCACCTGTCATACGATATCAAGTTCAGGCTGAATAGGGAGCGTCATTTTCAGATCTCTTCCCTTTGACGCTCCAGCGAGCACAGGTCCAGATCTGCCTGGATCAGTGCCAGGCTGTTCCTTTTTTCTGTAGCCACGCTGGTGTCTTACCAGCTGGGATACCTCTTAGGATGGCTCCACATTTTTTGGATCCATCTTTTCTTCATAACCGAGCCCCTACCACAAGAAAAAAACACCCCTTAAAATACCACCACCATGCTTAAGAGTAAAGGTTTCCAAACTTAAGAGTTTTGGAAGCCTCAAAAACTGTGTTAGTTTTAAAAAATCTGCATTTGTAGTATTTGGATGACATTCTTTCCTCAAAGGTTGACATAAATTGTTTACCACATGATATCTGAAATAGTTCGACTGAATGAACATTATACGAGCAAATTCTAATAATAGTTATGATAATTATATGGTAAATTCCAAAGCTCCCCAACTAAGGAAACCAACAGTTCACATCAAAACTTCTGAGTAGAGAGAAACATCCTTTTAGCAGGGGGACACCAGCAGAACCAGACTCAGGAAGGATGGCCATCTGTCTCCACTAGCTTTGGAAAATCAGCCTCTTAGACTTTTGCTTTTTTAGTAAAAGAATTCCCCGGCTGGTTGTATGTGGTCCCCATGAGGAAAATGTGGTCTATCCCAAATCCCTCATCTGCATCAGTCCAGCTCCTCCGTCCCCACAGCAGAATGTGTTTCTAGCCTCAGGCTGGATGGCTCCTTTTCAAAGGCTTTTCCTGGCTTTTCCACAGGGACCCTGTAAGCAGTATCCGTCCGATATGGCCAACATGTATCCCAGGTGTACTCACTATACGACCCCTCCCAGCTGATGTGCTTCCGATATGGGTTCCCATATTTCCTCAAACTTTTTTAAAAACATACGACCCCCAAGGATATACTGAAATACCTCATAAGGAATATCAGTAAAATCCAGGCTGTCCAAAATTCATCAGTTTGGCAACAGTTATTCATACTTATGGTTAGATTGATTAGACTGAATTGTTGTGTCTTTTATCTTTTATGGAATCATACGTGATATTGTTTTACAAAGATGTTTTATGTTTTAAAAAAAAAAAGGAATGTCTTCAAAGTTCCTGCTTTTTTTTACATGGTGGTGTGCTTTGGTTTCATTGTCATGTTTCAGTGTTGTATTGCTGAGTTTGATGCTTTTGTAGAGCTTGTAGAACTGAAGAAGCTTCTTGACTTAGAGGCAAAATGTATTCTAGAAAACTTCACGTCCAGCTGCCTAAAGTGAACTTTTCAAGCTAGAGCTTGTGCAGTTTGACCTCTATTTGTCCATTTCTTTTACTCGACTTGAGGTGAGCTTTCCCTGTCTCTGAAACTAAAAAGCAGAAACTCAGTTTATTCCATACTTGTTCTAGTAAAAGTTAGAAAAAAGTTTAATTGAATGGGAAATGTGCGTATTCCTCCATTAAAATCTTTCAAAATCCCTTTGAATAGAATAAAGGTGCATCCTTAATCCTCGCAAGCTAACCCTAACCCTAACCCTAAATACGATCATTTTATAGTTGAGCACTTGCTTTGCTAAGTGTGTGCTCATTTCACTCCAAGCACTCCTGTCCTGCACAGTTTCTTTTTAAGATGCCTTAAAAGGTCAAAATATTTCCCAAGTCTGAACTGAGAGTAGCTGCTAAAGTTGTAGCGGCCAGCCTGGGCTTTACGAAGAGAGGACGATGGAGAGACTGAGTTAAGATATCGCTCAAGGGTCCCCGGTGCCAGTGAAATCAATGTACAGTGTTGAGTGGGACAATGACTGTACGAACTGTATTCAGATCTGTCTGCGAGTTACATAAGCCCATGCAGAGGAGAGCAGCTGAAGGGTTCGGTGCAAAAGCCACAGTACACTGGACAAATATAATAACCAGAGAGGAATTAAGGAGTGCATGGAAAAGGCTGCATTGAATTATACTGCTCTTCACAGGCCAGTAGCAGTGAGGGGAGTTGCAGCTCTATTTTGCGGCACAGCTCACAGAAAGTATAGTCTTGCAGCGCAACCAGTGTCGAGAAGGAATTTCTCTAGAGGATGCGTATTGATGTTATTGCCAAGTTGTTTTGACAGCCAAACATACCCCTTGCTTAAGGGTAAGATTGCATCTACCAGGCCAAGTAGGTAATTGCCTTATCCTGTGTGTTGCGATGTATCTTTCCCTCCTGTGTCCTTCCTAAATTGACCTTTAAGCATTGGGCTTATTAGAAAGGATAGCATAGGCCAGCATATCAAACCAGAGCAGCTGGAGAAATCAAATCAGCCTGAAGGTTAACAGACTACAAATTCTGTTTAATGACGGGGCCTGCAGCTGAGGGGGGAAATAGCAACAAATCTCTCCTGTCAAAGAATTCTTCCTCATTTTGTAAAATTGTTTATTCACAGGAAACCACTCCGAAAAGAGGAAAACGGGACGAGTCGCGGGGAGTATGCCATGAGCATCCGTAACAAAAAGGCCATGGGCACGAACAACACTGTGGTATAGACAGTCTCCTGGCACGCACAGGAAGTGACTCATCAGTACATCTCACCTTATCCCGAACACAGCAAGGCCCTCTCACTCAGATCCCGAAAGGATTCCGCCTGAGGGTTTTGAATAGATAAACCTTCTCTTTTTTTGCTTGGCATGTTGATCAGACTGAGGACATCATTCGGCTTGAAAAGAGCTGAAAAGATGGAAGGTAAAAAGAGGCCAAGGCAGAAAAGACTTAGAGTAAGATCCACAAATCCCACTCCCCCCCCCCATAGTGTCAAAAGTGGCACAGCAGGCTGAGCACTATGCTCGGCAAGTGTTGCTGACAGGCTGGTTGGCTGCTGGCTGGAGAGGGACCGTGTGCCAGTCTGTGGCAGATCCAGACCTCTTGCACTGTTGATATCTGCAACGGAACAACACACAACACAGCACCCCCGCGGTCCCGCCGGCGGCCGGACAGGACAGCCCATCACACGCGACAAATAACATGCATGCAGTTTTTACAGAGAATGCAACATTTTTTTATAATCCAGTCTTCACACCGTCCATCTTTTGTTGTCCATTTTTGAGACCGATGCTTTGTGAGTGGCATGATGTGGCTCTGAGGTGTGGATTCATCTGACTATGCAATAAAAAAATGTGTTTAACAAAAGAGGAGCAGAAGCATCAACATTGGACGCTCTGGTTATTTTACCATACCAAAAAAAAAAGAAAAAACTATATGAAAAAATCTGGCTCCTTGTAAAAATGTTTAAGACATTCATGTATTTATTTGCTCTATTTATTTACTTATGTATCTTTGAATTTATTTTTCTACTTAAAAACGACCCTGTAAGTTACACACATCTTTCAAAATCTTGAACATCTTGATGAATTCATCGTTATTTCTTGATAGCTCTGTTTTCTAAGTGAATGATTTATAAACTATGTAATTCATTTGTGATGCTCCGATGCTTTAAGCCTGCTGTCAGTTTGTTGAGACACTGATGCAGAAAACAAGCTTACTCTGCATAGAGTTTTGCTTTCAGTTATTCTGTCTGCCAAGAGTCTCTATGATGTGCTATGTGAATGTGTGTTTTCCAGACATAGTTTTTGTGCTGAAATATTCAAAAGTATGATTTGCTAACTCAGTGCAAGCACCCCTGTCATTACAACTTATCTGTTTGAATCATATCGATCCAGTCTTGGGGTCAGCTCGATGCCTTCAGCCATGTTTTGTCAGACGTGACAATCTTCATTTTTCTAACTGTGAAGAAGGGCTTAGCCCATCGCTGTAGAAACGGGGGACATGAGCTAAGGGCTGACCTTGTGACTGGTGAGTGATATGGGACTTAACCAATTACCAGAGATCAGGTTGCACAGAGAATGGCCACAGCGGGACTCTGCTGTCACAGCCTTCCTCCACACACACACACACACACACACTGGAAAAACACAACTGAGCTCAACTGGAGCGTCACTCAATACTGCTCCAGTTTTGTTATTATTTTTATTTTTAGTTAGTATTTTATTTATTGATTGTTTTGTTTTCCTCTAACAATAAATCTGCGTGCATCTGTGTGTGCATGCAAGTGTGTGTGCATATGGGTGTGCGCCTGTTTGTGAGTGTGCATGCAGGTGAGCGTATTCAGTGAGAATGGACTGTGCTCTGTGGCTGTCAGTTAAGTATTGATATTGCCTAAATTGGAAATTTGGTGGAAAAAAAACACATGCTTGCATTTAAAATGCACAGATATTAGCTAAGCGCATACCCCACCATGTACCTATATGAGAGAAATGATGGATGCATGAATGTAAATATTGATATTTAAATATCTGCCTTCTGGACTGTTAATTCATGTACAGTATAACAGATCATATGTTTATACATAGTAAAACATTAAACAACGTGCTACCATTTAGATCTATGTCATTGTTGTCATGTTGATGGAGCAAGCCATTAATGTATATATGGCAATCAAAAGTACACTCAATTTATGCATTGTACCAAACAGATGAAAAGTTGTGCATAAGTTGATTTCACTGCTGAGTTTTTCAGTTGTAAATAAAACTGTACAGAACAGACCCACAGTCTACTGTGTTTATAAAGATTCATATGCAGAAACATCACTGGTACATGAAAGGAGATATGCTACAAACATGCTATTACCCCCTCTAAGAGAAAAACATGGTCCTAATCCAGCTCACTCATCGTATCTTTAACTAACTCCAATTATCAAGTGTACTCCACAAAACAGAAGTTGCATGTTGTGCCCACCGTGGATTTGATCAAAAAGGACATCCGCAACAAATCATGGGTGTGAAGGATTTCTGCAACTTAGCCTGTGCAACAAAGGCGCATTGTATCTTTAGCTAAAGATACAATGAGATAACAGATTTTTATGCTAAAAAATTCTAAAACTGAGTCGATTCTTACATGAACTCAAACAGACACGCTCTCATGTCTTTTCTATTTGCACATTATACATGAAGTGGAGCTAGTGATGTGAGTCAAACAAAGGGGCCAAACCTGTACAATACAGTCTGATGGAAAAGGGCACTGAAGAGGAATGTCAATGAATTATAATAAGAAAGAGGGGCCAGAGTACTTTGCCATCCCTGCTTTGGATGTTCCGCTTGATGGTAATGCCGATGGACACTGTGAGCAATTTAAACATTCATGCATTGTCCAGTCAAGGCGCTGCGGATCTCACTGTAATAAAAGCAAAGTGACAGCACTATGCAGGGGTAACAGGGTTTGTCATTGTCTCAACAACTTTTCAGTTGCCGCTGAGAGAGTGTTTCTGGGAAAATGAGATTTACATTATATGTACGTTCCTTAATCAAAGTAATCCACAAATGCATGCACCTGGAACGTGTGTGAGAGCACGAAAAGAGCTTTCAAAAGTTGACCTTCAGAATCTCCAAGGACCCACTCACACCCTCTCTTGTTGAGAGGCTGTCGGTCAGTGTTAATTACCCTCAGTACCTCCAGCTGCCTGCTCATCAGGTCAGTGCTCCCACATGGTCCTGCTGGAGGCAGCAGGCTAGGGCGGGGAAAGTTCTGGATACCTGTGGCACACTGATTACATAAGCTGCTGCTAATGAGAGGGGCTCTTCAGAAAGGGCTGCGAGTTCAAACGCTCACAACAGTGGCAGCGGCTGACAGATGCAACTCAAGAGCGAGGGGGACTTGATTAAATGCGCATACACATACATACACACGGAGGGACACATGCACGTACACACCTGCATGCAGCATCACTTTAATACACACAGGGCCACAGCAGGAGAGGGGCTCTTTGATGAACCAAGACTGGAGGTTGATGAGAAGGGGCACTGCAGCCTGATTCAGCTAGCATGAGGTCACCAGAGTGTGTCTGCTGTGCCCATGTATATTTGTCACATTGTGTAGTATTCATTAAATGAGGGACTCATTTGGTGGACACCTCTCACGCATGGGTCTTTTTGGAAATTCACTAACAAAAAACCTGTATTAGAAAAAAAAATGAATGCATTTATATCATCAGATCTAATTAATCTTAAAGCTTGATAATGAAATCCTTACTGAAGTGCAGATCAAAACAAAGATTAATGTGCTGCACAGCTTTCAAGCCTGCTGTCATGTCATCTGTTATTCTCAGACAAGAACTTTGTGCTAATACAGTTAGACCTCACAACAATGCCTAATCACAACAAACCACATTAGTGAAAAAGGTAATTGTGTTTGCTTGGTATATGCGGGGGCCAATCTCTTTCTCTGCTGCCAATGGAGAAAGGGACAGAGTGGGTAAGGTGGGGGGTTGCTTACCACTTTCGGATGAGGAAACGGGGGCCAGGGCCAAAATAGCCTTGTTTACCTCTAATGTCTGGCTCCACATTATCGAGTTACAGAGCCACTGCCACAACTCAGATTGGCCTCTGATCGATCTGCGCTGCGATGGCAGAAGGCAGCGTGACTGACAGTCTGACAAGGATCTCAGACGGGAGCTTGGTAATGCATGTCATGTCATTTTCCTGCAGACACCTGAGGTTCACTTTCCTCGTCCAGAAAAGCAGGCACCAGAGCCGATTTTTATCACAAACGCATTATGGTAAACTGGACATTTTCCACATCAGCCAGGACATCAAAGGGCAGTAAATGTCACATTTGAATTTTGAAAGGGGGCAGCAATTCATATGAAGGACAAAATGTCTCATTGTTTATAAAACTGTGTACTTTTATTATCCAACACACTTTTATTATGCAACCAAGTGACTTGAAAAGTGATAGGATATGAATGTAACAGAGTGAGCATATTCAAGATTCAATAAGCATTTGCTTTCACACTCTCACTATTACTAACGTAGGCCTCTACAATTTCCTCCCCGTCATCCCCTGGTTATTCAGATTATTTGAATAAAGAAATGATTAACCTAACACATTTACCCATCACAGGGCCCGTCAAACCTTTAATCATCAACTCCTAGAACTTTAAAATAGCATAGATTTACTGTACATGTACAAGAATCATACTAAAAGTGCTGAAAATAATTCATCTTCAAATAATCCCGCACAGCATAGTTTATATAGGAGTCCTTTTTTGGTCACAGGGTGCAGCCACAGCAGACACATGCAGATGTGAGGACCCGATGGGGAGCATAGAGCGAGTCACATGGGGTAGAACTGGGATGCAGCCTCAGACGACTGGATCTCTACCTGAGCCATCTTAAACTGAGTGCACTGGAGCCACTTGCGAAGGGCAAACGGTGGCGCTCCCGATATCTGACCCTGCAGACATTGGTGGTTTACCCTGTTCTGGATGGCCTGAAGACGCAACTGTAGCCCAGCAGACAGATGCTGAAGAAATGACGACATAATATTAGTCATTGGAAATTATCTAAACAGTCATTAGTTTCTTACGAGTTACTGAACACCTTACCTTGAGGTTCGATTGGATCATGGGTAGCCACATAGGAATTAACTAAAAATAAATAATAAGCATAAATTACTATTTGACAACATTTTAACGAGAATAATGTAGAGCATTATGTATGTACAGAAACACTTAAGTTAAAGCAAACCTTTACAAAGATGGTTGAGTTGCACTCCTGTAGGGCTTCCATCAAACTGATGACATGAAGACATACCATTTCTACCATCTGAGAGACAAACATGATACAACCTTAACTCTTATCTAACACAACACATTTTTAAAGTAAATTAGAAAATACATAGAAGAATAAGGTGACGACCACTCACCACTTTATTGTGGGCCATAAGCTGCAGAATGCTGGGCGTAACCCGACTCCAGAACTCCAGGCCGGTGAGGATTGCACTAGAGGAAAACTCTGTCTGGTTCTGGTTCTGTAGGGATGGAGCAGCAGCCGCCTGCTCGCAGTAGATGGTCCACAACTGTGCAAACATGAAGGCGTGGAACAGAGAGCACATGTGCAGCACTGACGTCTGAGGACAAGGAAGAAGATTTTTTTAAAAGATAAAAACGATTAAAAAGCACGTCATATGAGCAAAAACTGAGTGTGAACACATGATGAGATTAGTCAGCCAGACCTTGGACTGTTCTGGGAAGCCAATGAGGATGACTATAAGATGATCTGCGATGTGGGAGCCAGCATCCAGAGGGATGGGCATACAGGAGGTGGAGCCCTGGTGTAGGGCACAGTGTGTCAGGGAGCCCAAAAGAAGCCAGGACAGCTGACGGATGTGGGACACGCACTCAATGAATTCTTTTGGCCTAAAGAGATATTTAAAAAGTTTAAACAAGGGTTTAACAAAATAACTCTCCATGCAACTTCCTAATCTGTCATTTATAAGAATGTACTCATAAATTCTCATGGCGGCTAATGTTGCTCATCAGTGACAATATTCTTAACTGAACTTTTCTTAAGTTTTCACAGATTTTATTTAGTGTGAAAATGAGTTCCTGTTATTGAATGTTTTCAAAGAAAGGACTCATGAGAAAAGTCCTGAAAAACCAGACCATTAAAAAAACTCCCTAATTTAGTCAATTTAGCATATTGTGGAAAACAAATAACAGAATGAATAAAAGCCCTGACTGAGGTATGATACAGTAGCTGGGTTCAAACGTTTACTACTTGCTTTAAAAAATCTATAAGTTCTATAACTGAACTGCATTCAGTTATCATTCTTACCCTTGTTGCATGGTGGATGGTGGATGATAAAGCCAGGGAAGGTAACGGACCACGGCTTTGTTATCGCGGTGGTTGCCTTTGCTGATCTCCATGGCTGCAACTTGTGCCAAGCCTACTTTCAGGTTTCCCCCAAAAGTGTCCTCATGCAGTGGCTGACAGCACGCCTTCATATGGCTCTAAAAAAAACATTTTACAGAAAGTAGAGATGAGAGTGGCCCAATGAAAAAAAATATACATGTTGTGGTGCCGGTATAAACAGGAGGACTTACTTTCAGTTTGGTCAGTGTGTGCATATCTGCAATGAAGTCCAGGAGCTCACTTATGTACTGCCTCATACATTCCATGGCAGCTGTTGTGCACTGCTGAGAGGGAAAACAGTTTATCCTCGAGGAGGAATCACAGTGGGGTCTATTTGTATGTCCTGCTGTTTTATGAGGCTGATCTTAATAAGATGTGAGCGTAAAACCATTTAAGTCTCACCCCCGGCAGAGTCAGGATCATGTGTTTTTGAATGATGGTGGATTCTGCGAGTCGTGTGCCGATGTCTGCACAAACAAACTGCCAACATCCACAGTACGTTTTTGGATTGAATTCAAGATGCAACATTGTGATTTATAGTTGAGTGTGTAAACATTTTTTTTTTTTACCTGGACCAGTAATAACAAGTTTGTGTCAGGCACAGGAGACTTGAACTTGAGAGCCTGCAGAAGCTCTAACACCACAATGCGAGACATGTAGAACTTATCTCTCTCCTGGATGCAAGAAGATAGAGAGCCGAGTAAATGTACTGATGCAGCAAGGCTGCCTTTTTCTATTATCACTCTCCCTTACTCATGCTGCGCGGGGAGTATAAACTCTGGCTTGAATAGAGGGAGAAGGACAGGCAGCGGGAGGGGAGGGAGGGAGGGAGGAGAGGGAGGGGAGCCGGGGACACAGAGAAGAGTGAAGCCGAGGAGTAGATTTAGGCCAGTCCAGATCTCTCCTCCCAGAGTCCCAGGCAGCTCAGATGAGGCTGTCAGGCTGCCTTCTCCCTCCCTGAGGACAGACTGCTCTCTTTGTTCATCCCTTCCTCACAAAGCCAAGCTGCTTGTTTACAAACCACACTGTCATCTTCTGACTTCCAGTTTGCCTCCCTCTTCCTCTTTGCGGCCATGTTTACTTAAGGTCGAAGCGAGCACATGTTTTTCTGCTAATGCAGAATGGAATGCTGCCTCCGACATTTCTCTGTGCTGCTTGTTCGTGCGCATACCTGTATAACGCACTCTCAGAATTAAAAGTTAATGGTGCGCGTCCATTTGGTAAATAGAAAATGAAACGGCTGATCGTTAGCTACTGAGGTTGAGTGTGATAAAGCGTGCATGATGTGACAAACTTTTGCCTGAATCCCAGCTCCTCATAGAATCTTTACATTTTCACAAAAAGACTCCACGGGACAGAATCCAAAAGCAATTACTCATTGCATTTCTGGCTTCTGAAATCCGGATATATATGGTGAAGAATTAAAAACAGTGCAGAAAATCAATACTGCAGGACACATAAAACATGTGGTGCTGACAGTGGTGGAGGACTGAAGATTCTTCTGGCCAAACAGTGCTGTGCAGTGCAGACAGCCCCGGCTCCATCTCCATCTCAGGCATCCAGTGCCAAGCATAGCATACATCCAGGGCCCTAGCGCACCAACTAATCACGTTAATCAATACTTGCTGACTGCTTACTTAATCATTTGTGACACATAGCCATATTTCAAGCTGAGTGGAGGGTGAGGGTAGCAGTTGGGATTGAGAATCCAGCCAAAAGCAGCTGGACATCTTCAATGCTGGCTCTTTCAAAACTTCACAACTTTTCGTTTTCCTAACAACATGTAAGCGCACAAAAGCTTACCTTGTTAAAGGCTTTGTAGCACAGTCCGCAGAGTTCCACAAGGTAGGAAAGACTGAACGTGCCATACTGAATGACAAAACTCAGCAGCTTGGAGAAAGGCTCCAACAGACTCTGGAAGATGTTGGAACATGAGAAACCATTAGGCTTTAAAGTCCAAAGATTCAACAAACTGATACTGGAATGTTTGTGCCTTGAACTCACGCGAGTTGCATTTGTGGTTGGGATCTTCAGAAGACAAATGATAATCCTTAAACTGGAATCCATCGGACACTGGTGAGACACACATTGTAAAATAATGTGGCCTATGTGAACCAATACCATGCTCAAAAAAGATAAATGAAAGCTCAATGTAAGGTCATGTCGTGGATCTGGTGTGTGTATTAATTTGATCTCCAAGGTTAAAAGCGGCAGAGTCAAATCAATTACAGTTACAAGGCACTGCTGGATGCTTTTTGCTGGAGCTGTAATCAGATTAAACCATATCAGGCCATGACTAAGTGAGGGGAAGAGTTGATATCTACCTTCAGGGGAAGCACAGAGGGCAGTTTTGTGAGGAACGTCTGGAACTGGTTGCAGATGGTTGTCCACAGGTTGCTAGGAGAGTCCATGGGGAGAGCCTCCATGAAGGTGGCAATGTTGTCAAGGCAGTGCAGCATTGTGCCACCTGCTGGTAGACTCTTTTTGTTGTTCAAGCCCTGGAGGGCACAAAGGCATAAACCATAACAGGATTATATAATGGAATTCTATAAGCGAAGATATTTCCATGTAACTGATCACTCAGTCCTGATCAATCACAGTGCACATGATGAGAACAGGAGATCGAGGACACTGAGGGCAAATGAGTGCTCGGATGAGCGGATGCAGCAGTGGCTTCCTGTTGCTTCCCCTTATTTAGCTTAACAATAACAATAAAGTGGCACAGTAGTGTGGGGTACTGCAGGTTTCCAGAGATGCTCTGAGAATGTCTTGTTTTATAATGGGCTTGTGGTGAACAGTGGCTGGAGCTGAGCAAAGCTTTTGCTTTTGACAAGAGCCCCCCCTGCTGCTTAAATGACTTAACGCACAGGCACGTAGGAAAAACTCACCTCGAGCAGCATGTTGAGAGCCGCAACTGAGCTCAGTTCGTTGAAATCTATCAAAGAAGACGCAAGTGTTCGCAGAAAGCTCCCATCTGTAAAACCAAAGAAAGATAGTGACAGTGTGCCCAGCAGGAACTTACCAAAGTGTACTTGTCGTGTACCTTTGATGTTACTCTGGAAGAGCTGGGGCAAGATGCCATTGGGGGCCAGCTGGTGAAACACGCAGCGCAGAAACTGCTTGGCCACACCTGCCACATTTCCTGGGATCAACATACTGCGAAACATCACACGGGAGAATATCCGTATTAGATCTGTGGTTACAATCCACATCTATTAATAAACCCCTCCACGAGCAGTGAATGCTTCAACACTTTTGCGCGGCAGGTTTGACGTCTCGTACCTCTCAGCTTGTCCAGAAAAATTACCACTAGATGCCAGCCTAAAAGGAGTCAGAGCAGCAGATTAGGGCCAGGGGATGAATCATGTATGAGTTCTCAGAGCATGTTATGAAATGGTGAAGTGCTGTGTGGATGGAGTTTGTAGGGAACGGCTACAAGTAGCAGCTGTGCTTCACCTGCCCACAGACTGCATGATGTCAAGAAGCATTGGAGCAGCCAAATCAGGGCTGAGGTGAATAAACATGGAAAGGACAACCACCGCCAGCCCAAGGGTCTCTTCGTCATATTCCTCCAGCACAGCTGCACAGTCCCTACACCTGAACCATCACATAGAAAGCAGACCAGACGGGATTAGCCATTAAAGAGAATTGTTTCTTGACAAGGTGTAGCTATTGAGAGATGCATTCACCGGTCAGACATGGTGGTCGGCTGCTCATCGATGAACTCTTCAGGTGCCGGGACAAACATGCTGACTGTACTTGGAGCCGAGAGAAGACTGGTCTTTGTGGGACCTACCAAGGAGAATACACTTTAATATTACTTTTGTATTCTTTCGTGTGTTATGTCCACACGAATCCTCAAGGTATCATCATCCCGTAGAGAAGTCTAAAGCGGCTGACCTGTCTCCCATGTGCAGATGTTGTGTGGCGCACTGGACTGATGCTCCAGCTGTCTCTTCATCAGCTGACTCATGGTTAGAGCTCCCAGAGAGCCTCGTTTCACCTGACGATACTGAGCTAGAGGTTAGAGACACACAATAAACAGATTTAAGGATTCACCAAAATCATTTGGGGTTTTAAATCATTTGTGTGTTGTCTCATGAAAATGGATGACACATTGAAAAAGATGATCAATGTCTTTTGGATCACATTACAGAGACATAATTTAATGCTTTTAGTTCTTAGAGGAACAATAGTTTACCTATCGGTTTAATTCTAAGCTCTCAGTATTTTCATTTGCTTCGTGGATAAGTTATTAAATTATATTCTGTTTATTTGGAGTTATAAGTAAAGGTTTTAGGCAATTTTTTAGATTGCACATTTGTTTGAAGATATCCATCCATCCATCCATTATCACTACCGCTTATTCCCTAATGGGGTCGCGGGGAACTGGACCCTATCCCAGTAGTCAATGGGCAAGAGGCAGGCTACACCCTGGACAGTCCGCCAGTCCATCGAAGGGCCACACAGAGACAAACAACCACGCACACTCACTGCTAAGGGCAATGTGGAATCTCCAATTAACCTAATATGCAGGTTTTTGGATGGTGGAAGGAAGCCAGAGAACCCAGAGAGAACCTACGCAGACACAGGCAGAACATGCAGACTCCACACCAAAAGGTCATGGTTCCCCCAGAGATTCAAACCCAGAACCCTCTGGCTGTGAGGCCATGGTGCTAACCACAACTCACGTATGTATGTATACCTATAATCCAGGCTTTTCTTATGACTCACAGAATGAAAAAAGAAAAGTTTTCCGGAAAATGTTGAACAAATTCTAGAGGGAATTATCTGTATCCTACTTGACACTGAAGAGCGATGGCTTGTTTCAGGCATTGCAGCTTCGAGAGTTGGGGCTGAGGCAGATTCTCGCGGCTTTTCCAAGGTACACATAACTTTGTGATCTGCAAGGCAATATAGATGAATGATGGGCAGGGTGTCGGCACCAGAGTATATGCCCTCCTGAAAATGATGATTCAAAAGTGCTGAACAAATGCCTACCATCAGCACCGCACTTAGCACTGATTCAGTCACATGTTTTTGACTTAGATTTAGGACTTCCTCAGGCATAACGCAAAACTTTGCAGGCTTATCTGATTTACCGTACCAGAATTTAATTTAACTTTGTGTCTTTGACATTTTCTTAAATCTTGGCACTCCTCCCTTCAATGCACTTGTGTATGATGGAAAGGGAACACATAAAGCATAGCAGAAAACTCAGGATGTTGGTGTCGATGCAGCTCTTCATTTTTTAGAGTGCAAGCTGATAATGACACTGATAATGGTATGAGGATGGCACTTTGAGGAAACAATATAAGAGTTGTTCAATGAAGCCCATTTAATTTAACACAGAAATGTGCAATATGGTGGTAACAATAGAAAGAAAGAAATTGACCGGTAGAGAAAAAAGCATTCAAAAAGAAAGCTTAATTGATTTTTAAGAAATTAATTAAAAAATGTTTTCATTAATTTAATGAAGGTACGATTTTGTTAAAGATTGACACATCAAATCATATCTAAAATGAAAACTTAATTTCATGCGAAGCATTTCTTATCGGAGGACTCTGGCTGCTGTGGTTTTAAATCTCTTTTGTTTCAGCCGTTTTCCCTTCTTCTAAAATGTTTTCAGTAAGTTTGTGTTTGTGTGACATGCCTATTCAGATTCTTTTACTGTAGAGCAAAGCAGAAGTGACTGAGACTGAATGTGGTGTGACACCGCCATGCTGATATGACCAAGATCTTTCCCCCAAAAAAATAATAAAATGTGCTCCTGTCATGTGCACTCATGCACCATCGTGGATGGTAATGCATCGTAATGCCTGTGCTGAAAACAAAGATTAGTTTGTCTCTTTTTAGTCTTGTAATGTCAATATATGATTCCCAGAAAAGAAAACTGAGCTTTGATAGAAATTTCATGGCAATATTTGACCCAGTTAGGACTGTAAGTGAGACGTTACAGATGTTAGTGCTTTTGTATTTTTTTTAAATAACTAAATGAAAGAATCTGATACAGCAAGGTATTTTCCTTTTAACATGGAGTAATAGTTTTTTTCCACACTGTTGGTGTCTGTCTTTATTCAAGCTGAAATGAGAAACTCAACCTTTGTGGAATCATGTTTTTACATCTTGAAAAGAGAAATAGTAGAAATGCTTTTGATGGCATTCGTATGAAAAGTGGTATTTATGATTTTATAATACAGTCATTTGCCAATTGTTACAGATTCCCTGATACACAGAATCTGATCAGGCCCAGTTTTAAAGCAGTATATTAAAAAATGTGTCTGTTCAAAAGATAACAAGAACACATCTTTTTAAGATTAAGGGTGTTTATCCATCCTTCCCTCTTACCAGTTTCAATGGTCTGTTCCCCTCCCAACTTGTCGAACGTGTTGAAGGAGATGTCCAGATACTCCCTCTGGATGGCACTGACCGCTATCTTCCTCTGCTTTCGCTGCCGGGGGACAATCTGGATTTTGAACTCCGCCTCATCGTTGTCGTCTGCATCGTCTGGATGTTGGTCGCTGTCCACCTCGTCGCCCATGTCGTCGTCTTCCTCATCGTCACCGTCCTCTTCCTCATCGTTGCTGTTTCTCTTGCTTTTCTCTGGTGAGGAAAGTGGCTCAGCTTTGTCTTCTGGGATGTCCAGGAAGATGGTTCTGCCGGACGGACTCGTGCCAGCCCTGACCGTTTCGGGGATCACAGACGCGTCATCTATAGAGGTGTCGGGGACATTTGGAGTCTTCCTCAATAGGTCTCTCTTCTGTTTCAGGGTCATGGCATTTTCAGGGCACACATTGTCTTGCCGATCAGGGATATCCAGAGAAGTGATTGGAGTCACAGACCTCGGCTTCTTTTCTTTAAATTCTTGCTGTGAGGCCCCCTCTCCTAGTACCACACATGGGGTCTTTTTTTCTGTGGAGCAGTCATCCACACACACCTGAACCACAGGGGACAGTCGCAGAGTGCTGCTGCTCGCAGGGGAGGCAGATAGCCGTGGACTCCCCTGAAACTTTGACCCTAAGATGGCGCTGAGGTCGAACTCTTCATCGCTCTCCACTATCCTCAGTGGGGGAAGGGGCTCAAACACTAAGGAGTCACTGTCAGACATGGAGAGCAGCGAGTGTTTTTCTGGAATTGAGGTGCAATCTGAGGAGAGGTCAATGAGGTCTTGATCCTCCTTCTCCTGTGCTGATCCTTCCAAAGAACCCTGATCCTGTTTATCTTCAAAAGTCTCCATGCAGCTGAGGCGGACCTCTGGGATAACATGTTTGGACGTGTCAGACTGCCCTCCCCGAGAGCCTCGTCTATCAGCGGGATCAACCCGAGCCGAGAAGCCCTCACAGGAAGCCTTACCATGATGCCTGCGGGACATGGCGGCGGATGGGGGCAGGACCACGGGAGGCACTTGCATGTCACAGCGATCAATGCAGGATTTGCGCCGGTGTTCATCCAGACTGAAGAGGATGGAGTCTGTGTTTGAAATGTCCAGAGATTTTTGTTTGTGCATGGCCTGAAGCCGCTTCTTCCTGGTGCTCTCCTCCCTCACGCAGTGCAGGATGCTGTCCTGTAGAGCCGCTTCCTGATACTCTGACAATTCAATATCACCTGACATAGAGACAAATGTTTGGATTCAAGTTGATATAAAAGGAACCACACAAATATTTCTATCCGAAAGAATCAATGTGTGCTTCGATACATAAATTAACTGTCAAAGCTTCTTACTTTTCTTGGCATTCAGCTCCACTGGCTGGTACTTCACCGATTTGCTGCCACCAATCCTCTTCAGCCGAGCAAAGAAGGTCTGAGACTCCTTGTTAGCAGCACCAGTGGGCGTGTCGTGGACATCGGATTCATCAAACACACTGTCCTCTTCTAATTGGGAGGAGAAAACATAAAACTATCTTAATTTACGTCACATGCAGAATCTCAGCAGAACGATCAACAGATTATAAATCAGTGTTGTTCCTAGTTGCACCCTATACATCAAATGTAACCAGTGAGAAAAACTGCAACTGAACTGAAAAGCACTTTAATATTTGATCTTACTGTATTATTTAGCTCACCTTTTTCTTTCTCGCTGTAGCGGCTTATGTTGGAGTTGTCGCTGTAGAGTGGCCCTGCAGCGGAGTGTGGACGACAGCTGTGATACTGTGCGTTTAGTGTATTGATGGTGATGTGGATCAAATGGAGCACCACTTTACTGCCATCCATGTCTCTGTAAGGATACTATAGTACAGGAAAAAAAGAATATATTACTTTCAATAATACATTTTCACTTATGATACAACCACGTCTCCGAAGACACCATAATTAGCTTAATATGAAAATACAACACAACAAATTGATTTTCAACATTTCAGGTTGGCTTGATACTACTTCCCTTATTTAGTGTTTGAAAGTAAAGTTTAAATGACAGATAAAACATTGCTGAAAATATTTCACAGCATATTTCAACAATTAAATAGTGATTAAGAGCAGATTTAGCCACATGTTAATGACTCCTGCAATGAAAGATCACTGTGAAATGGGACAAAAAAGTACCTTATACAGGATAACCAGCAGCGCTTTCAGCCACATCTGCCGGATGTGTGGCTTAAGCACCCACAGGGAACATCTGGGTGGCTGCTGAAAATAGTGTCTCAGTTGAGGACATGCGCAGTACTTCAACACCTGCACCACCAGGGGGAGCAGTTGCTTCCCCAAACTGATGTTGTAGTCCATTACCTGCAGGAAACGACCGTTGAACTCACAATGTTGACAGTGTTATTACAAAAATATTGAGAAACACTCAAAGCAGAAGTCAGTCACTTGTGCGATGCCGGCAATGAAGGCGCTGAAGCAGGTGGAGGTGCGCATCTTCTGGGGCGCAATCATGAAACAGCCCTCCTGTTGGTCGTAGCCCAGCAACACGTACAGGTGACGCTTCACCGTGTTGAAAGCTTTGGCGCTGCCTATATCAGCCTCCGCACTGCTCTGATCCTTCGCCATGAATTTCATGAGCACCATGATGAGCTGGTGAACAGTCTGGTGGTCGATGCCGGCGTCCTCGGGGAGGAGGTCCCTGATGACGGTGTCGTCCTCAGGGGAGGGCGTCTGGCCTGCAAGAGGGGCTGAAGCATCAGGGTTAAAGTGCAGGAGGAAACGTGCTGAAGAGAGGAGAGAGGACGGGGAGAGGGCAGGAGCAGGGGAGGAGAGGAGAGGAGGGGAGTAACAACACAGAGGTTGGGGAGTCAACTCGTTCTTTCAAGGGGAGGTGTGGACATCATCGTGCAGTATACAGAGGTTATTGCAGTGTGTTCATGGAATACGTAGAGGACATACACAGAAAAATGACCGCATAACTGCTTGCAAAGGTCTATTCCACTCTGATTTGTGTCAGGATTAGTTTGCAGTAGAAGGTTTTCTTTTTTTTTTAAATGGCTCTCATTGTGGGCCAAATACGGACTTTCACATTTTTACCTAAGTTTTATTTTAAATGTTCATCGTTCTGTTTTTTCAGTGTGTTGCAGCTGAGTGAAAGTATATTACAGTATGTTTCTGATCTGGGTCGTCATTTACCTGGCAGGACTTTCTCTATCATATCTCCAAGTGTTGGAGCAGAGTGCTCTTGCCTCGTAAGCCTTAGAGCTAAAAACCACATATGAAGAGCACAATTTCAGACAATGTAGACGGAGGGTAGCACAGGGCACGTGTCTGAGCTGCATAGTAAGCCTAGACATTTCGCACATGAAAATATACACACAACGTCTTCACAGAGAGAAAAACAGTATGCACAACCTGTCAGAAATCCAACTATTAAACAGAATGTAGATGTTTGGAGACAGCACAAATAACAACTCCCTAAAGCTCAGACAGCGTTCTGTGCAGAAACAAAGATGAAAGGAATTACGTGGTATGGAGATCCGCCATTTTGACATTAGAAGTGAGTGTTGAGCAGATTACAGGGGGAGAGAAACATAAGGAGACATAAGGTATACAGGTCCAGACTTTGATCAATAAACATTTGCAATGACATTGTTTTTCTTATCACGAGGAGCCAAAAATGGCAGAGATCTCCATTAATTGGCTTCTGAATCAGTACAAACTAAAATTGGCTTTGTGAAAAGTAAAAGTTTTAACTGGAAATGAAGATTAACTATTGAAACTGCACAAATAGGAAACAAATTCTTTGGCCCGATATTAAGTGTATGTGAATATCAGAAGTATGTGAATCCCTTGGATCATCACTCATGCTGAATTAGAGCCAGATTTTTTTTCATCAGTTTGTTTCAACTGAAACTATTCACATCTATCCAAGACCAATCTTCACAACACACGTTCGTAAGATGTGTTGCAGTTAATAAAAAAATTATTCTGATGCAGATCATCTCTACAGAGATGGAGCTCACATTGAACTTAAAAATTCAAAGGTGGGGAACCAAATATATACATTCCAATGGTAAGGAGTTCTGCTTGTGCTTACAATGCTACTTAGTGTTATTTCTACGTAACCGAAAGCCTCTCAAATAATTCTATATGTAACCACGTGGAGCATCACTAACAATTATCTGTGTGGCGAGAAAAACATGCAGAAAGCCACAGCTCCCAAAAAGGCCCTGCTATCCAAACCTATTCTGCTTAAAGTCACACAGAAGAAGTTGAGGGGAAAAATGCTGATGGAAAAGATCAAAATAGAACATTTTTGGTTTGAATGGGAAGTGTCTTGTTTGGAGAGAGGAAAACCCAGCCCACCACGATAGGAATCTTGTCCTGGCTGTTTGGGCCTGTTTTTCTGCAATTATCGCTGCTCAAAAACAGGCCACACCACATTTGGATTGGAAAGGTCCACATACTTCAGACATTTACTGTTAAAACTGCCATTTACTTTTAGGAAAATCCAATGTTTTAAATTATTTCTGTGAGAAAAATCTCTGATGCATTTTAAAGTCATGTCATGTTGGCAAAAACATATCTTTGCACACAGTATTTGACCAGAGTCTGAACCAACGTCACGAAGGTTCAGATGCAGACTGATAAACTGTTCTTATCTTTTCTACTCACGAAGTCTGTTGCTCAGTGACTCTGGAAGTGAGAATGCTCGTTTGGACTCTGCCTGGCCTCCTTTTACACTGTCACGCAGGGAGCGCACACTTTTCTGTCGATTCCTGGCAAAACGGGCCCTCCGTATCTTCCACATTGCTGTGTCACTGAGGTTAGCCACGTTGGTTCGAACGGCTGTAATGGCTGTCAAAAACAGATTGCAATCTTTCAGTGGAACTCTGTCAGTCTTTTGTTATGGGCAGACTAGATGATGCAGGGGCATAGATTTAACGCAAGACAAAGCTGCTACATACTAGTGGGGAAAGGAAACTCTTTGTTGCAGTCCAGGTGGAGCTGAGCCTCCAAAGATAGTGTCTCAAAACGGTTGACGAAAAACTCCCAGCTGAGAGCAGGAACGTCTTTCTTCAGGATGTGGAGCAGAAGGAGTTTGTTTAGGATGATGGGGCGATCCCTGACGACTGTGTCAAACTGGAAGTCCAGACACAGGCACAAGCCCTGAAAAATACACAATAAACACATTTAACTCTACAGCAGAAAAAGAAGCCATGCAGGTATTTTATTCTCTGCTACTTTCCTCACATCAAGCAAAGACCCGCTGTGCATCCAGAAAAAAAGATAACATAGTTTGGAATGGAATCATAGATAAAATACATTAAACATAGTTTTTGTAAATATAAAACAACAGGAAAAGAACAAAAACAAAACAAAAAAGCCACCCAACATTCAGGAAGAGTGTTTGGATGTCCTTGAAGATGCTTTGAAAACTATTCCTGAAAACTACTCACAGGATTCACATACTGCGTTGAAATGTTCACATAAAATATTGCCGTTCATGCTTTTTAGAATTGCACAAACTCTGTGTTTACCACATGTTGTGCATTTTTACTGACATGTGTTAACATTTTTAAAGCAGTTGCTGCACCAATGTTCTCTTTTATTCGGTAAAAGAATGAGACTTTTGTCCTTTACCGTATGCCAGACAAATTACTACAACTATGAGGTTTACTGTGAGGTTTACAATAGCGTGGGTCACCTGCAGCGCCGGCCTCTTAATGGTGTCCAGCAGCAGCCTGGCCCTGGTGGCCACAGCTGGGTTGACATCTTCCACAGAGGCCAGGAAGCAGCAGAAAGCGTGGGCCAAGGAATACTTCAACAGGTGGTTTTTTGTCACGGCGCCGATGTCCAGAAACCGACACAGCACTGCTACCTTCTCAACTGGGGGGATTTCACAAGCAAACCATGAAAATTATTCACCGGGAAAGCAAACAGAACCGTGAAAGAAATGCAGCCGAGCTGTCAGGTGCTAAAATAACGATCATGATTTGTTAATCCGAAGCAGGATTGAGGTCAGACTACCTGAATCGTTCCGGTTTTGAACATCACATCACTAAATTTCAGCACCAAATATTGTACTTTCAGTTAAATTTTTAAATGTTATCACAAATTAGGTATCTACACAGCAGTTCTCTCTGTGAAAAAAGGGCTTCTATTTCTGATAAAAAACAAATAAAAACCCTGAGTCACTGTTCCCCACCAGGTGTCAGTGTGGGAGAGACTGTAGCTCTGAGCAGAGCATAGACGGCCCACTGGATTCATTCATGGCTAAAACACATCTTTTATTTCATTAGTGAGAATTATGCTACATATTTCTATCTATGTGTTACAGCACTTTTTAAAAAGTGGGCCTGATAGGAGGTTTCAGGATCCTGATTAAGATAAAAAGCTTTGCAGTTGACTTGGCAAATTTTTCAGATAGAAAGACCTAAAGCTTTAATTCTGTTTTAACCATTCAAATACCCAACATGCTCTTTACATTACGCTATTTCGTCTCGGGGTTACGTCATGTTATTGATTTACTGTCTCCCACAAGTCAACACACATCAAGACTCAGGAGCTGTCCTCTGCCTTTGTGTCAAGGTCACTGGACCACTGTCTGCCAATCACAGGGCGAGAAAAACCTCATCAGTCCCGCGGCTCCACCTTGCCGCCTGTTTGAACCGCATGGTAACCATGGCGACGCAGGAGAGGAGTGGGCAGGCAGTGGATTAGGATCAGAGAACGGGGGTCTTCCTCAGACCGTTTATTAACAAAAAAGACTAAGCAAAGAGAAGCAGCTACCTAACACCTCAAACATCTCACCAGCCTCAAACCGTATTTTCCAGTCTTTGCTGTTGTAATGCGTGTTGATGAGGTTCCAGAAGATGTCGGCCCCGTGGGACAGGGACAGGGCGTGCAGGAGCTGCGGCACGGCCAGAGAGGCCAGCTGGCAAAACTCGGACTTCAACATCGACCACAGGCTGAAACCCAAACACCAGAGGAGACGCGCGCTCAAGAAAAACAGAGCTGAATCAACGACATTTCCCCTCAGCAGGCCACCTTTGTCTGTGCGAAGTCTACACACCTGGGAATAAGCATCTTTTCCTGGATGTAGGCCAGAAACTGGGGGTGATCCTTCCGGGCGAGGTACAGACACTCACCGTGGAGGCACAGGATCTTCAAACAGTTCAGCATGTTGAACAAGATGTCAGGCTCCTCAAACTTGGACATTTCCTAAAAATACAAAAAAAGATTTACATCTAACGAAGAAAACCGACATGACTCGTTTTCAAGCTGAGAGTTAATATTCAAATGATTCACAGCTGTTACCTGCAGAATGGTGTATATAAGCTTCAAAGAGACAGGGAGCTGCTGGTAGCAGAACTTCTTGTCAGAATTATTCTTCATGGCTGGAAGGAGCAAAATTATTTTCAAAGCAGGTTAAAAAAAAAAAAAGGTCCGCCTGATTTTCTTATCATCACGGTCATGAGTGGCATCAGACACAGGTGGCATTGACTATTCCTTTGGAGCCAAGATACAGCCACTTACAAGTTTAGCGACATGTCTATTCATTTACATTGAAAAGGCGTATCTCTGAAAATGTCCAGCTGTGACTTTAAAGGATTACTGGTATCCCACTGGCAGGAAGTCATGTTTAAAGTGATAAAAAGCCTACATTCTTCTGTCCGAACATTTCTGAACACCAAGTATCGAGCCGATACACACATGCATTCCCAGGAGAGTGGTTGCTGGGGTTGTCAGTGTTTTTTTCACTTGGGTTGTCTCCTTCCTCGCTCCCATTTTCCGCCCCCAAGGAGAAGTCTGGTTCAGACTGGAGCAAGGTTTCCTCCAAACTATCCGTGGGCTCCTGCAGAGGCAACACACTGTTCTGTAAGTGCTGTCTGTTCTATGGATTTTTCTCTGTGTGATAAATCATTTCAGTCAAGATGTACTTTTAAGCTCAATATTCACATTTCCTTTTAGAATTGTTTACAAGGAGAAAAAATGTTGGGGTATTCTTCCCGTTTTGTCCAATCTGTAACAAATGAGCTCTCCCTGAAAGACAGTGGTGTGTCTGACATTGGCTTTTGGCACACACTACCTACGGAGCAATTATTACAAAGCTAAATCTGCTTAATTCACAGGCTTAATATATGCATGCAGCATGTCTCACCACCAGGCGAATCTCCTCTCGGGGGGTCAGCCGCTCCAGGAGCTCACAGCCCAGCTGGTAGCACAGGATGCTGGATTGACACAGGCTGCACTCAAGAGCCTTCTCATCCTTCTGGCAGGTGTGTGAGCCCCCCCACGGGGCCTGGAAGACATTGTTGATGATGCCTACGATATCCTTCCCAAGGCTGCTGTCTAGACCCAGCATCACACCATCATCCTGGAGCTCCATCTGCAGTTTAGGGAAGGGGGTTGGGGAGAAAGCAGAGCTTCAACCACAATTCTCAGGATCCCACCTGTGGGTACTGCTATCACTACATAGTGTTTTATCACTAATATTATTTTGCTGGGGGTTTTTTTGTCTTCTGAGGTAATCTGTATGCCTCCCACCATCTAAATGCATGCTAGGTTAGTTGATTACTCTAAATTGACCTTAGGATGGAGTGTGGGAGTGAATGTTCTCTGTACGGTTCTGGGTGGACTGGCTATCTGTCCGGGGCAGGACAGATAGCCGGTCCACGGTAGGGTGTTCACCTGCTTTAAGATGAGGTCAAACATGAGAATGAAACAACCAAGGTTCATGTCGTCATCTTCACAGTCCAGGTCCAGGGCACAGTGCCCTGCAGCATGGCCCAGGTTTTTAAAAGGGCTGCAGCGCAGGGGGCTGCGGAATGGGCTCCTGAAGGGGCTGGGGAAGGGGCTGAGAGTGTTGTGCTGCCCACGGCGTCCGGGATCTGACACCACGCTCACCTACAACAAAAGACGTCATGACTGTATTAATAAAAACGCATTTCACTTTAAATACAGAGCATCTGGGGCTTCACTGGCCCTTTATTAACTTATTTTGCCAGTAAAAATGGCACATGTGCAGAGTTGTGAAGCTGTTAATTTTAGTGATAAATCTACATCCCAGTCAAGTTCAATTAAGCCCGTTAAGGGAGCTATATTTAGATAGAAGAGGTTACCATGACAACATACATCTCATCCAAATAGATATGAGAACATAAAAGCCCAGAAGTGCAGAAACATGAATTCCCTAACCTTAAACAGAGATCTGACAGCACATAAAATGATCTGATCTGACAAAAGTATCATTACATTACTCTGTTGATAATCTGTACTACCTATTTAATTGAAAATAACAGAATTAGCTTATTGTCAATAAAAATTTAATTGGAATGAGGAGAAGCGACAGTGAGCACTAAACTCTCATATCTGTGATCATTTAGGACGAATCGGCATTTGAGTCTTTCTCACCCTGCGAGCTCCAGTGTTGCCAGACAAATCAGAGCCACGAGTCTTTCTCTGATTGGCCAATTCCTTCAGTGAGTTCACGCCATCTGAGAACATCCCGATCAACAGCTGAAGAGGCACCACGATGTCCAGCTCTGACAGAACCTGTTTCCGAACATGACAAATAAGACTTTTTAATCTCCATTCAAAACATCTGTTAGATTTTACTAAATGGTTTCTGTTTCATTTTAAAGATTCTTGTGGAAAAATACAACAGACAGTCTCCACTTAAGTGGCATCTATTCGCTTTCATAAAAACACTGATAATGACAGGAATGTGAGTTTTTCAGGTCTTTTGTGCTCGAAGTACAACATGCTCTTAATGCTTGAGGATTGTGTTAAAACTTACTTCTAAAGATATGACAATGTGATCTCTAATGTGAATAGAGTAAGTGGTACAACCCTGACATTGTGAAAAACATGGGCACAGGTTTCCTTTCTTATTTAAATGTGATCTATTTACTGGAAGTAGTGCAATCTCCATGTGGCAGTGACAGCAAACTTGAAACTGATCCCTGTATAGAGGCCAGAAATCAGCAAGTGCATATGAGACGAGAGGCAGAATCCCTCCTATCTCTGTAAGTCTCATTCCATGACCCAGATCCATATTCAGCGGGGCCTGTGCCCAGACTCTCACACTCTAGTACAACCTGTTCACTTCACACACACTGTGGACAGAACCACAGGACAGCAGTCAGATACAGGACAGCGTTGTTGTCTGTGTGCATGGCGGCGCGCTGGAGCTCACGTGCAGCCACAGCAGAGCCTGCTCCTGCACGGACGCCGGGTAGCCAGAGAACCTGCAGCTGATGAAGCCAAACATTTCCTCCATGGAGAAGGGCAGGGGGCACAGCTCGATATCAAACATCTTACTGCGGGGAGAGGACAAAACACGTCATCACAGATGGGAGAGCAACACCTGCTGAAGGTATTACACCATCACTGATGTTCCCTACACACAGCCGAGGGGCTCGTTTACTCATGGTTTTAAAATGTAGCAAGATGAGAAAAACAAGGTGTCAGAAATTTGTTAAACCTGTTTATCTTGTTTGCATTGCCCGTTCTTAAAATATCTGCTCGACGCTCAAAGCAGATGGACGTACCTGAGCACCTCGCGGAACTCTTTGAGCTGGTTGTCAGGCACCTCGGTACGGATGGCCTCCAACCACTCCGGCATGAAACACTCCCACAGTGGCTGACTGATGACATTGTAAGGTATTAGACACAATATCCTGTTCAGACCCTCCTTCAGCTGTGTCACCGTGCTACACGACTTGTCCCAGTAGCCTCCCACCTAGGGAAAAAGCACAAATCGATGATGGTGATCAGCCTCTAAATATTATTTCCTCCTGAACTAACACGACTGTTGACTTTATGTGCCGCTTAAACTACCTGGGCTTAGCCTTACCCTGGCAAACTCCACAGGTTTGGGCAGCAGGCACATGACCATGACATCGAAGCGCACGTCACACACCGTCTTCAGCCACTTAGTGACAAACTGTGGTTTGAGCTTTTCCACCAGGCTTCCCACCTCATCATCCATCATGTATGCAGTGGAGTGAAACCACTGGAAGACCATGCTGACCAGCCGGGCCAAACTCTCTGTGGGCGTGTTCTCATTGGGGGTGCACAGACTCACCTGCAGACGTGAGCGTAGAAGTAAAGAGGGCAGAAACAAGGGTTTGCATACACATTCTAGTCCAACCCATCGCTGTTCATTAGCACAGCAGCCTGCGATTACACACCAGGAACCAGATGCCGAACTGACTGAGGAGGCGCTGGTCGTGCTGGTCATCCTCCTTGTTGTCAAACTCAATGTTGTCCAGGGAATGGTGAGAGGCAGACAGGCCCATTTGGCGACGCCTGTTCATCTCAAACTCCCGCTGCTCCGCGTGAATTTCTGCCTCCTTCAGGAGGCTGGACGAATAGAGCACAACAAAAGGGACAAAGATGGAGAGGTCAAGGGAAGGATGTAATAAAGACACGCATGAAAGAAGGAAAGAGAGATAGGCACATTTGGAAAGTTTAATCCAAATAAATGCATTTCTCTTGCTCATTTATTCGCATTAAAGCTTCACAGGAGCCCTTGTTCTGTGACTGGCCGTGACAAATGGCTGCGTTAGTGTTTGGGACCACAGCGTTTATACCTTATAACAGCCTCCACGGTGCACACGAGCTCCTCCGCTCCGCACTCGCGGGTGTTGATGGGAGGGGGTGAGGTCTGGTACAGATGGGTCTCCGCCGCAGCCCCCACCTCGCTGCTGTGATGGTTGACATGGCAACGCTTGCAGTAGCGGACGGGCCGGTTGCCATGGCGCCCACAGCAGCCAGCTGAGAAGCAGGTGACCACGGCCCTCCTGACATGAGAGCTGCAGTTCTACAATATGTGAAGCCAAGAAAACAGGGGTAGGAGGAGAAGAACGAGGCAGTGTATCTATGATCCAGGCAACAAAGTAAAAACACTCATAAAAATCTCAGCAAATCAGCTGCCTGATCACAAACCTCTAAAAATAAACATTTTTCCAGGCTTCAAAAATGACTCACTACCCAGACAATGAATTCCACTCTCTATTAGAATTGTATCAGGGAGGAGAGGTTGATCTGAGCTTTTTTCTCTCTCTGCAAAGAGAGAGAAAAAAGCTTCATGTGTCCCTACGGTGTCTCGGGTTTCTAAAAATAAAAAGCATGGCACTAGAGAGCCATCCTAATCTGATCAGCCTCTAATCTTGTGCCATTAGAGGGATGCACTGCTCCCTATCAAATTAACATATCTGTCCTCTGATGGCAAGTTCTCTCACTAACCCATTTGACATTCAACAACAAAAGATGCTACTCTGATGTTGATGTTCTGAAAGTTTTCTGTATTTTGGTGTATTTATATGTCCCTGTTTTCAGACGGAAATTACAGCCTCATTATGAGAGTCGGTGTCATTCCAGGTGCTAGTTTGGTTTCCTTGAATAAGGGGGACAAATCGTGCATGGAGAGGGAGGCTGTGGATTACAATTACCCAGGCAAAAACAGGGTGGAGGCCAGCTGTTTCAATAGACAAAACAGGCCGGCAGCTCAGCTTGACGGGAATACCTGAGATCACACCACACAGTTTGCCCTGTGTCTCCCCGGTAACCAGCAGGGAGCACTTTAGCCTGAGCACGGTGCATTCAGAGACAGCAAATAAACATCATGCCCCAGCAGCTTCGTTTGAAACAAGCTGGTCTGTACCTCAAAGTTTATTCACGAATAAATTACTTCTTTATGGATCACATAATAAGTATTTTTGCAGGAAATGTTTCTGTCAGAGTTTACAGCAACTGAAAAAATCCAAAAGTGTCCACTGTTGTCTTTGCGGTTCAACATTTAGCTGTTCTCCTCATCAAGTGATGTTCTGATAAGGATTATTAACATAAACTAAATGAGTGAAAATGTGAGCCAAGGCTGCAGTTCAATATAATTTATGAAGCAATGTCAACATCTTACCTTCTTTTGACAGATGGCGGATATCTCTGCTGCAGAGAACATTTGACAAACATAGAAAACAATCAGCAAAAGGAAGCAGTCAAATTTAATATCTATACCTGTAAATTATTTACAGTGTGTTTGTTTTCATTTGTTTTTGTTCTTCATTTAAAAACAATCCACGACTGAAATGTCATTTTACGACTCCATCAAATCTGGAAAAGACATTATGAAAAATTCAGAGGAATATGTTCTGGCTGAAATTATAATAATTAATTAATTAATTATAAGGCAGTATGTGTCTATTTATCTGTGATCAGAGAACCCTTACTTGCTTAACTGCCTTCAATATCAAGGAGACCTGTGTCATTAATCCATCTATACATGATTAGATTCAAGACAGTGTGTTGTCTCATAGCAAAGCAAAACAAAACAAACTTTTCAGAAGGGTAATTCTCTAACCAAATAATTTTTAGGGCACAGATGTTTTTGGGGCCACATGTAAAATAGGTAGTTCAAACGTAGTAATGAATTTCCGACACTATTATCACTAATATGGAACTTCCTGTGGTAACACCAGATTTTTTCCCGATTTGAAGGTCCTGTCATTGTAAGTGTAGGAAAAAATAAAGATTTCTTGGCTTTTTGTTGGTTTTCAGGGACAAATTTCCTTCAGAGCACACCACCAACATAAATTATTAATGTATGTTGAAAGTCCAGGAACATAATCTCGCCATCATGGCATCTTTTGACCAAAGGGAGAAAAGTAGTGATTTAAATGAAAAAATAACTTTAAGAAATTCATTTTAATTTAAATCCATCATTAATTTTCATTTCAACATCAACTATTGTTTTGACTCTATCTCTTTATTGTGTCCCCCTGTTAGAAAGAAATTACCTTAAGGCTCAAATATTCCAACTCACCTTGAGGCAGGAGAACATCAACAAGCCATTCGGCGTGATCTCTGGAAAGGTCAAAGAAAACATTGAAATAGTAGATGATTCATGGGTGAACTGCTTCTCAGAGCTTATGTGGGATTACAGTTTGTGCATATATGGCTGTCAAAGCTTCATTAAAGAGCTGGAACACTAAGCATTTCCACTTATTCGAATGGAAAACACAAAACATGTAGTTAGAATGGTAAACATTTTGGTGGAAAAGAGAAACAAGTGGGTTCATGTTTTTGAGATGACGATCTCATTAGTGTCACGAGGGAATTGTGTAACCATGGCTCTGTATTTCCCCTTGGTGGAGAGAGATAATGAGGCAATCTGTAGGTGATAGTTGTTTGAAATGAGTGTGCCTTTGGAGTACTGCAGGGCAGAGAAAGAAGTGAAACGGATGCATACCCGGCAATCCTCTGGCTGCACTCCTCGCATATGTAAAGAGGAGGGGGCTTGTCTCCCAGGGCCACAGAGAGAGTAGGATCAATGCACATCTGAAAAAGTAGCACAGGTGGGGTGAGAAGACGGATTTCTTATTTCAAAGAGATATCACAACTTTGAAGATCCAATTTGACGTAATTTGTAGGAAGGAAATAGTGAAATGATCAAATGTGGAAAAATCTGCTTTTTATTTCTTTACCAGAAGCTTAAATAATATCTCACAATGTGCTCTGTAGTAATATTACATTGTGTTTTTATCTTTTTAAAGATCACCTGACGCTTTTACAGGCCTCCTTATTCCTCTGTGAGGATGGCAGGATGCATATGTTGCATTGCATTGTGCTGCAACCTGTGCCTGGTCCTGCGCTAAATGCTTATGGCCTCGATGTTCAGATGGTGCACTGTAATTTACTGTGCTCAACTGATGCCACCCTATCCTCAAGGGCTCTATGGGGTCACTGCTTCCAATTAAGGCCCCCTCCCCCTCTACCACCTTCTTGCTCCTGGTAATTGAAATCAAGCCCCCTACCTATGCTCCCTGTTCCAACTCCATTTGTCAGTTTTGAGCACAGTTGAGTAAAGGCAGGCAGAGATGATAAAGCAGAGAGGCAGCTTTGGATACTGCTGCAAAGCAGCATAACAAGTGAAATTATTTCTACTGATTTACTTTCTTTGGGGCTGACAAAAGCAAACACAGGTTATGCACGGTTGAACTCAGCAAGCCAATCTGGCACATGCTCCAAGCAATTCTGATAGTGAATGGTAGTATACACAGCATTCTTCTTTTAGGATGTTGGCTTTTTTTAATGTGCTTTTTCAAGACTGTAGTCACCTTGACAGCAGGTTTATTGATAGCATTGTGGCACTCGATATGTTGACAATGGATGGGATTCCAGGCTGAAAAAATGAATGGTGGAGAGACAGAAGATTAGAAGACACGGGAGGGTGGAAAGGGGGAAAAAGAAAAATGGTTGGCAGGTTATGCCTTTAATCAGTTTAAGAACAACTCAAGCAGCAGATTAGGAGTATTTTACCCGTGTATTGTAGCCCTCTATATTCACTGATGGCTCCTGGTGGTTTCAGGTTGGGCCAGTAATGAAAGAGCATCTGTACAGCTGGAGGTTTTACTTGGGATGGTCCATAAGATATGACATAAAGCAGGTCCTGCATTCATATGAATACCAAGTGTTCATAAAGATTTCATGAAACTACATAGAAACATTCAGAATAATTTGGGATAGTGTATAGGTAGAAAAGGCACAAAAACAGAAACTGAAATAAAAAATAATAAGTACTAAACAATAAGTAATAAATAAGTACATGTACGATCTCCTTTAGAATTTGAGGCCAACTGTGTGTTTCAGAAGAATTTGGGACAGACACATTCATACTGCTTTGTTGTCTCACTTCTTCTTCACTCTCTGAGCATTTGGGAGTTGAGTGCACCAATTTTTGTAGTTTGAAAGGGAGGCAGACAGCTAACAATGCTGGCAAAAATCCAGATTATCCCTCACATTTCTGGGCTCAAACCACACGACTGTCTCTGGTTCATGGAGCTTTAACTTGCATTTGCAGATAAAGAAAAGAACAGCGACAGTGGTTTTAAGACAATGGCTGTCCCTGAGCCCCTCATGTGATTATCACCATTCACATTTATCTATCTAATTTTTATTATTTTTCTTTTCTTTTTTTTCCGCTTTTAAATTCTTAGTGAAGCACTTTGAATTGTTTTGTACATTAAATGTGCTATACAAATAAACTTGCCTTGCCTTGCCTTCTATCTCTAAGATAAGGTTTCAGCATATATGAAATCCCAAAGTTTCTGAACAGACAATCTGAAATTAAGTTCTTTAGCTCTTCTCCAGACAGATAATCTTTAAGAGTTATGAGGATGTACCTTCCACACTTCCTGTTTGTGCTTCATTAGACACTCCAACAACTGGCAGTGATATACTAGGAAGAGGAAGATATCAGATTAAGCAGCAAGTAGTTTGCGCTCCTTTTTGCATGTATGTTTTCAAAAACCTGAAAATTGAAATCCCTCACCTGGGTTTGAGGTGTATTGCATTGCAATCATGAGCATAGATGAGGCAGATAGGTTGACGTAGGCAGGAACTCCACCTTCCTTTCGAGTAGAGCCCACTTCATACAGGCAAAGAGAAAGATGAATGATAATCAAGATAATCAACTATTGAAACACCTGCAAATTATGCTAATGTTGAATATTTTAACAACATATGTTTTGCTTGATAGTCAGTACCCTTTTAACCATTATGTGTTCCATAAAATCTCATTATAACAGGAGGAGTCAAACTAATCAGCTATTTTACAATAGGTAGTACTTACATATAGCCATGGGGAGGAAAGATGTGCTCAGGTATTCTATGATGTCTTTATGAAGGAAAGGGGGAAATGTGGCTAAAGTGGAGATCATAGTATAGGGCAATGTGCTGAGAATATCGTCACTGAGAAATGGCAGGAGGCAAGCAGTTGTGTAAAATATGGACTGTCCGAGATCTGGTGAGAAAAGGAAAGAACAAGAAAAAAGACAGAGATACACAGATACACATTCAATCAGCTGTGCATACAGTAGTAACATACTGTATACATCCACAGGTGTCGAAGTTACATGACATTTCAATAATTTAACAGTACAACAGGTTTTGAAAAAAGAAAAACAAAGAGGAATCAAATTTTCTAAGAGGCTAGTGAAGTCAAGTTTACACTCAGGTAAAAAGTACAGAAATCTAGACACAAGGATGGATTTTCATGCTTTTTAACTTATTCTTAACAATGGTCAAATATCCATGACAAATAAGAGCACTGACTATGATGCAGCTTTGGGCCAATGAAAAACACATTTAATATACTTTAAGTCATTCTCAGATGATTTCTTACTGTATTTAAAAATAACAATTGAACAATACATTTGCCTATTTTTGCACATGACAATATAAGTAAAACATTTCTTCCGCTTTGCATAACAAACATGCAGTCAGGTATGATACACAGAAGAGGAGGCCTATCTATGCCCGGGGTATCCAATGGCTTATGACAGTTGACAGGATCCAGCGTGCTCCCAATCACCCCCATGCATCCCTCAAGATCCTCAGCCGGACTTCTCTCCTCCCGTTACAAAAGAGGCCAAAAAAGCAGCAGTGGCTTCATGCAGGCCAGGCGGCTCGGAGATGATGATGACAAACAGTGGTGCACTGGGCCTTGACTCACCATGCTGACCGTGCTGCAGCAGGGGCACGAGGTCAAGCAGGGTCACGAGGGTCACATAGAGGCCCTGATAGTCCAGAGAGGGGTACTCTGAGAGCTGAGCGTCCCGACTCTGCTGCCCCTGCCCCCCGCGGTCTGACGGGGCATCGCGCAGAACGCTGTAAAGGAGGGAGCGAGTAACTGTAGGGTTGATGGAACTGACTTGTGGTCTTAGAGATGGGGTGAGTGGGAATGGCACAGGAAAAAGACACATGGTCATGGGCACGGCCAAATTGGAAGCTTCCTGGTTCTCCTTCCTGCCTGTGCGGGACAGAATGCTGCTCCGGGGGTGGGAGGGGAGGGGAGGGAGGGTAGGAGAGGGGAACAAGGGAAAAAAAGAGACAACAAAGACACAAAAAAACAGCACATTACATTGAAATGGCACTACAGAGACAGCGTAAATAGAAAAAAACAAACCCAGATAAACCCCACATAGGATGCAGTGTCTCACTATTTGACTCTATCACTGAAAGCATGGATAATTTTTCCCTTCTTTGTCTGCTCAGAGTGACTTTGGTTCAATTTATCTTGTTTTGTCTTGCTTTGCGCTTGAAAACAAAAAGAAAAACATGAGCACAAACTGCAATGATCACTGCATCTCATGCGTATCTGGTGACAAGGAGCAAAAATATAAAAAATGGCATGTTTTCAGTGGCAACCCCATACTTCTCCAAAAAGGGACATTGCAAATGACTGTCCCTCGATGGCTGCCATCTTCCAATCAACAGAGTCAGCGGCTTCCATGCAAAAAGGCCAATGAGCCGTGGAATATCATTCAAAATTAAATTTCCTTGTCTTTATTGGGGCTGTCAAGGATGGGAGTGACACCAAACTGGTTCAGGAAAATACAGAGGTGACACTTTTGAAACATGCTTGAGCCAGTAATAAACATGTGTGTGAGATTAGATCAAGTGCTCATAGGTCACAGCACATGTTTATTGCACCAGAGAAATAATGTCCGTATGCATACGTTATGATACTGTACCAGTATCATTAGGAGAAATAATGAGATCCAACAGGCATATGGATTCAGGTATCAACGAACTAATCTACTGTAGAGAAGAAACTATAATGACAAAGGAATAGGTTGTATCAAGGGGAGATGACTGGTAGCATTATGTTTGTGAGCTAATGCAGGATGGACAATTGTGTTTGCTGTCCCCTGGGGAAGGTGGTGGACATATTGGACTTTAAGAGTGGGAAAACAAAAGCAAAAACTAGTTGGGTTGAGTGTGGAGCATCTAGGGTGGAGGAGGGAGGGGGGGATAGGGGGCCAGAGAGCATTGCTCTTTCTACAGCACATTATTAAAAAGCTAAGCTGTTCTATTAGGCAAATGGTTGGAATATATCACGAGAGCCCAGATTTGTTGTTTGTTTTAAAGGTCACTCAGAAAGTAGAGCTAGTAGTAAAAGTACAGTTGCATATTTGTAGCTTTGTGGCAGGTGAAAAAGGGGATTTCATTACGATTATTTTAGCATAATATTACATGCATAAAGTTAAGCAGCAAGAACGTACCATTACAGCATGTGACTGATCCCCTCAAAGTTATACTCTGTAAGATTTTAGTCAAGGTAGATTCATTAAAAAGGCTCAGACAGGACTAATACACATTAACAGACCGTATCCCAGAGTATGACTTTTTCACCGCCAGTTTGTCAGAGAAAACATCATTCATTTGAACAATGAACACAGAAAACAAACAGACACGCTCACCCTAACATCTACACACAGACAAACATACATATTTGTACGCATACATACACAGACACACACACACATGCACGCACGCACGCACGCACACACACACTATCACACACACACACACACGCACGCACGCACGCACGCACGCACGCACGCACGCACGCACGCACACACACACACACACATACACACATACACACATACATACATACATACATACATACATACATACATACATACATACATACATACATACATACATACATACATACATACGTTCATACACACGACACAGACAGATAAACACATGTAGAAATGCACTGATACAAACACATGACACACATTTACTGTCAAGCCCTGCACTGCCAACTCTATATGCAATCATTTGCATAGTTAAAACATATACTTATAAACCCTAAGTGATGTCCAAACACTGCTGGAAAACTTATGCTTTCTGCACTTATTCTTACAAATGATACAGTTTAGTAAGACGTCAGTGAGACTCACTGACACAAACCTCAGTCTTACAGTACAGTTCCTCCTTTTTAAGAAGGCAGGAACAGTGTGTGTAAAAAGAACTTCCTGTTCCTCTATTCTGCATCTGACCTACTCTACACCTGAAATGAGTTTATAAATCAACAACTATCTCAAATGGCCCTTAAAGTTGTTTTCCAGAAAATGACACACGCCTGCTCCACTTTTCAAGGCTCACTACTACCATCTCTGGGGAGACTTTTCTCCTGTCTCTCTTCCTTCACCCCAGGCTTCAGAAGGCACAGGTGTGTGGATAATCCCAGAGTCCCTGCTGAGGAAACCAGGCTGCTCTAACGGTGGGCTGACTGATTTGCTCTGCATATCTAAGGCTAAAGAGGCTGTGCTTCGGGAAAATATCAAGGCTCTGGTGCGAGTGGAATCACGCTGAGTGATTCGTTTTCTACAATCTGAAGATACCGCCCCTCAGAGACAAAATGGTCACTCCATTCTCAGAGTGGCGGCCCCTGTCACGCTCAATCTGTGCCACGAGAGGCCGTGTTTAAAACAGCACAGTGGCTACTGGTGCTGGACAGCCCCTCAGCAGAGCATAAAATATCCAGGATGGCCTCCAGCAGAGGAATAATCCTGATGTGGCTGAGGAATAATGTGCAGAATTGAGGCCAGCTGTCACTCTCAAAGAGATTGCTCCTTAAGCTGATAATAGTAATTAAAATGGGACGTACAAGTTCAGCCTATTGAACCAGTTTGGGGAAAAAAAGCTCATAAAGAACAATAACAATAATTACTCTATTCTTACTCCAACAAGTGGATAGTAAAAATAGACCAACCACAAGTATCCTATGGCTGTGGTATATTTTGAAAAAACAACTTTAGGAAGAAAGGGGGAAAAACATCAATGTGTGAAATCAGATGTGTCTAAAATGGCTGCCTGCTTTGCTGGAGGAGGAGATAACAAGCTGTTCCTTCCTCAGACTTTCCAAGCACCCAAGAGAGCTGGTTGACCCTGTAACTGCATAGTCAGAGGAGCTACCCTCCGCTGGCCCCACTGGGAAAGACACAGCAGACCGCCCAGGGGAAGTGTTCATCCAGCAACAGAACCACTGAATCAATAAACATCACTGAGCTGTCTATCTCTGCCACTGCTCCAAAACAATACCACAGCTCCACTCCTCAGTCTTCCAAAGCTGACCAGGAAAAGTCTCTGGCAACTTGGCTTCTTCCCTAAAATCCTTTCAACATCACTGACTCATATGAGACATTTAATGGTGTCACTGTCATCCTTTTCAGAAAGTGTGCCAGAACAACCTGCTGTAATTATTTTTAATCTAATCATTTAAGAGGCTAAATATGAAACTTTCTACAGTCTGTTACTTCACCTGATGGCTCACGAGCAGGGTACTTACCTGAGCAGGGTTTGGGAAAAGTATTTCAGTGTGTTTGCAATGTCAGTTCCGGAGGGCACAGGGTAAATATTGTGTTGCACACGGTTGTGATACTCTTGCAAGTATCGTATCTTAGAGGCAACTGGACAAAATAAAGAGCAGAGTAACAAGCAAATCAACACATAAGACAAGTAACTGCTTTGTATCTTGAAAAAAACTACTTTTGATTGCACTCGCATGAGTCCAACTACATGCACAGTCGGTTTATCCTGACATTTGACTAAGATCAATGTGTGGTTCTCAGCAGTATACAACCTAAATGTTTGAATTATCATGTTAAGCACAGAGTCTGCGTTCCCATGGCTCTCTGGCCTTAACCAGGTGACCTTTATAGAGTAGCAGTGAGGTCACAGGAAGCCCCAGAGGAGGCGCTAACCTATTGCTTACAGAAACAAGCGCATGAACAAAAGGTTGCCGGTTCAAGTCCCAAGGAAGGCTGAGAAACAGGGTCAGCCTGTCCATGGGAGGGGGCCTCGTCATCGCTTTACAGATGACACTGAGGGACGTTTCAGCTCTGAGTCCAGATAGCTGCTCCATGCTGAGAAACTCCCAGTGGAGTCAAACACTTCTAAGATGTCTTTGAGTGGCTAATAAGGACTTCAAATAATTTGGGGTGGGGGATGGCTGACCCATTTCCGTTGACTTTGGGCAGCGGTATTTAGCTTTCGTTGTGACCTGTAAATGACAAACCTCGAAATAAAAATAACAGCTGCAGGCTGTGAGCATAAGCAGTCAGAGCCATGCAAGAGCAAACGTGATTCTGTCCACATGTAGAGAACATTCTTAAGTGACACATAGAGTCAGAATATTTGTGCCAAAATGCATGTAAACTGGTGCAATTTTGGTTCATTGCCTCAAAAGTTGCCGCTGACAATAAACCAAACAATGGAGGCGCTCAACTTTAAACACATCATGTTTGAGCCCCCTGTTTAATCTCGGTAAGTGACGGTTATGTGGGAAAGATTGCGATTGGTTTCCACCTTTTTTTAAAAGCCCTCAGCGAAATGAGGTGGATTAACGTCCGATTCAAAAGGCTGTGTGATCAAATCACACCATTGATCAGTATGATGCCAAAGAATCTGTCAGGTCGACCTTGAGAGCAGCATTTCACCTCGATCCTGAACCAAACTCATTCAGCCAAGTCAATCAAAAATAGAGACATGCATTGGGAAGGATCTGAATAAAAAAAATAGTCGGACACTGTGGTGTCCAGTATTGTTTTCCGCCACCATGCAGACAAACAGCGGGGGGAGCAGAGGCTGTCTGTGCGCACGGAGACCTCCGGCCATTCTCTGCAGTGAGAGGACGTGTTGCAACCTGCCTTGGCAACCGCGGTTTCATCACCAAGGACAGCTCCCCTTACTCGGTTTCTTGGTTAAGACACAAAATCCTATTTCCAGTTTCCATGCAACCCCCCATGACAAAACCGGGGGGGACACAAACGCACACTCACAGCCGTACTTACACTGTTCTGCCTTCGTAGACATCTCGCAGACACTTCGGGAGACATAAAACCCAGACTGTCAATTGTTTTAGTGTTTTTTTTTTTTCGCTCCCCGGCGTTGTGTGTCTCCCTCAGTCGAGAAAAAAGTGAATATCCCCCTTCCAGCCAGCCAAGCCTCGGCTTGATTGTACCACTCTGCGCGATGGGTTTTACGCTGCAGCTGCGGTCGTTTTCCTGATCTTTTAATGGAAATTAAATAAGGACTCGTTTTCAGGGGGTGTTTTTAATCTTGGAAATTGAAGTCCCTCGAGTCTCGAAGGAATCGTCACATGAACGTGACACAGCATACCTTTCCAAATGGACTGATCCGGCTTTGACAAATTGTCATTCAAGAATTCCAACAAGCCTCACCGGGCTCTGTGGGATGATAATGGGAGTAAAACACTGGAAACCTCCCTTCGTTTGGCCCAATGATCCTGCGTGCATGTCGGTATCTGTTGCATTTAAAAGGCTAAACATGCAACAGATGGTTGTCACATTGGCATAACCTTTGCTCGTGCCTATCTTAATCTGATTATTCATATGCAACAAGGGGGAAGTAAGCATTAAAGGAAATGTTTCTGGTTGGATTATTATTTACCTTTTTGGGAGGGGGGGGTAGATGCATTTTTCTGAAAAGAATCTGTTATCACATTAAAGTAAATTATCATGAAATAGCCCTGAAAATGATGGGAATATAATATGTACATGTTTAATATTGTGCCCCTCTCATGATTTTGCATTCTCCTGGCAAGGACTTTACTGTTTGAAAGACAGTTCCACAGGTTATCTGAAGGTTTCTCCTTTGGCCTTTTCCTTATTTCAGTCTGGGTCTTGTACAAAACTAATAATGCATGCTTGTTTTTCCTTGTTTCTTTGATTAGTCATTTCACACATCCAATGAATGATGAAACTAAAATATTGGCATGTAAATATACGTTTGAACAAGAGTTGTGTCTGAGCACTATAAATAGCATCTAGAACCATTTCTAAATGTTATTTTTAATCACCTTGTTAGGAGCAGCCTGTCAGAAAGATTGTTTTTTTTCCTTTTTTCCTTTACCGAAAAAACTAAGAAAATCTAGAAGATCAGACAAATAAAAAAATATATACTTTCAACAAGGTGATTCCCAGTGGACTATTAGCTGGCCATCAGCATCTTTAAAGAAACTGTCACCAGTAGACGAAGAGTACCTGAATGTGATTGAACAAAGATCTGAAACGACCCAACATACACTTCCTGACCATCAGTTGATCACCAGTTTCATCAGAAACAGCCCCAAATTCTGGACTGAAAATAATTGGCCAGGATCCAAAAGAAGCTTCAGAATCTGAATATAAGGTATGATTAATTGGATTTGATAGAATAACATGCCATTTTGGTCCCACTCACAACCTGGATGGTAATTGGTTTGGGTTTTTTATAACATTAGCAACACAGATTTAACATTTCAAGTTATGCTTGCACATTCTCAACAAAAAAAAAATCCCTCCACATTTTTCCTGTTTACCCTGCAATGTAAAAGAAGATGAAGAGCGACTCAAGGATCTGCATCATCAGTAAAGTGTGGGCTTACATGCAGTGTTTATCTCGAACATAGAGTCAAGCTGAAAGGTCGGCAGGGTTCAGGATCTGAAGCTTTGCCAGTTCCTTCCAATGATGCCTTCTGCCATCTCTTGGCACACAAATTATTTGTGGTTTGTTCATTATTTCAAGATATTTTATTTAGAAAATAAAGTTTTACAAAGGAGATTGGACATCTGGACCTTAACACATGAAAAAAAGCATATTGCTTCATTCTGAACATTTAAAGGTAAAAATGCCTCATAGACTTGCAGGTCTTCAGTCTCAGCATCAGTGCAGAAATGTTTCCAAAGTCTTGGAGTTGGAGTTTATCTCTGCTTGTACACTGGGATGTGATGTAAAATCCATCCAGCCGGGGCCAGGAGAGTTAGAGCAAACGCACACAGAGCAAAGGCAGACTGCTGTAACAGAGTTCCAGGGGAAATTAATATCAAACTTTTACAAACAGACATTATTTCTTTAGGTGTACAATGAAAAGTCTTCTCAAATGAATATGTTTATTACAGCACATTTTTTGCATCTAAATTTTTCCTGCTTTGGGGTTAAAATAAAAGTGTGTCCACAGCCTGTGGCCCTGATCTCTCTGACTAATTCCAGTTATTCATCATCCTACCACGATAGTTCCTACACCCCCCTCCACTCCAGGATTCCCAACTGAAGACAGCATTTGTAAAAGCCCCAGTGCATGTCCCTAAGGACAGATCAGCAGACTTATAGTGGGATAAACACTGGCTGCTTGTTGCAATTGCATCACAGGATCCCATTTCAGAGGCCAGAGCTTCACACTGACTTATGGATACAGAATGAATAAAACATCTCTGCCACTTTGCAGGCTGAGGAGGACTGTTCGCTTGAATTCCTCGTATTATCTGCAATAAAGTACAGTATCAAAGATGCTCGCCTCCTCAAAATGACCTTTTGAAAATTGTCCTGGCAAAATTATTGGATTTATATTAATTATATTCACTAACTTATCACTTACTTAGTGAAACATAACTACAATTCGTATGTCTGTTGGAGGTTTCCGTTAACAGATCGAGCAGCCAGAGATATCTATCTTTAGCTTCACTGTAAAGTACAAACAAAAAACGCAATCATTCTTACCACTGGCCCAATCTTTTCCTTTGGTGGCTTGCTTGAAATCGTTGACCTGCAGTTGGGATGAATGGCTTTCATCAGCAGCAACCTGGTCAGAGAGGGTCTATTGAAGATTAAAGACATTCTTGTCGATTCAGCTCACACAATCAGTCTATTGACCTGAAGGCAAATCTTTCTCTTGAAATTCCTCTTCACATCCTGTGAGACACTGGCTGATGGGATCTAATTGAACTAGTTCCCATCATTCTTCCTGGGAGGAGTTACTTCCACAGGCCAAAGACACTCATGTAAACATACAGAGCAAGTTGTCATTAATATAGTGAGAGTTGTCCTATCTTTGAGGCGAAAGCAACGGTTACAAAAGAGTATGTCTGACTCCTTTTGCAATAAATGTGGATAACTTGTAAATTGCTCTTTCAAACCAAAAGGTGTATGACATATGAATTGATTAAGGGAATTTCAATTGTCTGACTCGTCAGCAACTGTCATGAAGAGATGACCAAGTAGTAGTAAAAAAATGACTTAGTAACTGAGAGCAAGATCAATTTTTTTTAATGCCAGTATCATTTCTGATTTAAAAAAATTTGTAAATCCAAATCCAACTTTTGAACATGCAATTCACTTAATCTCCTGACTTTACTGAACTTGAAATATTTATTTTTTAAGTATTTTAAAGAATTAGTAATTAATCTGACGACTTGTTTAAAAAAAAAGCTTATTGAAAAAGCTTTGAACTCTTTTTTCTTTTATCCTTAATGTTTATCAAAAAAATTTTTTTAACATAACTGACCACATAATGTGTAACGTGTTATTTTCTTTCCCATTTTGTATTTCAAGGTAAAGTATCACTGATCTACCAGATATGTTGACACACATTAGTAGTATTCTGACGCCCCCATCAGGCTACCAGAAGAACTGAAAAAAAGAAAAAGGAATGAAAAATACTGGATCAAATTTCCTATCTTTATAAACAACACACACTACATTAAAAATATCAAACCAATTCAGTATATTGTGGTTTCTCTAGTTACATACGACCACTGCAAGTTGTCCATATGTTGGTGGTGAGATGGTTTTTAAAAGATAGTGGTAATATGCTATAAAAAGTATTAGTCATAGGAACATTAATAGCCTAAATAAATAATAAATTCTCATTGCTTTAACTGAATGTAGACAGCTGCTGTTTGTTGTACTCCTTTTCTTGTGTTATTCTCTTTTTCTTTGTCAAAGAAGCCTCCTCAGAGCTCCAGTGCACGCTGTTTGCAACTCTGCTGCCATGCCTTCACACCTGGAAGCTGCTTAGTGCAATCACAGCTCACCACTGTTGACCAGTGAATGGCGTTTTCCAGCAGTTTAAACTGAAATGCCTTCCTCTTGGGATTTCAACGGCAGCTGTTCATTGAGAGGAGAGTGTAGCACTTTAACTCTATCTTGCCTCTCTTGTCGGCACATGTCATTATCAGAAGCTCTGAATGTCTGTGTTCACATATTTTTCCGTGTGAATTTGTGTGAGGCAGGAACACCTGCATGCCAAGTGAACAACAGTGTGGAAGAAGCAGAGACGTGATAATGTAAAAGGGCCCATTTCATATCTCACCAACTGGTGAAAAATCAATGCGGGATGCCTGGAAGAATTCCAAATGAAATGTGAATCAATGCCATCTCCAGCAATGTGTATTGGGATAACTTGATGTCTTTAGCACAAATTATTTAGATATGTATTTCTCTCTCTTTATATTAATTAGAAAAGGTTTAACATTGATTTAAGTTGTATGGGTTTCATTGTTCTTCGCTACTCTTGAGCCTTCAATAGCTGTACCAGGAAAACATTCTCTTAAAGGCTTTTTTAGAAACTTTTGCACACAATAAATAATTCCAAACATCTTTTTGTCCCATGAAAATGATCATACCTAAATGTTTAGTCATCCTACTGGTTAGTGTGTGCGCTGATGAATATGCTGAAAGCAAAAGTAGAGAACAGAACTGGGCTCAGCATCAGTCAGAAAAGCAGTGGCAAGCTTTGTAATATCTAATTAGTGCAATGTAATGTGAGTTGTTTTATGTTTACAATTGTTAATATTTGTGCTGAATGTTGTATTTGAGAAAACCCCTGACAAGCACTCTGACTCAAAGTGCTGAGATTTTAAATGTTTGTACAAGGACAGAAACATATTCAACAATAAAAGCATTCCTAAAGCGATAATGTCCCCCTAAATTTTACTTTATATTTTTAAAACAGTCATATTCATTCTATATTATAAGTACAGTTATAAGCTACTTGTACTTTTTTCCTTGTTTACAGTTTAAAATTAAGATTTGAAAGACTAAATGTCATTTTGCAACTTTTACTTGTTTTCCCATCTGGAGTTTCCCTAAATGTTTTGAAAACCCCTGATTTTTTTTTCCTCCAAATTCCAGAGTGATTTAAATTTGCTCAAATGGCAAGATGGCGGACTCTCACTGCAACGGACTAACAAGGTAAGGAGCCGGAGGGGGGGCTACCGGGCTACCGCGCTACCGGGCAACCGGGCTACCGGGGGCCGGAGGGGGGGCTACCAGGGCTACTTCGTCCCCGGGCTCCCGCGATACCGGGGTTCGGTGCGGTGCTACTCCGACAGTGATATCGAACCGGGGTCGGGGGTCCGGGTCTCCCCTCTGGGGAGCCCCGGCCCCCCTCCCCCGGTGGCCATTTTCCCCGATATTCCCCGGTTTTCCCGGTATTCCCGGTTTTCCGTTTTTCGTATTTTACCGCGGTAGCGCGGTAGCCCGCCCACTTCCTTGTTTTTGTCACATGACTAAAAACAAGTCACATGACTAAAAACAAACCAATGAGAATCTAAACTAAAGCAGATTCAACCAAATATCTTAAAGATTTAGGGGGAGGGGGGGGGGCGGCGGCACGGAGCTACTGGGATACCGGGATACCGGGCTACCGGTGCCGGGGTCCGGTAGGGGATGCCGAGTGCCAACGTACGTAATAATCTGAGAAAAATGATTCTTTTCCAAGGTTTTCAACTTGCACAGCAACAGAGACTGCAATTATATAGCTGTGTAAATATATTTATGGGACGTGCGGTCATCCTCACAAGACAAAACATACGATGACATATTATTATTTGTCCGCCGATCTTTATGTATGACTAATTGCGATAATTTTAATTGTCAAAATCGCTAATATTGCACATTTTCTGTTGAAATACGGCCTGAAACGTGATGTGCGGCAGCAAGGAGCCGAGCTGAACCTCGGATTGCGCAATCCATCCCAAACTGGGCTGTTGGTGTCTGTCGGCGTATCGCTGCATGTCGCCAATATAATGTTTGCATATACGTTTCTATAGCCTGATTTTTCAGTCTGGCTAATGTCTCAACGCGGCGTCTACGTGTAGATGTTTATGACATTACAGGATCTAAATGACTGTATTTTGTGTTACCTTTAAATATGTCCGACTTGAAAATACAACTGTTGAAGGCAGTACGAACCAACCAACCACCGTGCAGCACTACGTTACACAAAAAGCATTTTGTGCGTAACTTACTTCCATTGAATGCAGCGTTTTATTATAATAATAATCACACACAGTATATGTCATTTTAAATTAGCTGATTTTTATTTGAAGTGTGTGTGTGTGTGTGTGTGTGTGTGTGTGTGTGTGTGTGTGTGTG